TGATGTGTACTATACATGATGTGTATGAAGATAGCATGCAAACAGGGGGAGAGACTGATACTGACGAGAAACGTGCTGAATTGTAAAATTACCAAGTTTAGACTCAGATTCAACATCGGTGACTTTCCACTTACGAGTCGTTGTGTTCGGGCACTCCAAGATTGGTGTGTTAGCTGCTGGAAATGACATTACCACCTGATGTCAGTTGCTCACCTGCGCCACCGGTCTGTGATTGTTTGAATATAACCATTGATTGCAGTGCTAAAAGGTTTACATCAGTCTCCAGCAGTGTAGTTACTAAACATGATCTTTACCAACTGGGTCATGGTGGAATCGTAGGTCGTGCACTAGAGCCTTCAGTCGATCATTTTCCAGAGTAACGTTCCGGAACACGGGATCCAATTCGTGAAGAGCTAACTTAAGTAAGATAAATGTGAAGATTTGTGTAGATGGGCAACGAACCGTGACCTATCTTATTTACTGCCCTTGCCTTATCCCTGGTAAGTTTCCCACTACTGTCGATAGCATCTTCATCAAGGAAATAGCGGATCTTGTCACCTGAATTCAGAAAGTAGCTGTCGCCGATGTGGTCCTTATCCGATGTTGTGAATTTGGTCTGTCACATATTTAGAGCTCTGAATGTTTGCTATTTAAATGTTGCACTTACCAGGGGATGATCCTCTGGTGTAAATTCATCAAGGAGCTCTTTGGCCCGCAACAAAAGAGAACCCGTCTGGTCATGCGAGAGAAAGCCAGGGACGACTAAATACCTATGCACACCGGTCACCGAGAGCAGCGGATTTCCTAGATATCTGACCTACCCATCCCTATAGAACTGACCGACATCATATCAGAGGTTGGGCGTGACAGAATATTAGGAGCACGATTCAAACTAGGACAAACCTTGTCAATCTGCGTCTGAGAAAGGTATTTAAGAGGTCGTGCAACTGCCATGGATGGTTCAGAACGTTGTTAACCAGCCTTGCTGAGTGCCGAGGGAGACCTTGCGCGCTAGATAAGATAACCTATGATTAAGCCAAGCGCTTAATGCGACTGGACCGGTGGGATCCGGTGCATTTTGATCTCCGCCGGCCGGTAGCCTCCTGCCACTCCGCCTCAGAAACTCAAACCTTGACCCCAACCACCACTTCTATCATTACATCAAGGAGTCCTGGCTGAGACCCATGGCACCAGCGCGTTCTACCAGACGCAATCAGCATGAACAAAGTATATCCCTACGCTCTGGTCAGGATGCATCACCTACCGCAGATGGCCCCAGTGGCGACCTCTTTCTGGAGCCCATGATGGGAACACCCCTCAATGTGTACATCGAGAAGGAAGTGGAAGATAGAGACGCACTCGTCGAACTCGTAACGGTAGGTCATCCTTCAGTCACTTATCGCACGGATTGGATCATATGTTTTTGAACCGTCGATGATGTGTAACTGAATCCCATCTTCGGCAGAAACACGGCGGCACATCATCACCAGGGTACAGTGGGACGCCATACATTCTTGGTGAGTACAGGTCCTTGTCGTGTCCGCCACATCTTATGTAACTACATCTCAGTCGATCCACATAAGGAATCAGGCCAGAACTTGTACCGCCAGTACGCCGGTAAAAAGGGTAAAATCGTTCTCCATTACCGTTGGGTTCATGAGTGCATCCGTGCTGGCGCTCTGCAAACGTTCCAGAACAACTGGGCCGGTTGCAAAGTCACTGGAACAGAGAAGTTTGTTTTTCTTTTTACCGATTGGTCTTCCCTGTGTTGAATGACCTTACCAGAGTAACACCACCTACCATCGTCCCGTCCCAGACTGAACAGACCCGCTCCTCCACATCTCAGCCGGCTCCAATGCAGTCCATGGCTCCCCATCCACAAGCAATGCCTCCCATACCCCCTGGGGATCCCATGGTTCATCCACCTCAAACATCCTACGGTTATCCTGTGTACGGCCATCCAATGCACGGGCCGCCTCGAGGTATGCAGCCGCCAACAGCCGCCCCGCCCCAATCATGGCAAGCGCCAAATGCCATTGCGCCACAGCAAACACACATAACCTCACCCCAGACTGCCGCAATGCTTGCCCGACAAACACATCCATATCGGGAAGAGCCTTGGGTGACACCCTTCAATCAGCCCCCGCCCCATATGGTAGCTGGACCGAGTGCGGCAGGTTATGATTATAGATACGGCGATGACCGTCCTGAATGGGCTCCCCCAACTAACGACTATCCTTATGACCCTGCTTCGGTAAGTTTTCGTGCGTGTTAGTCACAGTTGCCATTCATATGTTCAATATCAGTATGAGCATCCTTATGATCAGACTGCACCTTACATGGCAGAGGCCGGACCGCCGACGGCTGGTCCGTCTTCAGTTCCCGCTGATAGTACTCTTGCCGAGAAGCCTCGTGGTCGTAAACGCACTCGTAATACTGTAGGTTTCATTTCATCCATTCCTGCAAGACATAGTGTAACTTTGTTATTTATTATTAGGCGCCGCCTGCCGCTTCACCTTCCGCTCTTGTACTGAATCGCCGAAATCCCCCAGCACATTCACCAACCCCTCCAACGCGCGTGATTAAGAGCACATACGGAGGAAACTTGTTTACTTCTGATGATGTATTATACCTCAAGCGATACATTGATTACTGTCAAGAACAAGGTCTCGTCCTGAGGTGAGTATTTGCTGTTGGATCGCAACCGAGACTAAATTATCTCCAGCTTGAGAGAAATCTGTGAGAGGATTGCAGTCAAAGTAAGTTGCTTACATTTCGGTGCTGTTCAACTTGTCTGATGTTGCCGTGCATGGTAGGCGCCCCATCATACGTGAGCGTGTTTCAAGTAAAGCGATATTATTGATCTGATGAGTGCCGCAGATTTTACTCTTGGCGCCGATACTGCAATAAACATCAAATTCGATTGGGTGGCTACTCGATGGACACGGGCGACAACAATACGCCCCGCCCTGAAGGCGAAGTTGAGCCCGAAGAGGAAGAACAACTACTGCCACTCGGAACTACGGGTCCTGGCATCATCGCGGCTGCACAGGCTCGGCTGCAGCAAGATGCTGGTCGTCCACGCAATCGGTCTCCGACTCCACCTCGCGCTCTCTTCAGGAGTACGACAGGAAAGGGGGTAGCTTTCACGGATGAGGATGTTGCGTTCCTGGTGCGCTTCATGGAGTACCGGAAGTAAGTCCTTCCAAAATGGGTTTCCTGCAGTGGTTTCATGATGTATCTAGGTCCCAAGAGCGATTTGATATGGTTGCGTTTTGGAAGGATGTTGCTACCAAGGTAATCAACCCAAAACATGCTGTTTTATCTTCTTGACTGCTCATCGCTTTCAAGGCACCGCATCACTCGCGCGCATCATGGATGAAGTTCTGGCGACGTCACAAGCATGAACTCAATCGTACAGAAGAGGATGAACCTCTACCTCAACCACCGGAGAAGAAGATGCGTTACAGCCGTGGGGATGACATCCTTCTTGCGAAGTACTTTTTCACAAAGCCGGAAGGGACGTCAGACAAAATCTTCCAGGCGTTTGGTCGTATAGTCAGTCTTTACTGTTCGGTATTATATCGAGCTGGCTGACCGGTCTTGTTTACAGCATCCTCATCATCCTTGGAAGGGATGGCAGGAACACCACCGTATACACAAAGCTAAGATTGATCACTTTATTCAGCAGTTGGGAAATGGCGAGAACATTGACATTGATGAGAATGGAGAGGAACCTTGAGAATGTTGCGTCTACTATAAATGTACTTTAAACTCTACTAGGGGTGTTTCCGGGGTGACTTCATGACAGTCTATATATATAGTACTCAACGTTCTTGACAGCGTTGATGTCAAAGTCAAGCTTGAGTCCTGACATATAATTCCAACTTTGCTTAAACTTTTGTCCCTGACGGACAGTCGTCCCTTGAGCTTTATCAATCAATTCCATTTGGTATTGGGACCACAAGTTAAAATATAATGAAACTTATCATTGGTGCTCACTATCATCAACGGTCATAACGCGTCTGTTGTGAAGGCATATGAAATTTAATATGCCAGTGGATTGGAATCTGGGACCAATCATAGATTTAGATACCCCCCGTACGACTGCTGATTGTATGTGAAAAAATAATCATGAGAATACGTTACACGATAGTCGTAGAAGACATACCCATAATATCTCACGGAGTACGGTATATGAAGCCTCATGGCGCTCTTCTGTAAGCCCTAAGTAGCTTGATGCTGCTGATAAACTCTATCACCAGAAGTAAGGGTCAACGGAACAGTATTTTATCAAGATACCGCATGATTACGACGAGGGTGGGCACACTGGTAACAGTGGTAACATGTTGTGTGAGCACGACCACATTCAAAATAATCACCTGTATTTGCGGGGGACCCTGATCCACACAGTGTGATTTATTAATATAGAGCACGTATTAGGCAGAGCAACTTGAAGTGATGGAAACCAGTCTCCACTCAAAAGCGACGCATTAAGCGCATTGGGAGAGGCTTCATGACCGGAATTCGCTGGGGTAACTAGGAAGCTATGAACAAACGCCCATACGAACTAGAACTTTGGATGAACCCGTGGATTTTGAGCTTCTTGATGATGGAGTCGTGTGCTCGCAGAAAAAGTCTATACAAGGCAGTACGGACTGAGAGCACCAGAGGTAAACTCTACCGGATTGGTGCGGCGTCAACTCAGAGAGCTGACGCACATCAATGCTCTGAGATCGGGGCGCCGAGGGGCAGTGATGAACGTATTGATGTAACACCCCTAGTACTTGTGACAGATGATATTAATAGTACTTTGCGGTAGAACGGAGATGCAGTGGAAGGAATTACAGTGGATGACCCACGGAGATTAGAAAGTTTGAAGAGCTCTGAGCTTGTTTGCTCTATAAGGTGCTCCTAGCTGCAAATAACACAAGGTCAAAGACAATGAGATGAGTATTGTTGTGGACAAGAACAAAAAAAGACGGAAAGGTTAATGTTTTGAGTTGTTTGTATGAATCAACAGGGCCAATCGGAGTTTTAAATAGTATTATCTCTTGTGACGGTTCCTCCCCGTTAACGACTATTACTTGTCCTTTCACTCATCCTCATCATCAGTCATCGCGCCGGGCGCTCTTTCTCTTTAAACCGCCATCATGGCGAACGTAGCTACCCGTAAAAAATCAATAGCAGCGAATCCCGGTCTTGTAATCGAAACTCCAGTCGCTAACAACAATATCCTCAACAAGGCAGCTTCTCAATCGACATCTCTCTACCAGCAATGCTCTTCCTTGCGAACTCGTTTAATGCGCATCCCTGGCTTTTCAAACTTCTTTATACTGTCATCACAGTCGGGCTCTCTTCGTCAATCCACCGATCCTGTCACACAACTATGGGACTGCTTCTCACTAGGAATATCACTTTGTTTCCTTTACGAGCTTCTTCCTGGCAGAACAACTCCACCTACAGTCAAGACAGATCCTTCTGTATTCGACGTCAGTAATGAACGCGCAAAGAAACACGCCATTGCAGTCTTCGTCATGAATATCAAGAATTTGGACAATTGCGAACAGTTCACAGTGACAGATTTATGGGAGAGACACTCTACAGATGGGCTAGTAAAGGTGCGCGCCCGAGTTATCCCCATCGATCGCTCTAACACCTCATGATAATCTAGGTCGTCAGCACCGTGACCACCATTGTTAACATGTTGCCGTCCGCATTATTCGATGCAGCCCCTTTGTCACCACCATTGATGTCCACGCATGATTCAATTGACTCGTTAGTGGGTGATGTGCAAAACACGCCCGTTCCCTCCTGCCCACAAGATGTCGCTCGGAATAATATTATCAGGGAATTGGTGGAGACCGAACGGAAATACGTCCAAGACTTGGAGGTCATGCAGGTGCGTATTCTATTTTACATTCAGTATCTGTTATTTAATTTGACAACAGAGATATGCTACGGCATTGTCCCAAAGCAATACAATTGACCAGGATACCATCCACTACCTTTTCCCAGGACTGAACAAGCTGTTGAACTTCCAAAGGAAGTTCCTTATTCGATTGGAGAGCACTGCAGAGATGGCGTGGCGGGATCAGCGCTGGGGACTTCTCTTTCTGGAAAATGTGCGTGTTCCTCGATTCTACTTCTCTTGATATATGCGTGCCTATGATACTTATTTATGGTGCTTTCCGGGAACAATAGGAAGAGGACTTTGCAGTATACGAACCCTACTGCGCAAACTATACCAATGCAGTAGATCTCATGGTGGCGGAGGAGCAGAATCTTTCGGTGAGCTTGACAATTCCTGTACTTTGTATTGTTAAGCTACTCCGCCATATGGCGTGGCGACGGAACATATCGCATATCCTAAAAATAGGAATATCCATATACTGACCGCTGTCCTCAGGTCCATAATAATTTGATCAACGCCAAATCGGAACTGCCCGCCTTTCTGATCAAACCAGTCCAGCGAATTTGCAAATACCCACTGCTCCTTGATGTAAGATAATTTCGTCGATATCAAATTTGCATGAATCTGACTGGATGTTTGTAGTCGCTTATTAAGGCTACATCTGCCAGCGATTACCCCCATTTCGAGGAACTGCAAGCTGGATCCGCAGCTGCTAAGCGCATTACCGATAAGATTAATGAGGCACAAAGACGAGCCGAAAATGTTCAGACGGTCAAAAATCTGGAAGGCCGCGTACAAGATTGGAAAGGTCATCATTTGTCCAATTTTGGCACTCTCCTCCTGGATGATATTTTCACCGTCACCAAGTCTGACGTCGATCGGGAATACCACGTATTTCTCTTCGAGAAGATCATACTTTGTTGTAAGGAGGCAGCACCTCCCCCTCAAAATAGCAAGCGCGGTGGAAAGAATAATTCTATTCTTAAAAAGCAGAATGGCTTACATGCACCTACTCCACCTCCCATGACCTCACCAAACAAGCGAAAGGACACTCCTCTCCTGTTGAAAGGTCGTATTTTCTTGAACAACGTCACCCAAGCTATTCCTAGCTCGAACCGGAATTCAGTTGGTAGGTCTGCCAGCCTTCGCAGTCGTCTCATATTGATAATTTTGTTCAAGCATCATCGACAGTCAACCCCCATTCCCTGGCTGTGTGGTGGCGAGGTGATGATGACCTCGAGTTCTTCACTCTTCGTTGCCGATCCGAAGAGCAGCTACGACAGTGGGAGGCTCAGATTAATCGTCTCATCAGGGAAGTTGCCAGTCGAAGGGCGTCGGAACGAAATTTCTCCCAGCTCATGGCTCAACACAGCAGTCATGCCTCCGTTCCTGCTGTGCATATGGCACGTTCACCGTCATATGCCCATGACCGTGGTTCCTCGTTGATGTCACATGCCCACCCCCTACATAGCCTTCCACCCCACCCAGCCAGCAGTCGTCATCGTGTCAATGCATACAGCACTAGTGATGATGTCTCGGTGGCTGGATCTTATTCTAATGGTAGCCAACTTGGTTACTCGTCCACAGAGGGTTTCGAGTTCGATGTAGATGACGAGTTTGAGGATTACCCTGCTGCAAGCCTACCGTCGTCCGGTCGTGGCACACCCATGGGTATGCATCGAATGCAGAGCATGCCTATCGAGCCACGCGAGTCTGCTATTGTCGACGATCGCCCCCGAGCCAGGACGGAAGACATCAACGGTCACGTCATGTCGCAATGGCGGTCGACCAATGGCGTTTTGCCTCCGCCACCTGGAGCCAATTCCCCCATTCTCCATTCCCATCGCCCCATGGCGAACAGGGTCCATTCTACTGCGAGCTTTGGAACTGACCGTCCGCCTCGGATGCCTTTGCAAGGCCAAATCAGCTCTTCGAAGCTGAAGGCCTTGTACGATAGTGGTGGTTCCCGTAGTGTTACGACATCACCAGCTATGAATGGCAGTACTGCACCTCCGTTGAACAGATCGCGGAGTGCTAGTCAGCCTAGCGCATACGTACCACAAGTGCCTGTGCCTCCTCCTGTTCCCAGTAACGCAAAGTGGGCTCATCGTTCAGAGGATTCCGCTACTTCGAGTAGTAAACGGGGTAGTGGATCGAGTCAGTCGACGGGTGGGGGTTCGTCAGAAGAGTCACCACATAGCTCTTCGCCGATCACTCCATTCGGATCTAGCGAATCATCTCTTGGTGGCTCAGCTCTCCGATCTCCTCGGTCACAGACATTTGAGAGTTTGATATCTAACGGCACCCACCTCGCTTTTTCACCTCCAGTCAAGGTGAAAGTCCACTTTAACGAGGACATATTCGTCATCCAGGTTCCGCGAAGCACAGAATATTACGACCTTGTCGACAAAGTCGGCAAGAAAATACGTCTTTGTGGGCCGCGCCGCGACGATACCCCTTTGCGAGTAAGATATCGGGATGAGGACGGGGATATGGTGTCTCTAGGCTCCACCGAAGATGTCCAAATGGCTTTCGAATCGTTCCGACCGGGCGGGCAGGTCACACTCTACGTGACATGATTCTATCCTTATCATATCGCATCGCTATCTTGTCTTCCACTCTTCGACCTTCGCATACATAATTTGCTGTTTCCCAGTGGACTCGCACTTCTCTGTTTGTACATAATATATGTATCACTGGCATGTTCACACCACATTCGTTCTATATGGTTTTCTCTATCGCTTTCTGACCTCCTTGATTCAGGTGCTCATCAGGCTCGAGGCCATCCTATGTGGTTCGCATTTCTTTGATAATCTACATGGCTCTCTTCCTTCCTTGGTAGTACTTTGAATCCTTGGCATCCGTATCATCTAAAAGTGGAGCACTAGTCACGTGTAATTTTTATTAGAATACTGCACTCATTGCTACGTTTCAAATACATCATGTCGTCTGTACAGAGCTGTACGGGTGTCCTTTGCATCTTACATTGATAAGTCATGGTCTATATGATAAACGAATAGGAAGGTAACCATTGTGTCAGATATCACAGAGCATCAGGAGAGATATCGCCCAATGTGTTTGGCTCCAGTGTACTAATGGCACTGTACAACGATTGTGTATCTCCACCGTGTTCAGATTGTGCATCAATTGTTTCCTGCGGTGCTATGTAAGCCAGATATGATTACCCCGATAGAGGCCACTCACATCGAAGTAATGATTGACAAGGCTGCGGGGCGCTACAACAAAATGTCAATAATGGTCAAATGTACAACAACAGCACGTACTTCGTGGAGTTTTCGGCAACCGACAGCTGACACCGCTTTGCAGGATATGATAAGCAACGAGGCCAGTCCTAGATGCCGCTGATTACACCCGTTCTAACACCATAATAGCATGCGACTCACCATCCTGTTTGATGCGATGCTCCTAAACCGCGTCCCGTATCTCCATGGAAAAACTGCCAAAATTTAGCTTCGGTGTAGGCCTAGGCATGAAGTGCTAATAAATCATTACCTCACAAAAGGAGACGTAATCGCGGAAGTGCGGGTCCTGGTCAAGCTTCATGTTCCCACCATTGGTGGCCCTTTTGCCTTCGATGTCACGTCCAAAAATGTGAATTATACGATGTTGTATTTCCTCTGCCACCTCCACGAGGTTCATGTAATCTCCACTTCCAGTGGGACATTCGACCTGAAGAGGTGTCAGGATGAAGGGAAATACAAATCATCTATGCTTACCTGTAGTTCATCACCGTAATATTGATAAAACCGCTGCAGACTCTCTATCAAGAGGAAATTAACGGCAAGCCCTGAATACCGATTAGAGACGGGCAAGTTGGGAAAAGTTAAATGAGCCTACAGATCGGTCCTCTCCAATTTGAATTTCCACCGAACATTCCAGAGTGGGATTCTCCAGGCCAATACCCTACCTCATGCCAATCTCCGTTCACCTGCATCCCCCAAGGCTTTTCCTTATGCAGCTTGGAGAGACTATCTCCGTTCATTAGAGTAGCACGGCGACCGCTACGTGGAAAACACTTACGAACGAATGCCGTATTCGCTGAAGAACTCATCCTCGTCTAGCATCTTCTCCAGTATGCGCACTAGACGTTCTTTGCCAGCCAAAGCAAGCAAACGGCGTTCTCCTCTACCTCCGGCTACCACATGGTGAATAGCGTACGTGAAAATATGGAATCAACTCACCCCTCATATTGGCCATATTTCTTCCCGACATTTCGGGCCGGTTATCGATGAACCATTCCATACGCTTCTTAAATCCAGGGAATCGATTGATTACGGCAGGTTCCAAGACAAGAGTCGCGTAGAGAGGAATGAGACTAACAAGGCTCCTTACAGGAAGCTGAACTGAATTCCCTGGGCCAAATTCAATGGCATCATAGTACATGCCATCTTCTTCATTCCACAAGCTCGACTCGTGTTCACCTGATTTATAAGTCATAGCATCTGCGATGAATATGAAGTGCTAAAGCAAAGTGAGCGCGTCTGTAGAATTTGACTGGCAGGACTGGCTTGCCTCGAAGAACTTAGAAGCAATGTCTTCGTATACAGCATTGTGCTTTGCCAACTCAAGGGCTATGTTTAACCTGACGAACAGTGAACATACAGCAAATCCGAGAGAGCCACGGAGCTCACATATTCAAACAATAAAATGCCATCCAGGCAGTGCCATCTGCCTGACGCAGGTTTCCACCCGTAGGGAGTGGCTCCGAACGGTTAAAGATGCCGATGTTATCAAGTCCAAGAAATCCTCCCTCGAATACATTGTTTCCCCCGGAATCCTTGCGGTTGACCCACCTCAAGAGTGGCAATCAGGATGACGAAAGAATAGAAAAGTGAACTCATACTTACCACGTGAAATTGAGCAGTAACTTCTGGAAGACACGTTCCAAGAATGGAAGATCTTCTCTGCCAGTAAGCTTACGTTCTATTTTGAAGACTCTAAACGTTGCCCTACGTCACTATCAGTGATGCGGTCCTGCCACCACAGGATAATTCGCGTACCAAGCATGGACCTAGTCCACGGATCATTTAGAAGGTAGACTCACCAAAAAACTACGAATACTCACCGGTGGGTTTACATCACTAAAGTTCCATTCGTATGCAGGAATCTGACCATCGGGCTTCATATACCATTCTCGAGTCAAGATATCTAATTGCTTCTTTGCAAACCCAGGATCCACCACGGCGAGGGGGATGCAATGAAATGCTGTGTCCCATGCCGCGAAGAAAGGGTATTCCCATCTGGAGAGCCTTCCGTGAGCCACAACCTAAATCAACTGAGCTGCCAACTGACTTGTCAGGCATGGAAAGAATATCTTCTACATGCATATGGCGCCAGTGCTGTAGACTAATGAGTGCTCAATAGATCGGTCGCATATTTGACTAACCTTGTTACGAATATGTTGGCGTCCAGGGGGAGGGGGAGGTTGGGCTGGATCGCCTTCAATCCACTCCTTTTGCACAAAGTAATAAAACTGTTTTGTCCAAAGCATGCCCCCAAGTGCTTGCCTCATGACCTGCTTCAAGTCGTCGCTAATGGGACCGAAGAGCAGAGAACTATAAAATTCATTTGCTTCTTCCCGGCGCTCCTCTACAACATCATCAAAAGCACCCTCGTCTTCAAGGCTTCGGTCCTTATTGGGAGAAAGTGGAGTCAACTTCAGACGGACCACGGCACATCCACCTCGGCCTGGGACATTGCGGAAGATATAGTGCGCGGCAGACTTGGTTCCACATTTTTCGGGGCTCACAAACAACAACTCCTGGGGTAGAGCTTCGCAAGTAGGGATAGATACTGCTGGACGTGGAGTACTAGAGCCATCTGTCCCTTGTGAGTCTGAGCGCCCTCGCTGAGGTCTGTGTGATGGGATGATATGATCATGAAATGCATCTTTCACGCATACACCCTGATTCATGCCGCCATACAATCGGCGGAAATTCGTGTTGTTTTCAGTGAACAACAAATCTGGATTTATAACACCATCTTCATCACCAACAAATTTCCCGTCCGGACCCATAGGTAGGGGAGACGGTAGGCAACACAGGAAGTTCTCCCCCATTTCGGGGTGTTTAACCTTGATGTAGCTAATATCACCATCGGTAGCGGCAGCGGATAGTGATGGAATGGGCGGTTTATGTGCGGGCCAGGACCACGTATTCCTGAACCATAGCTGCGGGATGATATGCAAGGTGGCAGTGTCAGGTCCACGGTTGTAACTCGTAATACGGATGTAAACATTGTCCGGATCGTCTTCGTCTTTCGCATACTGGATATTTTGTTATCACCAACTATCGCCACATGCAGGAGAAACTGACCTCTATGAAAACATCCCAGTAGCGATCGTCGTCGAAGACGTTCGTATCCAAAATTTCATACTCCTCAACGTTCCGGTCACGGTGAACGTTCTCATCCACTAGTTCCTCGTATGGATACCTGCGTTGAGGATACTTATATAAGAATTTCATATATGAATGAGTTGGGGTGGAATCCAGGTAGTAGTAGATTTCCTTGACATCTTCTCCGTGATTTCCTTGATGGCCGGTGACTCCGAATAGCCTTTCCTTCAGGATGGAGTCCTGCTCATTCCAGAGAGCAAGTGAAAAGCAAAGGCGCTGATGATTGTCCGAGATGCCACCAATGCCATCTTCGCCCCATCTGTACGCTCGGGATCGGGAATGCTCATGGGGGAAATGACTCCAGGCGTCACCGTTGTCTGAGTAGTCCTCCCGTACAGTTGCCTAATTTAAATACGACCTTATCAGTGCGTGATAACCGAGATGAAGCTTGCACCCACCCATTGCCTGTCACTGAGATACGGTCCCCACCGTTTCCAATGACGCTCACGATTCTCATCCTGCAGTAAACGATATTTCTCAACTCCATCATAGTCCACACCTAATGCTTCAGATAACCGCTGTTTATAGCTTTTTGTCGAACCATATTCCTGGGTCTTGAGATCCCCTGAAACAGCCTTTGAAGTCTTTGGTGGTGGTTTGGGAGCCGGTGCCAATTCTGCCTTTGGGATTTGTATCGTTAGTCCAGGATCACGCGAATCCGTTTGCTGAATGCCATTGGTATCTTCAGCCCCTCCAAAAAGTTTCTGCTGCAGAGTCTTGATAGAATCTGACGGCATGATAGTAGGATGAGAGATAGTGGAGTTGGTTATCAATCCCGTGTGCAATGGAAGTGGGATAGACCATGATGACCCGTTTGAAATTCTAGTCTATCGGTGGAGCAGACTGGGCCCCACGCCTTATGACATCAATCAACGAACATCAAGCGACAACCCACGTCAAAGTTTATAAACCAAGATTATCAATGGTGTAGGGGAAAAGAAGGGGTATGCGTGTAGTATACTTGTCACGTTTGTTGCAGATGGGCTTTAACACGAGAAAAAAACAGAAACAACCTAGATTGGCGTATATAAGTGAATCAAGCCTATGGAGTGACGTGAGATGATAAGTGAGACCCGCCCGCAGATCAGATGGGAAAAGTCCAAGGGAAGTATTAGAAGTTGCCTGGAATATGTGAATGATTTATAGCTTTAATTACCGCTTCACCAAACTGCATCCCCCGCCAACAACACGCTTTGCGTCCAATCATCCTCGCTAAATTCATCGTCATCTTGAAAGGAGACATCGAGATGACGGTAGGGTGCTCGCGTGGACATCGTCGCCGGAGATCTTGGAAGTCCACCAGGTAGTACTGGCGTGAGTAGGGCCACCGACTCACGAGGCCCCACAGGCACATTCTTGGCAGTTCCATGCCCAACAGAAGTAGCGATATCCGATTGCTCTTCCTCCTCGATGCCTAGCGCAAGTGAGATAGAAGATGAGTCGATTTTTGTATTCAGCACTGGGGGGAAGCTGAATCTGTTGGTAGATTGAGCTGTCATCATGGACACTGGAGACTCCGAAGTTGACGAATTCCGTGAATATGCTGGGGCGAAGTTGACCGGTGAAGACATGGGTGAAGCAGAGCGTTTGGAGAATAGTAAATGAAGAGATGGCTTTTTCATGCGTTTCGCGCGGGAAGCAAAGGAGTTGGAGCGGGCGATTTCTGTTTGTTGAACACCAGGGAATGACATAGACGGTGTTGATTTGCGATGCATAACTGTGTGCAGCTGTGCGAAGTCCCCGCCAGTAGACGGAAACTGGAATTGTGACTGATCAGGTCGAGACGTGGGTAGTGAGAGAGGTGTAGGATCGGCGATGACTAGGGTGTGTGGCGAGGTTGAGGTTTGAGGTTCAGTGATGTCGTCCAGGAATGGAAGACGCTTGGAAGACCGGATGGGAGATTTCGATGATATAGAAGGGCTGGACAGAGACGACGTTGAGGATGAGAGCGACGGCAAGGAGTAAGGGTTCGGTAGTTTGACATTGACTGAAGGCGGGGTTATGGGATGCTCGCGCTGGGAGGACTGGGAGCTATCATCTGTGTGTCCAAATGATGATGCGTCAGATGTCGACCCCGCAGCGTCCAGACTCGGCCTGGTCGATATTGAAGACTGTGACGAGCTAAGATCAACAGGCGTATTCGCTGGTGCAGTGAGTGGCTCAACCACGTCATCGATGGGAACCTCTGGAAGTGTCTGACAGGACTGCGCGTCGTCGTGCGTCGGGCTTATCCTATCATCTTGTTTGTCAAGCTGCTCTTCTTCCAGCACGTCGTGAAGAGACGGGACGCTCTCACGCGAAGGGCGGACAGGTGCAATTGGACACTGAACCCCATCCCAGATGCCTTTGCTTTCACACAGCGCCTGCAACAGGGACGGGTTCATGGTCAAGCTTGGACACAAGACAAGCAGTAGATTGTTCAATGGCATCTTCGTATCTTGACAGCGTTGGGATGTAGCATTGATTAGCTCCGTGACTGTGAGTAGAAGATCACGGTTTTCTTGTGGCAGGCGGGCAATCAGCGAGGAGAGTGCCTTGCGGAGTGACTCTGATGGTGGGTGTAACCCAGAGAAATTTGGCATAGCCAGAGTAGACAACGAAGGAGGCTTGCGCAATCCAGGGTGGATGCTCCATGGACTTGGGGCAGGTTCTAGCGTATTGTGTGTGAAACGCTCCGATGTCATTGCCGCTTCGAACGAAGTCGACAGAGCATTCGTTAAAATTGGTTCAGGAACTAGGGCACATGTTAGGGGCACGACATGCACGATTTGATCAGCCACGTACGTTCGCGGAGGTAGGCCTTGAAGATGGACGCCACAGCATGAGGGTCGAGATCACCAGGACTGCATTGAGCAATGTCAAAGTCGGCACCTACGAACACAATAGTAACCAATCCAACTGCATCGAAGCGTGAATCTTACCAGTATCAAATTCTGATCGTAATTTTGCGACATGAGACGACCTCCCATTGACACTAAAAAGGAAGAATGAGACACATTCTCTGATAACAAACGAGATCCTACCGGAACAACCCAAGTTCCTGTACACCCCAGGTGAGGATGTGTTGCGCACACCTGACAACCAATGCAGGTAATTGGCGACTCTCCAGCGCAGCAGAAGGAACACTTGGGGCACTGCTCGGCGTGCTGTCTGCATCATGTATGGCGCTGCTGTCGAACTCCTTGGCACGCAACGCGGCGCGGACCGAATCAATTGCCGTGTCCCTTACGCATACCTTCATGTCTCGTCCAAAAACAAGTCCACCAGCAACGCCGGCACCTCTAGGACTCAAACGGACCGGACCGCGCAGACGCTTTCCAAGAATAGGGCCAGTTGATGCTAAGATACCCTCACGGTCCAAAGATGCGTGAGGTGCGTGTCGGTGGGTCTTCATAGGAGGTTCATCGGGGCCAGAACTAGCCCGTAAAGGGGGCGAGCGACTGTCGTGTGCCCAGCCTGGAGGTGATGGATAGCCCGAGCTAGGGGAGGAGGCCTTGCCCCAGACGCGACCCATCTTCTCAACGGCACGCCAAGCAAGGCTAGCAGCTGGAGCAAGACCAGTTATGCTAATGGCCGTCTGTCTGAATGATGGTGGCGAAGATGTTCCTGGCGATGCTAGTGGAATGCGTCGGTGCGGAGCAGGAATGTCTGGCAAATTGCGCTCTGGGTGCGAAGGAGAAGATGAGCGGCTATCCAGGAGACTATCATTCGTGCGTGACGGGACAGGTGATGGCCTTCTTGGGCTAGAAGGCAGGGTTGAGAATTCGACAACTGATCTTCCCTTATCCTCTGAGATGGATCTGGGAACAACGGGAATAGTGTCCATACTCATGGAAACGGTCGCTGCAGCGCAATCCGGAGCCGAGGTCATCAATGTTAAGGGAGGGCCAAGATTGACAGACTGCGAACGCCTGTCCCGGCTCACTTTGATAGACGATGCAGGGGATCCACGACAGAAAGGTGATGTGGAACGTAACGGTGTGTGGAATCCCTTCTCCGCAATTCTCTCACCATCTTCTTCCTCAGGCATATAATTATCGTGGAACGCACTCAAGCGCTTGCTAACCGGAACGATGGTGTGATTCGACTGCAGTGATTCTGCCATTGACACTGGACGAGGGCCTCTGCCAAATCCGGGCTTGATTGTGTGATGGCTCAACGTAGAATCGCTCTTTCTCCGGATCTCCTTCATATCCGATTTCTCGAGATCTCTTCTTTCATGCTCCTTGGATGCTACGAATTCTGAAGCTTCATCTGTTCTGCGCATGTAATCCAAAGCTGGCGCAATAGGACTCGTGGTGGTCATTACCGAGACTCGCTTGTCGATATCTGTGTTCACGGGCGCAAGGTGTGACACGGGATGTGGCGCAGCAACCTTCGGTGGAGGGGGTGGCGGCGCAAGGCTCACCGCAGGCGAAACGGGAGCTGAGCCTGGGTGTTTCTTGCTGAAAACATGCGAAGCGAGTGAGAGAGTCAACTGTTTGGCTCCGTATGGGCGGGACGGTGCACTGCGTGGGGTCCCAGGGTAATATTCGTCGCTACTCTGAGAGTCCTTCACTCTGCTTCCACTATGCTGCGATGAGCAAGAAGAGACATTGAGAGTCTCGGATTTCTTCCGTCGTCCACCAAAAGCACGGGAAAGGCTGAATCCTGTTGACAAACTAGGAGCTGGTGATGATGGTGGTGAAAGTACCGTAGCAACATGTGGGCGGCTGTTTACCTGACCCATCGAAGGTGCAGAGGAAAACGAGCAAGGTATGGGGCTGGAAACAAGACCACCTGAACGACTCTTGAACGTGGAGGAACAAGATGTAGGGAGTAGCTGATCGGTTGCGATATTGAATTGGCTAGAGGAAGGCCCTGCAGGCAGCAGCGTGGAAGATGCTGATGAAGACAACGAGGACGAAAGTGATGCCACAGACATGGAGAACGGTTTCTTGATCTGGGCAACGTGGTGGTCCTGGGAGCGAGGATGATTTCCAAGCATCATGTTAGTAGGCAACTAGACCAATTGGGACAAAAATGATATGGACTCGGGGATAGCCTTTAATAGATAATTACGGGTCTGAAACGCAAGGGGAGGAAGTTAGCATAGATCTGTCACAAGTGGAGAAAGAGGACGTAAAGGCACGAAGATAGCAATGCGGTGAGTGTGAGGCTGGAAGCACAAGAAGACAATTATAAAAGACAATGATAGCATAGCACGTACCGTGCGTATTTAAAGTAGCATGAACAGAAGTGATAGGATCAACAGTGATCCTAAGACTAGATGGTTTGAACAAAGATATTCGCCCAAACGGTGGTTTATTTGTAACTTTAGCTTGATAGGCTGTTGTCTAGTTAGTCCAGACTCGGGTCAGCCAGGACCGTTCACCAGATTGCTGCCAGTTACAGCGCTTGACTGCGCTCTAGATGATGGTGGTCAAGAAACAAAGAGACAGAAAGTAACCGCCCGTTGTCGCCGTGTGCTTGCCCTGTTGATCGCCTTGAGGCAACCGTAATGATTCTTGTCAAATTGAGGCAAGTCTAAATTTGCACGACACAGCCACACTACACACACAAGCGTCGGTACCATTATCAATATCAATCCGGATTTCTCCTAATACACGTCTTCAAGTAATCGTTTTAAAGCACACTATACCATAATATATACTACGCTGAGGGAAAAATATGAAACAATTATGTATAGCATGGTGTGTCGATCTATATTTGTCTAGTTCTAGTGTCGAATCAAGACCAACAGCCGGCAGCCGAGTGTAGATAGATCTTTAGGGTGTGACCAATAGTTCCTTCACCAGCTCATAGGTGAAGAATGACGTGGCGATGCTAGGTGCAACTTTGACTGCTCAGATGTTTCAGTCTATGAATGTCATGTGGGTAATGATTCACGCTCACGCAGATTTGGCCATAGTCCACGATACAATCCTCGGAGTCCTTCCGTGCGAATGATAGAACCTAATGCATCAAACGCACCATTGTAATGATATCCAAGTCCTCCATGGGCCATTCCGGTCACTTGCATCTTCCGTCTCAGCACATCGAATGGGTATGTTAGAGTTTGTGATATGGATCCTATAGTAACCGATGAGGATCCCCCTGAAACAATAGTAGTACGAACGTACCAGCTAGCGCTCCGCAAGCCAACTTCCTCATAACGTTGTTTTTTCCAGGAGGCGTCATGACCCCACGCAACGCCTCGTATGTTGCAAAGTTGATGCCTACGTACGGTGCAACTCCAACGGCAGTAGTAACCATGCCCCGATAAAGACCGGGAACTCCACCCTCTTCTCGCATCACTTTCAATGTCATTCCGACCACGGTTAGCTCGGCTCTCTTTGATATCGTTTGGTTCAATGAGCTGGAAGATGTATGATATGCAGACGCTAACCCCTGCTTCGCCCCGGATGCTGTCATAACCGAGGAGCTTGGCAGTGCCTGTTCGGTCTGCAGAGATATGCTAGCCGTTGCGATCGATAACCTTGACCGTACAAGGTCTAGTGGGTATGTCGCGCCTGGGGAATGTATGAGATAATGATAAAACAAAATAGGCAGTCGCTGCGCACAAACAGACGTGATCCCCGCTAGCGCACCACTAGCCAGCCGCTTGGGAGTGTCAAGTTCTTTTGTCCCATAGGCCGTAAACCACTAAGAAATATGAATGACAGACTTCAAGGTACCGATAAATGACCCTACCTTCTTCAATTGTTCGTACGTAGTGAACTGTACGGCGCTGTAAGGCACGATTCGGAGGCAGTTAATCCCGTTCCCTCTCATGAAGCCTTTGAACCCTTCTTCCTCCCACATCCTGACAAGACTCCGCCAGACTCCCTTGTACTGACCATCTGACGTCCGCGGTTGCACTTGTCTAGTAGCGCAAAACGAGTTTGTAAGATCAAGCTGTGCTCGGAGAAAAGAACGCAGTAGTGATCCGAACAAACGGAGATTGAATCACTGCAGGGACTCACTGGATGATTTTGAGCCTTTCTAAAGGACTAACGACTGTACGTGAAGTAGCACCAGCAGCTCCACCTGCAACAAAGTATGATGCTATCTCTGGCATCCAAAATGTTTGTTTTTGTCCGTTCACAGCTGCCATGCCGTTGGATATTTTCGGCTGTGAAGATTGTGACGACTGTGTGGATGTCATGACAGGTGACGCAAAAAGTGCGTGAAGAGAGTGATTAAGGGTTATATATGATAGGAATGTGAAAGGGAGCGGGTGAAGCAAAGCACGGGGCTCAGCCTGTGGAGCTATACAGACGAGTTCTTGGTGTATGCAAATGAACGTTGAACGCTCGTCTTGATCGGTCTGGCAAACGGAAGCATCACGTGATTCAAATTCAATAGAGCACAAGGTTGGCACAAGGCCTGAACTTTCTTGTTCAACGTTTGAACAGCTTTTGGAATGGAATGGAATACCGAGTTCTGCAGAGCAACTGTATTTACAACAATGAACTATCCAATTCTGGGCTTCTTTCTGGCAGAACCTCCCTGACCACCCGAGAAACTTCCAACGGCTCCCCCACTAACGCTCCCGAAACTAGCAGTACTACCTGGTTTGGATTGTTGGGAAAGATTTACCTGGGACTGCTGCGATAGATGCTGTCCTTGAGCCTGGCCATGCCCTGGAGCCACTTGCGACAGTGTCTGTGCCTGTGTAGGTGCGGGCATGCCCATCATAGATGGTGCCTCATCTTGAGTGATTCGCCGTTGGGGTGGTAGGTGGTGGGCGGAAACAGGAAAAAACACGCTACATTATTGTGAGCGATAACCAGGAGACTCCATGAAAACAGGCTGTATGTAACGTACTTTCTCGTCGGCCGAAGATCTTCTTGGAACCATTTGTGTGCCAGCGCTTCTTTGGCTGTTAGGCGCTTGTCCGGATCATACGCGAAGAGCTGGCGTATGAGATCATAGCCTTGCTGCGAACGGATGCGTGTTTGGCACCACTCGGCGAGGCGATTTGGGTACCTGTGATAATTTCGGACCAAGACTATCCCGGATGCAAGGGAAACAACTCACGTGTCAAGGCGTTTCATATTCTGATACTCTGGCATGTCTTTGAGGCCTGACCAGTCCTTCTCTAAAAGAAGTGAGAGAAACGCGCTGGTAAATATGCTTGTGCCATCTCTTACCAGTTGGTGTTCCGAGGACTTCGAAAATCTTGAGTAGCTGATCGCGCTGGAAAGGGACATTTTTCTTAGAATCTAATTTTGCCTCCTCGCCCTTGAATATCGGCCGGAGACTCGCCAACTCAGCGAAGACACATCCGACAGCCCAGCAATCTACTGCCTTGTTGTAATGTTTTGCGCCTAGCAAGAGTTCGGGAGCTCGGTACCAGATAGTGACAACAACTTTGTCACCCGCAAACAGCGGTTGAAGGGGTTGATATATTAATCGTGCAAGCCCCAAGTCTCCTATTTTCACCACACCAGATGCAGTAATGAGGATATTAGCAGGCTTAAGGTCCCTGTGAAGGATATGTGCAGAGTGAAGGTATACCAGGCCATTGAGAAGCTGATAGATCAGGGACTTCAGAACTTGTGATGCGATCTGTATCCGAAGGGTTTGCGAATAGTGATGTATTACTTGCTACGCCGGAGCGTGGTCAAAAAAATAACTCGATATTAGACAGACAAGACGTACAAGAAAATCATGTTCAGCATATTCGAAAACCATGTATATCGACTTATCTTCTAGGATAACTTCCTTGAGAGCAACAACGTTTTCATGAGAGATTTCTCGATTCAGCTAGATGTAACAGGCTGTTGAAGCCTTCTGATGAAGAACAAAATGAACAAGCTTACTGCGATTTCTCGAATGGCGCTTTGACTGATACCAGTATATGTGACAACATCCCCTTCTTTGTCTGGTTTAAACTTTTTAATCGCATGGATCTGCCCATCTGGCTCCAGACTCTGCGCTTTGTACACGCGACCATACGTTCCAGAAGATATGAAACCAAGGATGGTGTACTTGGATGTGACAGCCTGGTGCAGGCGGTCGCGCTTGGCCCGATAGAAGCGCATTGGATCAGATTGGAGGAGCGTGTGCGACCATTCTTCATGCATTGTGAATTGATTAGAGACTAAGAATTGTGTTTGACTTCATCAAGACATAGTGGTCATGACACAACATATCAACATCACATATCCATTAGCGGAATTCGAATCCATCTCTCCTCATCACATCCATTCCATTCTCAAAGATTCGTTATCGCTCATGTTGACCTCAAAATTGTACGGAGACGTTATGCGTGGTGTAGACGTGGAAGCCGCCGCCGAGTTCTGGGGTCGTAATGGCTCTCCGCCTCAGGTCCGTGAGGGAGCTGGGGTCACTCGTCCCGATGAGCCAATTCGTGTACCAAGCGGCGAGTCTTGCAACGATAGTTCTGTCGGTCCATCTTCCTACCGTCCTCCTGTACTTGCTAGCGAACGTGTCCTTCTCTGGACCACTCCTCACGGTGTTACTTTTCAAAATCAGCTAGAACAGCTTTATCCAGAGTCATATATTGTCAAATTATTCTTTGTCATGGCAGAGTCCCTTGATGAAAGCACCCGCAATGGCTACGGCGCAGGCCTGCTACATTTTAACCAATTCTGTGATCGTCTCTCCATACCGGAACAAGACCGTATGCCTGCCTCCGAGGTCCTTCTTTCCATCTTCATTGCAGATGCTGCCGGCTCAATCTCCAGTAGCACCGCGGATGACTGGCTCGCTGGCCTTCGCTTTTGGCACGTTATTAACGGCGCTCAGTGGCACGGTGAACGCTCGGAATGTCTTCGTCACGTCCAGCGTGGTCTTCACCATCTCGCTCCGCCAAATTTGAACTCCGAGCACCCTCCTCCGATCACTCTTGAGTCGCTCATTCAGTTATACCAAGGCCTTGACCACTCCAATACCTTCGATACGGCAGTTTTTTCCATAGCTTGTCTCGTTTTCTGGTGCGGTTGTCGGTATGACTTTCACCATTTTCCTTTCACCCCCTTCTAACCTGAAATACAACCAGTATGGAGGAACTAGTCATTCCCGCTTCGGATTCTTTTGATATGACCAAGCACGTAACCCGCTCCATCTTACCCATTGTCACTCAAGAGTCAAACAATGTGCGTCACTCGACCTTGCACATACCATGGACCAAAACCACAGGTTATAACGGCGCCGATATCAATGTTACCTCCAGAGACCATCTTACATGTCCTCACGCAGCCCTCTTTCATCATCTCAAGGCCAGTCCCAACATTCCATCTCACGCTCCTCTCTTCTCCTTTCAAACCCCCACCGGCGCCTGGGCTTCCATGGCTGAACAGTGGTTCCTGAAGCGTTGCAACCAGATCTGGAGCCCCTGATACGAATCGTTGGAGCCATGGGGCTTCTCGCAAACCCGGGACGCGCTCCCCCAGACGCAGCCGCCACCAAAGGCCGAGGAAAAATCTCGCACTTTCTTAACCTATTGGCGCCGCATTGCAGCCCTTAATCATCGATCCTGCCTTCTCGTCTATCATTGCTCGCATACATTCAGTCATACAATACATGCAACGTCATCATATTTTACTTCCCACTGCCACATCATGCACTTCCCATTCACGCATTTCGCACAAGAACCACCGTTTTTCGTCATCGCAGTTGTTATGTATCAGCAGCATACCACACCGCGGAATGTTACAATTTGACCACATCTTACGTTGTGTTGGTGTGGGTTATTTGGTAGAGAAACTGTACTGATGATCGATGAGGCTCGATCCGCCGTACTCTCATTGAAGGTTTATCTGGTCCCGTTTCTGAATTCCCGATCTTCTCTCTACTCGGTTGCAACACGAAACACTAAGAGGGTGCGATTCAAGCGCTTTGCTCCAGACTACATGTGCAGATGCGATCTGCAGGGCCACTTCGCTTTCTTGGTGCATGTTGGGACGTGGGTGTCACTATCCATGCTTGTTAGCCATATAGATCTAATACACGTCGTGTACTGATACTAGATAAAGACCCAACTTTGCTGGCAGCAACCTTGTCCCACAAGTAATAATGTCGTATATCATCATTTTAAGAATGATCAGAGGTATGCTAATTGTACATCATCAGTAGTGTCCTTTGGGAAGTAGCGTTGTCCCACAAGTAATAATGTCGTATATCATCATTTTAAGAATGATCAGAGGTATGCTAATTGTACATCATCAGTAGTGTCCTTTGGGAAGTAGCGTTGTCCCACAAGTAATAATGTCGTATATCATCATTTTAAGAATGCATCAGAGGTATGCTAGTTGTACATCATCAGTAGTGTCCTTTGGGAAGTAGCGGGCCAATTCAACTGTTGAGAATAGCTGCAGAAAATCCGCTGCCGGACAATATGTTACATGTGTGATGAAAATGAGCATATTTCAATAGACAGGTTCTGACAAATGATTGAGATGAATATAACTTTCAGAAAGCACAACTTAGAGGGTTGGGTTTACCAAGGTGTTTGAGCACCGCGACTTTCCTTTCCTCGGAGAAGTTTGTGTGATAAAGGGCTATCGCCAAGTTTACATCATGTTAGTGAACCGGAAAGCTTAGGCAATGCATGTTTAACAGTGGTTGCAACACAATCAACTCGTGAAAGTTGGTTTCACTTGGTCAGATGAGATGATGAGTGCATTAAGTGATGAACGAAAATGACTTACGGCGATTAAACAGTGAACAAGCTTGATGGAATCGACACCTACAGCGTATGAATGGTGATTAAGTTCTCGGCATCGCGTTCTCTTTGAATCATGTTCTCGAATGCCCGTAAGTTATGGATGATGACTGGAAAACTTTCCGAGGAAGCCATCGCGAGGTATATAAAAAAGATATTTCGGCGCAATGACTGGGCCTACTAAGTTGAGATCGAGGATCTAAACGCCGCAAAAATGTTATCAGTAGGTTTCGAACCAACTCCAAGAGAAACGGATTTCAACTCCGTTATTGTAACCTCTTGGCTAAGACTAGTTAGATGAACTTGTGGGGGAGCTATTCATGGATCAATGTCAAGGTGTGTTTTGATGGAAAAAGACCAGTCATTCGGCGGGTTTGAAACCTGCGCAATCCAAAAGGAAGAGACTTTAATTCTGCTGCGGTGACCACTTGACTAAGACTAGGGGAATGAATATTCGGTTGAACCATCCATGAGTGAATGTCGAAGTCTGTTCCGATAGGGAAAAAAATTGTCATCGGCGGGTTTGACAGATTTTGATTCTGTTGTGGAAACTACCTGGTTATAAGACCAGCTAAGGTGGTCCTCCGAGAAAACTATCCACGAGTGAATCTTCAAGGTGTGTTCTGATGCAAAAAAACCTTGTCATCTGCAGGTTTCGAACATGCACTGGCACAGTCCAAGGGACAGATTTAGATTCTGTTGTAGTAACTACGTTGGCCAGGACGAAGTTAAGATGAACCTCCGTGGAAACCATCCATGAGCGAATCTTCAAGACGTGTTCCGATAAAAAAGACCTGTTGATCAGCAAGTTTCGAACCTGCACAGTCCAAGAGAAACAGATTTTGATTCTGTTGTAGTAACCACTCAGGTTACCTGAACGTCCAACGAAACCATCCATGACTGAATGTCAAGGTGTGTTCCGAGAGAGGCCGTCGACAGGTTTCTAACCTGCAGTCGAAGAGAAACAGTATTGTGGTAATCCCTTTGACCAGGATGCTTCGCAAGTTGAGACAAACCTCCGAAGAACTGTCCATAAGTGAATGTCAAGGTGTGATAAGACGTTTGTTGGCAGGTTTTGAATCTGCATCACCCAACATTTTTAATCTGTTTTGGTGCCAGTTGCTATGGCCACTTAAGATAGACCTTGAAGGATCCATCCATGAGTGAATGTTCAAGGAAAAAGATTGTTGAGTAGGTTCGAACCTGCAATAGATTTCTGTCCTGTCACGCTCACCACTTGGTTAAGACTGGTCAAGATGGACGTCTGTGCCATAGTACGAGTCAAAGAATATCATGCATTCAAGTTGGCAGTAAAATCACTAGTCATTTGCAAACGCAAAATGAAATAAAAAGATTAGTTCGATGATCACAAAACATGCCCGGAATAAGCGTCGGGGCCAGTTGGGCGCCACGCGCCATTGGCCAGCGCCGTAACTTATGTTGCTCATTAATTCTCGTGCGGTGTGGGATCGTACAGCCACATTGATTATGTTGATGTTGACCTTGTGCTACAAGGTGATGACAGGATAAATATATGTAGTGTGTTATTAAAGGCGGCAGTTCAGGTCAAGCATCCTATCCTAGCCTATCCTGTGCTTTTTAATTTTGATACTTAGTCTCCGGCAGATAACTGACCCAATATATATATATAACAGTTGATATATCTTTCTACATAAGTGTGAGTCTGTAGTCGGGAAGAGCCAGGACCTCCAGACATCTCACGCACCGAAAATAAGTAAATAAGTTGAGTAAGACTGTAAGTAGTGATCGTGAATAAGCAAGAACTGCGCAGCTACTGTAGGCTACCGTGGGTATAAATATTACAGCCAACATGGTCAACGTAAAACAATATGGTGCAATCATTGGAAAACATTAAAAGGACCTGGGTGGATCACCTGGTAGCTTGCATGTAATCGGGAGGGGGAAGGGTATCCCCAATGGTTACTGAGGAACTTTGCATTGATGTGGGACGCTGCACTGTGACCTTTGAGATGCCCATTGAATCATCGGGCACTGGCAGCTGGAATATATTTTGCCGAGTGCCTGGAGCTTCAGGTAGAGGACGACGTGAAGTTCCTGGCTATAAGAAGAGTTGAGTAAAGTTGTTCATCGAAGCGGAGGCAAAATCTGGTTCCTACCTCATCAACCGGAGATTGTGTTGCCCAGCTTTCTACAACTTCGTCTACAGTGGGCATGCCAGAGCTAGGGGCATGTAGTCCATTTGTAATACGAGACAATCTCTGAGAATCGTAGTCCGCTTGTTGATAAGACTGCCATGATGTGCCTTGGGACAAGGTGTGTTGTCTGACAAGGCTAGCATCACTTCTTGTCTCTACCGAGGAAGAAGTGCCCATATCAGCGTTTTCTGGGGGATGTTGAGGCGTATGAATCCGGTACAAGTCCTGCGACGCTGCCTGTGCCGATTTCCATCGCCGATAAAAGAAGAACGCAGCTGCCGATGCACAGAGAGCCACACCGACAACCACAATGATACCAGCAATAGCCCCAGAACTTAAACTTCTGTCTAGCGTATAAGTTATTGAGGTTGTTGAGAGTAAACTATCTTACTTTGAAGTTGAAACTGCATTGACACTGCATACATGTAGTGGTTAACTAAATTGTATGGGAAAAGTTGACCAGCGCACGCACCTTGAAGGTGAAGTTCCCGACGAGCTGCCAGAACCAGATGAACTCCCCGACGAACTGGAAGAATTGGAGCTTCCGTTAAATTAGCATTATGACATGTGCGAATGTGCGAAATACTCACCTTGATGTGAGCAGTGCGTAGTCTATGTTGAGTGTTTGTCCGTTTATTTCAGGAAGGTTAATGAGGGTCAGCTGATGCTGACCAGAGCCGAGATTGTCTGCATGATAAAGCATGACTTCGTAGAAAGTCAAATATGCAGTGGCATTGTACTGGACGGCTTGTTGAGAGTCGAGAGAAACGGTATACAGACTGTTGCCAGGGCCTACAGTCCCGAATATGCTCACAGATTCGGCTTGATAAGAGGTTGCATGTTAGCTGGGAGTTCCAAGTCGGTTCATTGATACGTGACATGCCCTTGAGTTTCCATCAGCACAACTATGGATGACTTTTGGCTCTCAGCACTCACTGTGAATGTTAAGGTCACACTGGCACCACTAACACTCGTGGAGCTAAATAACATTATTGAAAACCTCCGTAACAATGTGAGAGAGATACTCACTGCCCAGTCCCATTATTGAACAGGTTCACACCAGTGGGGTTCGTATTCCATGCTGGCTCCTGGTACTGAAATCTGGGGTCTGCGTCATCGACCGCCTCCGTTATTAGCTGGGTCCCGCTGAATTCGGTCTTCCAGGTCACCTTTATACGAGCGACAACAATGAGTTGTTGAACTGGTCAAAGGCTAGATAGACTCTACCATGTCGATATCAACGTAGAGGTTCCCGGTGGCAGTGTTTGTAATCGATACCGTATGTAACTCTTGTGTCAAGCCACTTTGGTTGAAGAGCACTTGTTGAAACAAGTTGACATTGGATTGGCCAGTGTTTCCCGCAAAATTTGCACCGTCAACCGTTACGGTGTATGTACCATGATTCGTCCTTTTAGCACCGTATATCCAGAAGGCCGTGCCGTTGAAGGAGAATGTGGCGACACTCCCTGTTACGTTCGACGTCTGGAACGTCCCGCGGAAGTATCTGAGAATAGTTGTTATTCATCGATTTTACGGCAAGTGACATAGAACACAGACTGGTCTGCTAAAGGGTCGTCTCCAGAGTTCCCTGGAGCCCAGGTAAGATCATAGTGTATCAGAGGAGATTTATCATCGACGAGAAATGAAACCGACGACATCTTGGGCTAGTGCAAGGGAAGAAAAGATGTTAAAGCTCATCCAATGGTCCTCTTGTGTGGTTCGGTTGTGGACAACAAAATCACTACTGGCGGTGATCGATTGATTGTTTATTTCTCGGTAATACATACTACAACCGAACATCTGCACAGGATATTATGTCCTGTGTGAGGAGAGAATATTAACTTTTTCAGATTGCACCAGCAGGGCCGTGTGCAAAAAGAATCTCATCACGCCTGTTGGCATCTGTGAGCATATAATAATATAGCATCCACAAAGTTAGGTCGATAATCAGCGCTCTGGTTGCTATAGCAGGTAGCAGCAACTCATCAAAGTCAGATCAGAGGCTTCAGGACAGTACCTGACAGTATGTGCGCAAATGAAGTTGCAGTGCCTGGACGGTTGTGTTGCTTTATCTTGGCGTTATGGAACTTCCAAAACGCCAGGAAACACGTTTAAGATACAGGGCCACTTGACATACTTCTTGGCTTGCAAAGGAGTGTGGAAAGAGAGGTGTGGGGTCAGTGTGGGAAGCGCCGCTTGTTGCCGGATGTAACTTTCCGAAATAACACCATCTTTCTTAGAGCCACGTGAAATGATCGGGTAGATGTCAGATGGGCCCAAATTGAAATATTGACGAGAAACACTCTTATAGTCACAGTCAAGTTAGTGGTGCCCAAGGCGAGACAAAAAGAACGAAAAGAGACTAGTGCATTTGACCCTAGACATCGTTCGCCGATCTGCAGGTCGAAGCTTAAGTAGTCGATCAATACTTTACTAGATAAAGGCCGAGCAACCTTGTTTACACTGTGGTATCGTTCTGGCAAGGGTTTTGTACAATATTACATAATCAAATACAACTATATCCAGAGGTGTGAGGTTGCGACCCTTTAGTATTTCAGTGACAAAGTTCGAGCATGGATATGGTAACATGGACGTCGGCTCTTCGACGATATGATACTGTATTTACAGTAGGAAATACAATATTAGCAGTCTTGTCCGAGCTCGTTCGCCTCTGCAAATAGACAGTGTCAATGCGATCTACGAATGCCGTGAATTGCGGCCCTCAATTTGCGGGTCATCCATGCTGCGAATTGCAGTGTTGAGACTCAAAATCCGCATGTCTGGTCATAGCGCCGGTGATTTCACTGATGCTCTCAAAGTTGTTGTCTCTCCTGCTCCGCTGACAATAGGACCTGCCTGCCGAAAATCTCCCAATCCTGCGAATGGTATTCCGGTGGATTTCGTCTTCAGCAGATGTAGTGTTGGCACCGACTTCAGCATATGCTATCACGATGCTGCCAAAGGTGGATTTTCCCCGTTTAATGTACGTATACATCGCACTCTCTTGAGAACATGGTTGGGAGAATATACATTTTCTATATGATTTTGACGAGAAGCTGCTAACGGCTTACCCAAGTGAATATCTTTGTATTGAAGACCAACAGATTATGAAGCTTGACCTGAAAACAGAGCAGTGGTGGGATTCAAAGAAGTAGAGAGCCATAATATACTGATTGCTGCAAGATTCATTCAGAGTTGGATAACAAACATAGAGTCATGGGCTTGTTACCTTGTAACAGTACTGTAAGTTTAAATAAATTCTCACCAGGAGAAAATGTGGGATCGTACAGCTACAATTATGGGGTTATAATGACCTTGTAGGTACAAGGTAATTATGAACATCTGAACCACTGATATCGCGACAAGCTTTCAAACGAAAATAGCAAGAGCTGGGAATGTCATTTCATGTGAAGGTAAGGTGTACATACATCAAAAACATATACCATAGCAATGCATGCAACTGTGGTCAGAGGCTCGAGACATGATCTATGAGACCTTCAGTACCTGTGTTCACAGAAACTACTCTCAAGAAGGGGGAGCTCCGCGCGCCTCATGATACCCTGGGCATTTATCTCAGAAATTGACGCAGGCAACATTATAAATTACTCACCTCCCCTGTCTCCACGTCCACGCCCGCGTCCCCTGCCACGTCCACGATTTTCGTCGTTTCGCCAGTCGCCATCAGACCGGCCGCCACGCTCGCCACGTTCACCCCGCTCACCACGTTCAGTCCGCTCGCCACGTTCACCTCGCTCGCCGCGTTCACCCCGCTCGCCGCGTTCAGTCCGCTCGCCACGTTCAGTCCGCTCACCGCGTTCACCCCGCTCGCCACGGTAGCCTGTGAAGAATGGAGTGAGTGGATATCGTGAACAAAATTATCAAGACAGACCACCGCGCTCGCCGCCCCGGTAACCACCTCGGAAGTTCCCTCGATCGCCGCCCCTGAAATCACCCCGCCCACGGTAGCCACCCCGCCCACCACGTCCTTCACCACGGTAACCTCTGCTGCGTCCGCGACCTCGTGGGTGTGTGAAGCCATCATTCTCAGGCTCCGGGGCAGTGGTAGCGACAACTTCGACGCCATTTACAGGTGCAGGTACAGGTTCAGCAACAGGAGTGGCCGATCCTGAAGGGGCAAAACTTGCTTGTAGGTTTGCTATCGATGGCAGACCACCTTCCTCGTCCGCCTCGGCCCAATCAATGGGCTGCGCAGGTGCACCCTGCGGAATCAATGGTCGTCAGAACCCGAAGCGCACTATATCTTTGGGTGAATATCTAACTTACACCAACTTCCGCAGCTGAAGGTGCAGATTCTTCGTGCTCGAGAACACCATTCTGCGTCACTTCAACCTCGGATTTCTCAACCCACTCAGCAGTATTCTCAGAGTCGTCAGCGGACTCAAGCTCGCTCGCTTGCATGAAATGGAAGCTACCAGTGCCACTCAGACTACTGGCAGTGGGAAAACTAGCAGTGGGTTGAGATTCAGTGGGCGAGTTACTTGAATGCTCAGAAGCAACTTCTGTTGCTGCATCGGGCTCTACCGGTAAAGGTGTTGGTTCACGTGGGGGGTTGAGGAAGGACTGCACGATATCCAGTAGCCTTGCATCTATCAGACTGTCAGTTTAATCTAGGTTGTTGAGTCCGAGGGATGTTCTTACACGAAACACCATTGAAGTCGCCTTGTCCAGAGAGCAGACCGGCCAGTATTGCTTGTTTAAGTTCTGACTCCTCGGTGATAAGGGTCGAGCAAACAGAAAATATTGCTTCCCCTTCGGCCTCATCGAAATCAAGAACAACCGGAAGAGGCTGGCGATTTGAGAGACATGTATGCAAACGGATTAGAGATAGTATAGCAGAGGCTTTACTAGCTGACAATGCCTGGAAGAACTCAGCTACAAAATCCGTCGATTACAATCAATTCCCTACCTCGGCATCAGCAACAGAGGTAGCGATTCTGACAGCCTCTGCAGCTTCAGCATCTGCACGTTTTGCTGCTATTTCGCGTGCAAGATCAGCTTCGTGGGACTGGTACACAAAAAGATTTGTTATTTTTGTCGATGGGTGAATGATGGTATTACTCGAACCTCGATCAATTTCTTGACATCTTTTAGTTCTTTCTGAACAGCCTCCAATGAAGGAAGGGTCTTCAGGGTTCGCCTTTGGTCATCGTCCAGTTTTTCGTGATCCGTTGTTGCATAACTCCCTATGCGGGCCTGGAAGACGTACGTCAGCTACTTGGTGCCGAAGCCAGAATGCACAACAATAGCGTCACGTACTATCTTTTTGTTCAAAGCTTTTAAGCGTTTCTGGAGGAGTTCTACGACCGGACTGGATTTGGTGGTTAAATCATCGAAGGTCGGAGCTTCAGAAGGTGCAGCAAGTTCTGGAGCGACTGTGCCCTCCTTCACATCCGCCTCTTCTGGTGCTCTGTCAATCTGAGCAGCAGAAGTAGTATCTGGAACAATGACGGAGCCTTCGGCAGGCGAGTCTGCAGTTTTTGGCTTGTTTGATCGACGTTTTTTCTTTTGAGTTTTTGCCTGTGACATGGGAGGGAGAGCACCGGGAACAACACGGACATTTGGAGTATCGACCATACTGAAAAGTAGATAGTAGAAGATGAGCTAGTGCAAGAGCGAGAGCAAGGGCAGACAACTAAATTGTGCTAAAGAAGAGTAAGTCTGTAAAAGCTCGAGGGCAAACTGAAAATTCTAATTCTCACGGTTGAAACCCGTAAGTACGTTCATCGATCTTTGCTCAAACACGCCGTCAGATAAGCCAGATCATCGCCATGAATGCGGCAGATTTCAGCACCAATAGGCACTCTTCCGATGGGCGCATGACCATGCACATGGCGAGCAAACATACGGATCTTTACTTCAACGACGGAAATATAATCTTGCTCGCTGGCATGTCCTATTTCCTGGTTCATCAAGGGCTTCTGGCACGGCATTCCGAGGTTCTGGATGAGCTCATGCACTCCATGGACGATACTCCGACACTTGAAGACCACCCAGTCCTTGCCTTGCTAGACCCATCTACAGATGTAGCACACTTCTTGAAAGCGATGTACGATGGAATGTTAGAACATGTGTCTTTCTTTCTCCATTCTAGCTGACATACAACAGATCGTTCGTAACGTATGATTCAGAGGGATTTACAACGCTCTCAGGCCTCCTCCGCATGTTGACCAAGTACAAGGTGCACCATCTCCGGAATGATATCTTACGCGGACTCTCCAACTACTGGCCTACTACCCTTACTCAATGGGACACGCGTGAAGCCTCTGTGACCGGAAAAGATGGTACTTATACACCACGTGATTCTCTGCCGCACCCTATGTCAGCCAAGTTAACTAATCGTCTGCTTAATGTTGACCATTTTTTGAATCAGAGAAATCATTAATCTCGCTCGTGAAATCGATCACCTGCCACTTTTGCCATCCGCAATGTACGACCTAACCCGTTCCACCCCGAGTGAGGCTGCGATTGGTTTTGTGTCACCATTCACCGGCATAAACGTCAGATTAGAATACGCCGATCTTCTGACCGTTCTCAAAGGCCGCGAACAAGCTTCTCGTTTTTTCTCAACGTTCATCGTCAACAACCTGGAAGGAAGGCAGCCTTCTCGATGGTGTCTACGTCGCAAGGATGGCCATCCCGTCAGCAAGAGGACCTGTCAGATTGCGTTCGAGGCTATCACGTTTGAACTTCTGCGAGACATCAATGGCATCATCAGTAATCGGACCTCGGACCCACTGTACGCGATGGCCGAAGCGGAGCAAATGCAGACGCGCGACGACCTGTTGAACAGCGAGGTTTCTCCCATGAAAACGTGCGAACACTGTCGGGTGGAATTTGGAGCGGTAGTTGATGCAGCAAAAGAAGACTTCTGGAAAAAGTTGCCCAAGTGGTTCGATATAGATGTTTCCCCCTGGGGTTAAACGTTGACTCTTGTCTGGTTAATCTGTTTCTTTTATTCGTCTTGTACTCTGGGTTCAATGAAATATCCTTTTCCGTCAAATATCTGATTTTGACTGAGCACGTGATCGACGCGTCAATAAAAAAGTTATCAACGACTCTTGCCATGAATCTTGTCAGCCTTTGAAGCTTCCTGGCTCCGCATGGTGAGGCCTTCTGTAAGTCTAATTGCGGCTGCGCAACAAGAACTAGCGCGAATTCGGGCTCAGCTTCACAATTCACCACTGGTAACTTGAAGAAAAGCACATATCCGATCCGGATTCCGTATATAAGTTGGCTCATCAAGCTCAAGGGCCAAGGCGGTCACGGTACAAAGGGGATTCCATCATCAGCAGAGTGGCACTCCTCAACAGAAAACTCCTTAGAAACGACTCGAGTTTTCACACTACTGGTTCCCACTCCTGGGAGAACCGATTATCTTTTCGATCTTCATGCTTGTGCAAGAGTACAATGTCACCTTCTCAACTAGGCGTTGTTCTTGGTTCTACTTCACGATACGGATGATGGTCGGATATCATTTTGGACGGGAAAAGTACCCGAGGTGTTGCTAGGTATGCTCTCGCTGACATTCAATTTCGTATACGGCGGACTGCGCGTCGTTTTACTGTCATCTGGAATTTTCTTCTAGTAGAGGGTGGCATTAACACTGCCTCACCTAACCGCTAACCCAGAGAAGATTCGCACACCCATGTGAACTAGTGACAGTGCAACATCGATTACTTGCGCATCTGTCTTCTTTCGTCCTGCTCCTTAATTGAGGGTCACGCATCTATGAAACCATACTTCATCGATGCATCTTGATTTGGATGCAGGCAAGCCTCTCTCGGAATTCAGCACTGATACTGCTGAACCTGTATTTTTTGTGCTGGGAGTTCGTGGCTCTATATCTATCATTGTCACTGTCGATATGGTGTCAGTGTTAATAATTCAGTTCAATCTCAATTTGAAGTAAATGGTTGTCAGCTAGGTATTGCATTCTTGTAAGTTGACTATTTGGGGGATTTCGCTAGTTGTGTTAATGCTTTTTACAGGAGCGCTAAAGCTTGGCATGCGAGCTACTGTATGGTACAAGTAAGGTTCTCATGGGGGTATGCTTGTAAGTTTGCGATTGTCAATGCCATTTGCTGATGCACGTCAAGGTATTCTGGTGCTGTGATACCGATACCGGCTGTGTTGAACAGTTCTCTCCTCGGAAGGCTCTATCTGAACTGCATTATTGGTGGACAAACATTAGCAAGCGTGTCTCCTCACTTCGATGATACTCTTAGGATTGTCATCATCAGTGTCATTACTCTTGGGTGTATTGGAAATATCCATGCTGTAACCAAAATGACAGGTTTCAAAGGTCAGTTTCTGTAGATACCGCGTTATCCATGATGATATGACCTCAACACGCATTATCTAGATTTTTGACCAAATTTTGACTTGCAGGTACGAAAGTATCGCCTGGATTCTAAATATAGTTGCGTCTATCACCATGCTGTGTGTCGGTGGACTGGCCGGCACTGCTCTCAAGAGAGGGAGAAAGAGAACCAAGTTACTGTGACTGATGATCGACGATCGATGATGGCTGCGCTGCATGTGCTACACAGTACTACACTGGCATGGATCTATGTACGATCATGACCTCGGACTCTACAGCCTACACCTGTTCTGCTCCGAACCTGACCTGTTCAAGCCTGCCGGAACGTCCCGCTACGTCGGATATCCACAACTACGTGAAAGTCAATCAGCGCCCGTCCTTCCAGCAACACCCGCTGATAGTTATATCTTTTGCGTCTTTCGTCGCATCTAGCGTTGTCGACTGGGGTGTCATGACCCCTGACTATAGCGTATAATATAGGCCTAATACTTTCTCGTGAGCCTCCTCTTCGGATCATCTCCTCAGACTCTTCTTCACATCCTGACAGTACTAGACCTTTCATCTATATATTATTATCTGTGATTGCTAACAAGCCAATCCTTGAGTCAGTCGTCATTAGATACTGGGTATTAATCTTTTCTGCAATAGTCCTTACGGAACATGAGCTATGCCGGCATGCCTCGGTTTCTGAGATCACTGGTATCCCATCACGACCTGGGATTCATATGCTCTCTTTCCTAACAGTATCCCAACAGTCGTATCATTCGTGTGCACCTATGGAACTCTTGTTCCGTTCATGTCACAGGCTTAGTATGTAAGACCAGTGGTGAGGCAGGGCAGTGGAGACGTTGGTGTTTGTATGTTTTGTGGTGGGAGTTATCGCCTACGCATTGGCGAAAAGTTGTGGTATTGAAGAAGACACGACGGCGAGATAGGGTAATCAGCGGATGATGTAAGACGGCGGGCAGACAGACCTCCAATGGGCGGGTTGAGCAGATCAGGTAGTGATGTGTTGTGAGGGAAACATCGTCGAGTTTGTCCCGACTGCCTTTGAAACTAGTACTGCAACTATGTAATTAAGCCAGATTTTTGATTGCATATGTACCAGGGAGCTCACGAGTTATTTAGTGGGAGGTGGTTCCCAAAATTAGATGTTCGTTGATTTAGCGAGCACGTGATCTACGCGTCACGACTTGCCCCTCTGTCACCTTGATTCTTAAATGCTCTTCTGTCTTCATTCATGGTTTCAATCCTCGATGCAGACGCGGCCCTACAGCATCCAGCTATTAATGAGGCGACTCACGATGAAGATTTCCCTGAGCTGCATAACGAGCAAGTCTCTGAGGGCGATAGCGACTGTAACGTATCTGATGGTCCAGATGATGGATGTTCAAGCGCAGAATCAGACTCGGAGGAGTTGGTCGAAGACAATGAGGAGGACTTTTTGCGGTATGTCTGATATAACTGCCCCATTATTTACTGATGGGCCCGATAAGGTTTGAGGCAATACAAAAAATTGAACAACTAGCGTTGTCGTTTCTTGAACAGCTCGCCGGTTCACTACGCAACCCACGAGCTGATATAGCGTCCACCAGCAGTTCTCAAGTAGCTATTAATTCAAGATCAAAATATCCCAAAATCGAGCTTCAGTTAGCCGACCGTCACAAAACATCCTCCGAATGGTAATGTCTTTACCCCGGGTCAAAATCTGCTATTGCAGTCCCCTGATATGCCGGTGTTTTTAGCACCAGAGTTATACGATACCCTCTTAGGCGAAGAGGAGCGAGTCTGAAGCCATTCGGTTAGTCTGGTGGTCGTTTCATGATGACTTCGTTTTTACCCAATGACCGTTCAAACACAGCGCAGATTTTACGTGTCATGGACTTCGCTCACCAAGCCTTAGTCGATAATGTGCCATTAACGAAGCGGTATCTGTCTTTTGTGGGGCCTCAGAGGGGAGTAAGAAGAAGCTGACCGTGTTCCTAGTGACATGTACTACAAGGATGTCCCCCTCTTCAAAACTCAGGGAACTGTTGATCGAGTACGTTTTTTGAGTACGGATTTGGAATGTCGCCGTTCGTACTCATAGACATCAGCTGGTCGATGATCTTGCCGTGACATTGGGCCTAGAACGGGCCGACCTCAAAATTGTAACCTCTCTATCACCTTGTCACGGATATAATTCCTTGAACGCTGTTTTAGCGCGCTGCATCGAAGGGCCTTCTATGCGGTACTGGACTGACAATTCACCTTCTTGATGGCGAAGCGATTTCTATTAATGACTTAGAGGTGAATTCATTTTCCAGAGACAAGCCCAGATTTTGAATGTGGTTGTCAGGGAACTTTGATACCTACGGGTGAAACCATAGAGCGATTTGAGCTGAAAGGGGATATTTCATGGGTTCTTGTGGTCGAAAAAGAGGTATTTCCTGGAGGCCGTCTCTTACGGGAGATGTTGATCTGGTTCTCATTCTAGGCCGTCTTTCAAACACTGTGTCGTTTTCAGTTTGCAAGCCATCAATCGCTCCCCGGTCCCGGGCTCATAATCACTGTGACTAAGTGGTATGGCACTGCTGCGTTGCTGCTTATATACTTCCTCTAGGGTAAGGGATATCCCGACGTGGCTACTCGACAACTGGTGAAAACCTTGTCAGACAACCTTCCGGCGCAGTGAGTCGAACCTGCAGCTTTTCCAAGTACTCATTATCAATAGTCAATAGCATTCCAATCGTTGCACTTGTCGATAGTGATGCGTATGGACTCGACATTCTATCGGTGTACAAGTTCGGCAGCCACAGCCTACGACATGAGAACAAAAAACTCGCAGCAAAACGAATCGAATGGCTTGGCATCTGGGCATCTGAAATTGCAGAGTAGATACTGATGACTTTCTAACTCCGTCCTTACTGAAATGGCTCACTCTCATAGCCTTGAAATTGACTTGGATACACTGATCCCGATCACGTTGCATGATGAGAAGAAGGTGAGATGGGCTTTATCTCCCGCCGTGAGTTCAACCATGTCACTATCCTCCGTAGGCGCTCGCGGTCCTCAGCCGTTCCACCGATGTCGTGTCCACGAAATGGAGGCAGGTGTGAGTTTCATACCGCAACTCGATACTGAATGTGCCTACAGAAAAGAGCTCACACGGATGCTCCACATCCGAAGGAAGGCTGAAATCGAGATTCTGTCGAGCTCCTCAAGTCAAAAGTCTAACTCCCTTATACATTACCTGGCTCATAAAATCCGCCACTTTATCGAGATGTCTACCTGACGGTGATACGAATGCCAACGTACTATCGCAGCTCTTTGGCACAGTGGACTTTGACAACATCCTTCGCGAGTCTATGGGTAATAGTATTGTAACACAGCGCAATAACGTGCGAAACACAGAAGATAGAACAACAGAAATACCTATATCATACTACGGTCAATGTTCATTTCTACCGAGAGATCGGTAAAACTGAAACAGATATACAAGATAAATGGTCCATGATTGTTTGGGAATGAAGGATCAACGACTTTATATCATATGATCCACGAGAGGAGGTGATCGGCAAGGTGAAACTACTGGAGAATAGAAACTACATAGGTCTGGAACTCACAGTTCCTTAAGTAGCAACGGGCACCTCTTAGGAACGAGTTAGCTGCTGAGGCCTCGATCGATTATTGACAAGCGTTACAAGTTCGAGCAGTTAAAGTCCAAAGCTTTACATAAACATTTGTCAGAGTATGTGAAGAAATAATTCAAAGTGGGGAAGAGGTAGATCATCGTGATGTTCAAGAAGGATATTGTGGCGGAGGCTCCTGCAGTTCTTGAGCCTGTTCAAAACTCCGTTTCTTGTGTTCGAATTCGAGTTCCTTCTGATGTCGACTCATATCTGCGTAAAGCTCCGAAAGCTGGCGTTCAGACTGGGAGTTGCTTGAACTGCTGACTGCTGGCACATCAGAGGTGGCCATCGTTGCAGCAGTCACCGAAGTATCATGGGGTGCTGAATATGTTGGAGAATAGTGTGATGCAGGGCGAGCGGGTGCTGAGAATGGGTCGTGGGGGTTTGGGAGAGTAGGTACGTCTTGCGTAGCTATTCGCTGAGGGTCTGTCGCCTGCGACAATGTGCTGTAGCGGTCCTGAGCAGATATGGGGTATGGATTCCGATGGGAATTGTGGCTCAACAAAGGAGCGGCGCTCGGGATACCTGCTGAAGCCGGATACGTAGGATCCCGCCGAGATGGGGTGGGGGTGGAGGTGGGGGTGGAGGGATTCTCTCTCGAGGTGCAACAAAATGAAGGGGAAGGTATTGACTAACTTCCGAGGTCACCAGGGCAGGCTCATCATCGACTTTGTCCCGAGCCCTCTGATATCGTCTCTTTAAGTTGTAGAACAGCAATACAGATAATATCAGGAAAAACACTGGCATCGGGTTAACATCTTGGAGGGAAAGGCTTGTAAAATATCAGTTCACCTATCCCAAATGTTATCCCAGCTTGCGCTCCGGTGCTAAGCCCGTTCTGGGACGAGCTTGAGGAACTGATGCTTGTCGTGCTTGCGTGGCTTGAGCTAGAGCTGCTTGTAGTACTGGACTGGGCACCAGATGCAGACCCTGGAGTGGTGATCACAATTGGTGGTCCACCGGTAGGTGTGGGGCCTGCCAGCGGTGGTGGTGTCAATGGAGTCAACGACATTGTTAGCGTTCAACAGAGAGGCTCGAGTCTGAGACCCCTTCGATGATGCGGGTGTAGAACTGCCTAGGAAGCATGCCGTTGCCTCAATTATATGTGAATAGGTCAGTTCACCGAGTCCGAATCATACCCGAGACATGCCCGAGGCCTGCGTATGCGTAGTCCACCACACGTGTCTTCATTTGAAAACAGCGGCAACCTCGGCCCCATTGCCCATTTCATCATGGTGGAGATGCTTGTCGTAAACATCTTATCGAGATTGGCCGTGACGTCGTTTAGAGCTGGGAAAATTAGCCGATCTATAATTAGACTTTGATTGTAGATCTGATGTCATTACAGCCGAGCTGCAGTGAATACGTGCATTGGGCGCTCTTCATGAAGAGCTCAACCGCGTCTTCCTTGCGTTGGCCCATCAGTAGGTCACGTGTGTCCCGTTCTCCTGTACATATATCTTGGAGGCTAATCTGCCGCAGTGATCTCCTGTGCTAGTCGCGGATGCATTCGAGTCCGTACCGCTTCCGACTTCTACACTCCCTCGAATCATGAACAGATCCACACGGTGCCTTGTTCCATCTTCACTTCGTTTCCATCAAATCAGGTATGGGGCGAAGCAGGCTATACTAGCCTTCCCAGAGGTGGTACCACTGCTAGCCGACAAGTGTGATATTTCATTGTCTCCAGAGCTGCGCGGACACAGAGCATTCCGGATTCAAACTGACGGAACATACGTTGAATTGATTTGTCACATACCCGCGTAATGACAGCCATTGAAATGGGCTGTCACCTGTGCAAAGCATTCTCCACCTTTTATCTCGTTTTTATCCTCAGCGATCTGTACCTCTCTGGAAATTTGCTTCACATATAAAATGGTCGAAAGCATCGCTAATGCAATTCGACCGTCGCTGAACGCCCAACGCTCCGATCCAACTCATGAGCGGCTCTTCCAAATGTACGCATCGACAACTCTTCGCTACTCGGTCTACCGACATATCCTCGTCCTCGAGCAAAGCTTTAGGAACATCACCCCTTTCATCTCAAGCTCTGTTTTGCTAGCCAAACAGCTTGCATGCGATCCACTTCTACCATTGACAGCATCCTCCGAATACAATGATACTTCCTTTGCGGGTGCAGAAGATATCTCCAGCGCGCTTCCTCGCCCACGGGACGCGCGTGCGCTGGAGTGACTTATCCCAGACGCAGGCGTCGTAGCTCAAGTCGAAGCGCTATTCGATGCGAATCCTGGGGCTGGCGGGGAAGTTGCTTGGTGGTGTGGTGCAGATAATGGAGGATATACCGGATGAGGCGCTGAATGACACGATACTTGATCGTTTGGTGGATGCTAGGGAGTGGCAGGCAAGGATGAAAGTGAGGAGGAGGATGGGGACGGGGACGAGTATGTTGTTGTGAGTTGCTTTTTGATGTCCCAAGGTGCTGATGTAGCCGATGCCCATACGGGTTGTGAGGAATCTGTTGAATAAGTTTTTGGGAAGGTGGTAGCTACAGTTGACAATGAACAATCCGATAATGATATTGAAGAACGGGAGTCCGGGACCATGTCGATGTTGACTAGGGGTATGCGTGAGTGTGTGATCCTAGATCATCCTACGCGAGCCAAGTGAACTTTTAGACCCTTCCGTGTCAAATTTAATGCATTGGGTTTCATGGACAGTGATCGAACATCCTAAGTTCGTCTGTTATTGCCACGGTCCATGTTATGGAATTAAACTTTGTTGGATCTTTGGAACGAGTTTCACTGACACGCACGCAACTGCGTTATCCTTGTAATCAAAACAAACTAGCTCTCCATGATGAAGAGTTGATCATTATAAGTCCACAATAAAATAAATCACATGACATCACGTGTCTTCCTCCCTACTACTAGTCACTGGTCGTCTTGACGTACGTTGACTTCAAGTTTCGAGCTGAGAGAATTAGCCGATCTAATATCAGACTTGTCATTGTAGATCTGATGGACCGCTTGGATTGCAGCAGCTGTGTAGGAGGAGATTGGCAGTTGAACTTGTAAGAAGGTCAGTGGTCTATTTTTGAAAATCATATCAGGGGCGTTTCCCCAACAGCACGACTCCAATTCCGAGTCAGGCCACGTTGTCTGCCCTTACTCTCGCTCTTGCACTAGCTCATCTTCTACTATCTACTTTTCAATATGGTCGATGCTTCAAATGACCGTGTTGTTCCCGATGCTCTCCCTCTTACGCCACAGGCAAAAACTCAAAAGAAAAAACGTCGATCAAACAAGCCAAAAACTGCAGACTCGCCTGCCGAAGGCTCCGTCATTGTTACAGATACTGTTTCTGCTGCTCTGGTTCACAGAGCACCAGAAGAGGCGCATGTGAAAGAGGGCACAGTTACTCTAGAACTTGTTGCACCTTCTGAAGATCCGACCTTCGATGATTTAACCACCAAATCCAGTCCGGTCGTAGAACTCCTCCAGAAACGCTTAAAAGCTTTGAACAAGAAGATAGTATGTGATGCCATTGTTGTGTATCCTGGCTTCGGCACTAAGTAGCTGACGTACGTCTTCCAGGCCCGCATAGGGAGTTATGCAACAACGGATCACGAAAAACTGGACGATGACCAAAGGCGAACTCTGAGGACCCTCCCTTCGTTGCAGGCCGTTCAGAAAGAACTAAAAGACGTCAAAAAATTAATCGAGGTTCGAGTAATATCACCATTTAGCCATCGACAAAAATAACAAATCTTTTTGTGTACCAGTCCCACGAAGCTGATCTTGCACGCGAAAGAGCTGAAGCTCCGGCCTTCGATGACTTGGCCACCAAATCTAATCCGGTCGTAGAACTTCTCCAGAAGCGTTTAAAAGCTTTGAACAAGAAGATAGTACGTGACACTATTATTGTGCATTCTGGCTTCGGCACCAAATAGTTGACGTATGTCTTTCAGGCTCGCATAGGGAGTTATGCAACAACAGATCACGAAAAACTGAACAGTGACCAAAGGCGAACTCTGAAGACCCTTCCTGCGTTGCAGGCCGTTCAGAAAGAACTGAAAGACGTCAAAAATTTGATCGAGGTTCGAATAATATCATCTTTCACTTATCGGCAAAAATAATAAATGTTTGTGTGCTAGTCCCACGAAGCTGATTTTGCACGCGATATAGCAGCAGGACGTGGTGAGTGTTCGGGAGTGGTAGGCGATGATGAGGAAGATGAGGTTGAGTTCGAGTATATTGCTGTGAGTTGATTTTTGATGTCTGGCTTGTCTCAAGATGCTGATGTAATCGTTTCAGCCGATGTCCATAGGGATGAGGAACTTGTTGATTAAGTTTTTGGGGAGTTGATGGGGCTACAGTTGACAGTGAACAATCTGATACTGATGCTGAGGAATGGGACCACGACGATGTTGACTAGGGGTATGCACGAGGATTCTACGCAAGCCAGGTGTACTTTTAGGCCCTTCCATGTCAATTTTTATGCATAGGGTTTCACGGACAGTCTAGTGATCGAACATCCTGTTATTGTAACCTCCCCGGGTCTATGCTATGAAGTTAGACTTTGTTGGATCTCTGAACAAGTTTTGGACACACACGCAACTGCGTTATCCTTGCAATCAAAACAAACTAGCTCTCCATGATGAAGAGTTGATCATTATAAGTCTACAATAAAATAAATCACATGAAATCCCGTGTCTTCCTCCCTTTCACCGTAGTCGTCTTACGAGTTTTGGGCTTACGAGCCCGGAACAACTTATCAGCAGCGAGCTCATCCTCATCCTTTACTTTCCCCTTCTCGTCATCAGACGCATCAACGACTTGATCATCCAGCTAGAAGAGAAGTTAGTGTGCGGTAATGATCGTGCTCAGGAGACTCACATCGAAAACATCATCTAGATCGGGCGCGGGACCTGAGAGTTTCTTGGGTGCTTTCCCGAGGTCCGTTGCTTTGTGGAAGGGTATTGGATGATCCGTGCTATTATACCTGGACTGACCATTAGCGACAATCAAACGCGATTGATGGGTGAGCCTTACCTCTTTGTAAACAATGTCTTGGTTGCAGGCTTAATGAGCTTGTTAACAATATCATCTTTCTGCGCGTCCACGCCGAGCTCAACAACAGTGTCCCAATCCTCACGGGAAAGGTAATACTCATCCATCCGTTCAATGACTTCATCGACAGCAGCCTAAGAATGGCGTGAGTAATAGCGAGGAAGAAGATTGAGCAACAAGACTCACAGCACCTACGTCGATCAGTGGCTTGATGACGTGAGGGAATAGTGCAGGGATATACGACTGTCGGATCTCATGCTTGTCCCCAGAGACTTTAAGTCGCATTCGGACCTGAACATCTCCTAGTTGCCGGTTGAGCTTATTCTGTTTGGAATTATGTCCTAGCCACCTGCATGTATCATATGAAGGTTGTGCGTTGTGATCTGTGAAGGAACGTACTGAGGGAATGTCATTGGGTTTTGGCCGCCATATCCGCCACCCGGACCAAACAAGAATGAAGCGGGCCGCACCATCGAACATACCGCATGCAAAGGCATCAACGACCAATGTTGTTCTGGCCTGGAGGATATCATAAAATCCAATGAAAAGAGCTATGCGATCCACTCACCCGTGAATCAGAGCGTCGACAAGATCGGCGTCAGAGATAGAAGATGCGGCTTGATCCATTAACTCGAGTTGTTTCAACATCTTCGGAGGGCCTTCGAGGTTCCGAACCTTGACAGGTTGAGTCTTCAAATAATTTTCCTGTCAACAGGGTAAATACTTTTGGGGCGCGCGGAGATAGCATGTGTTACCTGGATGAAAAGCGGGACAAACGAATGATCATGAAAGTACAATTCCATCTTGTCGCCCAGTGTCTCTCGAACGTTCGGCCCAAACGCGTACGGACTAAGAATTTTGTTTGTCACGTCGAACGGCGTCAAGATGGTGTACTTTTCGTTTATCTTTGTACTGGTGATCATGAATATAATCAATGAATATGAACGACAAAGAGAACACGTACAGGTTCTTCGCCTCGTCAAAGTCCATACTACTACCGGATAGCCGCCATGTAGACAGCATATTCAGAACCTGTCGGATATCCGACTGCGATCCGGCGACGAGCTGATCGACGACGTTGGCGGGGAGTTTCATATTCTCCCTAGTCGACGATATCAGTGTGATGTCGATATAAAGTAAGGACAACCCACTTATATGCGATTGTCATTATGCGTGACCGGACAGCTTGAGCCTCAGGGCTGTTGCCGCAGTGAGTTCCTGTTACACCTGAAATTAAGCTCAACACACCGCTTAAATGGTAGGCTAAATGTGTTCGCGACGAGTGGTTTCAACTTCTGAGCGCCTCTATCATTAGCGATACAGATAATAGGGATCTGAAAAACGAGATAAGATGTTTGGTCGAGTGGACGCATCAAAACAACATGCTTTTGTCTTCTTGATCAAGGCGTTGAGAGCGCCAACGCCACCCCTGTCGCCAGCGGACATGCCATCGACTTCGTCCATGATGAGACACGTCTTGTCCGTGATTCTGACTCCTGCTGCGTTCGTAGCCTGTCGAAATGTCAGAGTCGTCATAACAGACCACTGGACAAACAAACATCATTTCCCCCCATCCATCCATCCAACGACAGATTATTGATGTTCATAGCGCTCTAGAAGTTTGTGAGTACAGCAAAAGGGTAAAGTTCCACTCCCGACTTACCTCGAGTAACTTTTTGTTGCGCGCGTCGCTTGCATTAAGCTCGATAGGCGTAAAGCCTTCGAGCTTAGCGCAAAGATGCGCGCTCGTGGTCTTGCCTATACCAGGTGGGCCAGTTATCATCATAGCGCGGTAGACGTTTGTAGCATGTTTCCCCGGTTTTTTGAAACCGCATTTAAGGCTGTCTGACCTGCGAGGGAACTTATATTTACAAAAAAAAAAGGAAGTTAACCTATAGATGTACCAATCATGGAGCCACTGTCGTAGTTTCTCTACTTGTCCTTTATTGCCGCAGATATCCTTTAATGACTGGGGAGCATATCTTGTAGTCCACAGCTGATTTGAGACGTCAGTTTTGGACCTGTAGTAAAAATTAGCGGATGTGCCGGGTGAAAGAGAAGTGCGCACTGACCTGTTTGATTTATCGGCCTCCTTCGACGCTTGTTTCTCCCTCCGTTCGAGCTCCCTTGCAGCCTGTTTGATCGTAGCCTGTTCTTTTTCTATCTTCTTTTTGGTCTTCTCGTCCAGTACCTCACCACCCGGTTCGCCGGGTCCTTGGCGAGTGGCGATTAGGTGAAGGAATTCGTCCTCGGACAGTGTTTTGAGTTGGTGTTTTTTGATTGCCTTGAGTTTCGCAGGACCGGCGTTGTCACCCAGGACAACAAATGATGTCTTTGAGGAAGGTTGCCCCACGACGCGCCTATGAGATTATAAAATTTGGTAAATACTGTAGACGTAAAGGTAACTTACCCTCCAAATCTCTTTGCCAAGTCGGTTGCTTCGTCTCTGGAGAAACTATTGAGTTCTCCGGTGAAGACAAAAGCTAGGCCTTCAAGACAATTGGGTGATTTCGCCTCAGGGACCTGTTTCGAACCAGGGGCGGACGGTCCAGCTAACCTTGCGGCTTTTGCAGCAGCCCAACTAAGTCACGTAGTTCAAAGACATAAGCACGAACACGGAGAGTCAACGTACTTGAAGGGTTTGGCGGGCGGTTTGGCGTCCTCACAGTTATCTTCACTCTCCTCCGCTTCATCCTCGTAAGAGTCCACCGCAAACTCACCGTCCTTTGATTTCTTCGATTTAACAGGCGCCTTTCCGTTCGTTTTGGCCTTGCTTGCCGAGGTAGTTGCTTTTGAGGTCGACGCTAACGCGACTACCTTCGGTGCGGTAGTTTTTGAAGTCAATGCTGACGCGACTGCCTTCGATGCAGCCACTTTCGATGTCGAAGCCGGGGAAACTACCTTCGGTGCAGATTTCGCAGCGACGGCTACTTTCTTCTTTGGCGACGGCAACGCGACAGAATTGTCCTCCTCATCGCTCGAGATAACGATATTTTTGCGTTTGAGACTCTTTTTCGGTGAGATATCGTCGCTGTCTACCATCATCGTACGGTCGGACTTGGTCGTCGCCTTGTGCTAGGGGTCCGTAGAAGTCATGGTTGGATGGAGGAAGGACACTCACGATGATGTCTCCTCCAGCACCACCGAAGAAAGAGCGAAGGTCTTTCCCTGTCCGTGCAACATTCTTTGAGGACTTGGCGGGTGCCATAGTCGTCCGTGCTATAGCAGTGGCGAACGTGGTGTGGTCGCGTCTACACTCAGACTCTTAGAGTGCGGTGTCACGTCACATTTTGTCACACGGCAAGTGACACGCATGTGTGCACTGTGCGCTTCTTCGAACCTCGTCGTTATACTAGAATTCGAGCTACATTTCAACTGCTCTGCTGTATGTACGACATTGCCAGTACGCCAAACATCGAAGGCAATAATCAGGAGTTCTTCCGCGAGAGTTGCATATGATACAATGTTAGTGTCGGCACATGTCTTACCATCCTTTGATACTTTGATCTATGTTCTCCACCTGGACGCAACAACTGCGCTACTACCATCACTCGCCACGCCGAAGGGTCTGAAATGAAGAACATGATGAATCGTCTCTTTTCTCGTTCTTCTGCTCCCCAGGGCCATACTCCTTGCCCACATAGAATTTCCCTTGCAAACGTCTTTGCGACACGAGGTAAATATGTAAAATTTCCTCATCTTTTGATATCCATGTCGTGATGCTGGTGTTGCACCGCTGATGCCCACAGTGGATTAAGGCATGAGTTGGCGCAGCCACCACGTCCTCCTCGCCAGCAAGCCCACGCTGGCGCCTCAAGTAGCAGCACGCCACCAGCAGGGACATCCAATGTGATCGACGGAGCCACCCCAGCAACCGGAAGTACCAGTGCAGCTACTAGTAACGGACTTCCTTCTCCGTTGGATATTTAATATGTTCCAGACATCGACTGCTTTGCAGTTCTCACAAGGTAGTTCCCGTATTTTTCACGTATTGGGCAAACAAGTTCGTCTGCTTCCAGCTCCTGCTAGGCTTTCTGTCCTTTCGGAACTTTTACGTTGGAGTAGATATCACTACATGTAGTATTCGAGGGCGCATGCAATTCGATGTCGCTCCCTGCCATTGTACTATGATACGCAGCACTCAGATCATGGAGAAAAAAGATTGGCGGCAGGTTTCGAACCTGCACCATCCAGGTGAAACAGATTTCGAATCTGTTAACAACTTGGTCATGAGTCTTACGATGGATGTTCGAAGAAGACCTCTTCATGGGCTCGTGCTCAGCGCTCAAGGTGCGATCATACTTACGAATAATGTTTGCCTTGTCACTCTCCTGTGATTCCATGTGCTATATAAGACAACTGCATAGGTGACACAGAACCGACAGATCAAACTGCGAAACATATGTATAGAAGGCTGTAATAATAGAACTAACAAATCAAGTAGCGAGACTAATTAATGAGCGAGTGAAGGAGGTGCGCGACAAAAAAAATCATGTGCACCTGTTGTGTTTCTTGCTGACCTCACCTCAGACAAGGCACCATGCAGTAAAGTAGTTTGACCAGAGGCTGTCTTGAGTCCGTCCTCCTTGCTTGTGCATCTCGAGGATGGTTGGCTCCGTCCACAGGCATGCAGGAAGGGGGGCGGGAGACACAGGAAGGGAGCAGATGAGAAAGGTGGGCGGGAAGGACGCCATGATCATAAGGTAGACTTGAGGAGGAGCATGAATGCAGTATTCCAATGGTACCTGCATGCTGACGGGCAGCGACGGGCAGGCAGGAGGCGCTGATCAGTATGAGCGCATTGCAAGATGGTTGGCTTTGTCATCGGCGCTGGACGGACTTGCGGATAGGCCCCAAACTCCGACCCCCGAGTCCGCCCCAGAGTGACCAAATCCCTGGCTTTCTTCATGCTATAGTCTGCGTGGAAGACATTCAAAAAGGATATTTTGGCGGAGCATCGTGTAGTTCTCGAGCGTCATCCAGACTCCGTTTCCTCCATTCGAGTGGGTCCTGATGTTGAGTTATATCTGGGTGAAGCGCCGGCAGCTGACGCACAGGTTGAGGGTTGCTAAGTGAACCATCGGCCGCTGGCGCATTCAACTGAGTGGTCATCATTGTAGCACTTGCTGAAGTTTCATAGGGTATTAGATATGTTGGAGAATAGTACGATGAAGGGCGAGCGGGTGCTGAGATTGGGTATTGGAAATTTGGATACGCAACATCCAGCTGAGGTGGAGGTGGAAGGTCCCCCCCTCCCGGCGCCGAAAGGGCAGGCTTATAACCGACTTTCTCCCGAGCTCTCTGATATCGTCTCTTCAAGTAGGAAAACAGCATTATGCATAATAACAAGAAGAACACTGGAATCAAGCAAAAAACAAGTCAACATTTTGGAGGGAAATGTTCGTAAGATGTCAGCTCACCTATCCCAAATCCTATCCCAACTCGCGCTCCAGTACTAAGCACTTTGCGAGACGAGCTTGAGGAACTGGTGCTAGTCGTGTATGCATGACTGGAGCTAGAGCTGGAGATCGTGCCCGTAGTGGCAGTTCTAGAGCTGGAGTGGGTACTAGAGGTGGACCTGGAACTGGATCGAGTGGTAGTCTGGCTAGCTCGTGGAGCAAGTGTAGGTACAAATGTCATCGTTATCGTTCAGCAGAGAGACTTGAGCTTGAGCGCTGAGCCTGAGATTCTGTGCGAGGGAAGAACTGAAGAGACAGCCTGACCTAGTACACCATGCCCGAGTAATGTGTCAAGCCCTATAAGTACAAGTCTTACGATGTGTGGGCCCTTTGTCCTTGTGACTAATGCGTGTGGCGCTTTCGGCATGACGCACATGTTGATGACAAGGGCGGACCTGTCTGTCAGCTGTATAATCCATCTGATGCTTTCCTTCTGGAACTTTGTCAGAACTATCAGATTTAGCTTAGGGTGTTGCTGACAGGCGTCCGTATATACGAGCCCACCCCACATGTCACCATTTGAGAACAGCAGCGACCTCGCCGCTACCTCTTGCACAAAACTTTTCCGTTCATAGATAGTTCGTACACACTCGAATTAGCTTATCAAGGCTGACGTCGACTTCGCTGGGAGAAGTGGCCGAACTAATTGTAGATTTGGGAAAAAGGTCGGACCGCTTGAATTGTATGTGAGATTCCGGCTTCACTGCTTCAGTAGCGTACATCAGTGAATTGATGAGACCTTGGTATTGTAGCCGTGTAAACTGTAGAAGGATGTAATTCTGCTTCTGCTAAATATGATTATCCATACTGTTAAAAATTTCAGTTGTAGATACATAGCCATCAAGGCCTACAAATTCAGAGTAACATAAGTAGTGCGCAACAATGCGATGACATTCCTGCATTACGGCCAACAGGTGGTGGTAGCACACTGGTGGCAATCATTTTGAGCCTTGTCGTTTTATCTTACTTTTGCTATGCATTATGACCTCATCCACGACATTCTCGTGGGAGGTGCCTTTAGCACTTGTCAACAAATGTAGATTAGCGTACGACTCTGTAACAAAGTTGTGACTTACAGCAATGAAGACCAACATAGGACGACAGCGCACTCCCCTCAAACCTCTCAGATGCTCTCGTTTTTTGCCATTTATATTTGGAATTAAAAGATTATTCAAGACCTTTTCGCAGGAGGTGCCTTTGGCACTCATCAAAGAATGCAGAATAGTGTGGGACCTTATAACAAAATCCTGACTTACAGTTGTGAAGACCGACATGGGATGACAGTGGACTCCCCTCACACCTCTCGGATGCTTTTGTCCTTCGTTGTATATGCTTTGAATTAAATGGTTATTCATGGCCTTCCTGTGCGAAGTGTCTTGGACACTTCTCAAAAGATCTATGATAGCTTTACATGCTGTAATGAAAATGTGATATACTGCCATTGCAGCAGGCGAGGCATAGTAGTATACTCCTCTTTACCTTGTTGATCATTCTGATTTTGCTGGAATTATGTTTTGATTTAACATGTTATTCTGTATGAATTTGTGCCATTTGGACTGGTCAGCAAGCAGAGCACATCTCAAATCAGCTCACATTTGTCAATGTGGCAGTGTCTGTATGATTGTAGCGGTGCTCAGCCGTGCCAGTCCCCGACTCTGCATGAAGACACTAAGAAAGGATATGATTCACAGATAATTGTAGTACAGCAATGTGGTGGGCCTGTATTACAAGTCAAAGAAGACACCAAAAAAAACAATCACTTGAATCTACTCAACCATAGTATGACACTCGTTCCCTTCAAGCGCGGAAGACCAATAGATTTTCAACACATCAATGAGATCAAAGACACGAACCTGCAGTGGTAGTCAACACAGAGCTACAGAACCTTTATTCCATACAAATCACTGAAGTATCTCACCAAACGAGGCACGAATAGTTGGTATATTAAATCATTTTGTGGTAGTCACTGTTCAGACAGCCAAGGTACTCTTAAAAAGACATGTAGTCATCTTCCTCGTCGACACCATCCTCGTCAACTTCCATCCCCTCATCATCCAGATCATCGATACTCTCATCATTCTCACAGTCCTCTTCATCTGTGTCTTCGTCTTCTTCGCTATCTTCATTGTCATCTTTGGTTCCACCTGTCTTGCTGTCAACCTCAGGGGGTTTGGCGTTGTTATCATCCTCGGACTCTGGGCTATTTGCGACGTTCAAGTTGGTGCAATTCCTTATCATCTCACACAGGACGGTGGAATGTCCAATCCCACAGTGTGTATAATGCATGAACATATTGTGGTCAATAAATCTGAGTGTTCGCCAGTTCAAGGAGGGACAGCAGGATAGGAGATTTTACTCACATGCCAACATAGTATGCCTCCCAATCATCTAACTTGCCATCTTGACGTGCGAATGACTCTCCATGGTGAAGGGAGGTGGTTCCGCACCCAGAAATGAAAGCTGGAATCAAATGGGCACCTTGGATGACTTGGCCAGGATCTAAAAACCCAAAAGCATCATGGTCAGATTCTTCAACAAAGGCAACCTTCAGCAGTCGAGCGTAGTTCATCCCTGACCGGTGGCCAGTCACGGGTGCGAGCCATCTAACATAAAGAACCTCCATTTGTTGTTTTTTTACCAAACCTTTGACATTCAGCCATACATCCAGGCAATAGATGCCCAGAACACGGGCATACCAGTATGGATGTTGGGGCTTCATTTCCCCAGATAACACCATAACGTTGCAGTGCGTCTGAGGATTTATAGTGTCAAATTCTCGTTGAAGGTCGTAAGTCGTGTAATAGACCTTTGAAGTTGAATGATCATCACTAACAACACTCACAACAAACCAACATACCTGCATTGTTTGGACAGCATATAACCTGTTGTTTGCGATGATCACTGAGTTTTGCTCCTTGTCGGTGAACAAGTGGTCACAATATGTGATATCTAACTTGCGAAGGCAGTATAGTATATGGTTCTTGAGCTTTGGCATGAATGCCTGCACATTGATATAAGCAATATTAACAATGACAGAGACCAGCACCTACTGTTACAGCTGGGTCGTTATCATGGCCTTGAAGGAAATGGAATATGTCCAATGGATTATTACGGCTAAGTGTCGGTATACAGTGGCTCAAAAAACTGTCCGCATGTTTTGACATTTTTCACTATCTATGATATTGTGTGAGAACAAACAAATGGCTCAAGGACATGCTTATAGCACATTGTAGTATGGCTTCAGGGCTTTCATTTGAGCCCTACACCGTGGGAATCGGTGGAGATATGGTGGAGATACAAGGCTTACAAAATCATGACTCATGCAGACAGTTTTTTGAGCACATATTAAAACTATATAAATCATCATTTATGACACCATAACAATCATGCCACCATTAAATAAATTATAAAGTGGTGTCATTATGTCATTTTAAAACCATATCTAACTATACAAACCAAAAATTTCCATATGTCATGGTTATATTCACCATGAAAGCCACCCCCCCTGCTCAAAGGGATAATATCCTCTCTCTTTTCTATTCTGGCCTCTCTGCTTGTCGAATTTCCTCTAGAACTGGAGTATCCAAGTCCACTGTGGCCAAGTTCATCAAAGAAAGTCACACAGACAAGGAAAACTTCTGTGAAGGGTGTCCGTCCAAGCTCACCTCTACTGATAGGAGGGCTATTATTCAACATATCACTATAGGAAAGGCTGATAATGCTGTCCAGGTCACCTATTACATCAATTCCACCATCACATTCCCTGTCTCTTCACACACTGTGAGAAACATTCTCAAGACAGCTCATCTCAGGTCAGTAACAAGGAAGAAAAGGCTTTCCTCTCTATCACACATATGCAGAGAGGACTAGCACCCTTCTTTTTTCACATATATACCTTGCCATCTGACCCAATCCTATTTATTGTGGTCTTATATGATCATATAACATGCTTCCAGTCCATGTAATCCAATTCTGATGGGCTAAGGCAAAGGTTAGTCATCTCTGTTTATGTGTGATAGAGAGGAGAGCCTTTTCTTCCTTGTTACTGACCTGAGATGAGCTGTCTTGAGAATGTTTCTCACAGTGTGTGAAGAGACAGGGAATGTGATGGTGGAATTGATGTAATAGGTGACCTGGACAGCATTATCAGCCTTTCCTGTAGTGATATATTGAATAATAGCCCTCCTATCAGTAGAGGTGAGCTTGGATGGATGCCCTTCACAGAAGTTTTCCTTGTCTGTGTGACTTTCTTTGATGAACTTGGCCACAGTGGACTTGGATACTCCAGTTCTAGAGGAAATTCGACAAGCAGAGAGGCCAGAATAGAAAAGAGAGAGGATATTATCCCTTTGAGCAGGGGGGGTGGCTTTCATGGTGAATATAACCATGACATATGGAAATTTTTGGTTTGTATAGTTAGATATGGTTTTAAAATGACATAATGACACCACTTTATAATTTATTTAATGGTGGCATGATTGTTATGGTGTCATAAATGATGATTTATATAGTTTTAATATGTGCTCAAAAAACTGTCTGCATGAGTCATGATTTTGTAAGCCTTGTATCTCCACCATATCTCCACCGATTCCCACGGTGTAGGGCTCAAATGAAAGCCCTGAAGCCATACTACAATGTGCTATAAGCATGTCCTTGAGCCATTTGTTTGTTCTCACACAATATCATAGATAGTGAAAAATGTCAAAACATGTGGACAGTTTTTTGAGCCACTGTATAGTGGTGGTCCTTGAATACTGCAGGTGGGTCGACCAGCACTTTCTTGCTGGTGGATGAACTAGTAGGAGCTCTCTGAGACACTTGCTGAAGGACATGACGACAATGCTCGTGCTTGGCGAGTTGTGCTTGGGTATCTAGCTTACTAGTCAGTGGATAGAATGCTTTCAGCACTCTATGTGCCAACTCTCCCTGCCCCAATATTAAATTGAGATAAAAATACATAAGTAGCGGAGATTCATGTACAATTTGCGATGTGAACGAGTCTAACATCCCAAAGAGCCAGATTGACTGGATATAATCCCCCATGGCGTGAAATTTATATGTGTTCATATTGAATTTCTTGATCCTTCAGCCACCACTCCCCGCATCTGGATTGTCCGAGGCAGAGCATTGCTGTGCAGCTTTGCATTCATGAGCAGCCATTTCTTTCAGCAACTTCATGGTGGTGAAAGCAGTGCAGGTAAAATTTCGGAACTTGTGTAGTTGACAGGAGAGGCACTTGAAGGTCTCATCCAAAACCAACAAGGTGCTGTCAGAATGCATCCTGAGTTTGGCAAGAGTGTGCCATTGGGTAAACTGGTACAAAAGTGACTGTATAATTTCATTGTGGTCACTTGGGAAAAGCCCTTTGAAGACCAGTAGAGCACACTGAGATAGATATCAATTATGCATAACAGCAATTTGACCTACAAAATGAACCTGCAATATGTCTTCAAAATCTCGCACTGCAAGTCTTTTCATCTCGGAGGTGTTATTAGCAAATTTGCATATGACTCCATTGCCATACGACAGGACACAACGAAATCTAAGATGAGCACCATTAGTTTGAAATCTGTGAAATTGATGTGCAACAAACCTGTTGTTGAGAGTTGCAACCAGGTGGTCACCACTTGGAATCACATGGAGTAGACGGATGAGGTGTATAAACAGAGCCTTCCATGTACCTAGCTCACATTTGTGCATAAAGTCGACAACTAGCATGCGAAAGGTGTCAAAACCTAGGGGTCCGAGTTTTTCTACAAATGAGTTCTAGTCAAAAGTGAGGTAGTACCACTAGTCAAAGGTGTTGATTCCAAAGGCACTCACCACAGTTGGCACCCATGACCCTTCTCCAAGAGTTGTCTGCACCTTTGAGCCATCAATGGTGTTTCCAGACCAATAAATGAATTTGCATGTGCTGGTTACCCTCTTCAGACAGTAAGTCCAAAGGTCAGCTAGGCGATTGCGCATATCTTTAGCCAGGCCTAAGAGATCAAACATGGCTTTTGGCATGAGACAGCGCGGACATGGGCAAGAGCCCATATCCTTGATCATCACAATTAAAACCCTGAAATATGATCATTATCCAATATGGATGTGGAGAAGGAAAAAAAAGCGTACTTTTCTGGGTAATCTGCTGAGTAAGTGAAGATACGTGGAAAAACTTGTCTTATGATGCCATCTGGACACCGGAGTACAATTCCGTGGTGGTATGCTTCAAGGAAGTCTGCATCCAGCAAATGTTTCCAACATGCATGAAATAAGTCCCATCAACAATGCATGTGAAGGGCTGATATGCCACTTTTTGATATCCGAGGTAAGACACTGAGGGTGTCCTTGATACAATCTGGAAGCTAAAAATACAACATGAGAGAGACATATGATACAGAAGACAATAAACCTACCGAAGGAAAAAATCCGACAAGATGGCATGCACCAGATTTGGGTGCCGAGCGTGCATACTTGGTCAAATTTCCGAAGTAGAGATAGAGGGGCCAGGCCTTGGCAGTTCCAAAATTTGCAAGATGAGTCGCATTGGAAAAAAACATCAGTCCAGCAATGACACGTTCGAGTGAGCAACCAGGTTCTCTTGGTTGTCTCTGTAGGTCATCCTGAGCATCAAGCCACGAGTCAGAGGTATAAAGTTCATCAAACACATGTTCTTGATGATTGTCTAATGGGTCCTTCCATAGGCACTTGAAAGGACACAAATGAAATGCGCTGGCTTGGATGTCAGTGAACACAGAGTGGATCACGCCTATAAGTGGTCGATAATGAAAGCCTGGAATGCTAAATGATGTGGATGGGTCGTCTTTCAACTTGGTGGGTATGTCAAGGATGATATCTGTCTCTAACCAGTTGTCCAGAAACGTAGCAGTGACCTTTCCTCTGCCATCCAATGAATGTAAACTCCTCTTCACCGAAAAACCATCCAGGTCGCTAGGATTGAAGTCCTCGGCCTGAATTACGTCTTTAACAAGGCATGCTACCTCAGTTTCCGATTTTTGATGGCTGCTGGAGTTCATCCATGTCATGAGACAGTAGATGGTCATGTTAGGGAATAGATAAGGTGGTTTGGGAGATTGTTCAGGCATCTGGGCATCATGCACATTGGCGATTGTCAGACAAGAATTAGATAGTAGTGAAGATGAGATCAGTCTATCCGGCTCAAAGGAGGGTTGCCTAGGATATAGTCGACATAGCCCAAACACGTTAAATGCCGTTTGAAGAGATTTACACAGGGTCAGAATCACTCTTTGGATTCTGTGCTGGGGTGAATCTGAATTTGTAGTCACGGGAGGTGGATCACTCCAAGAAGAGTCCGAAGGGTTTATGTCTTCATCGGCAGGTAGAATATCTGTAAAATTCCTCAGGAGTAGCCCAAATGTGTGTTGCAAAGGATGTTGCCCCAGTGGGTCTAGCAGTTATCCATGAGTATTATGATATGGCAACAGACAGTCTCATGAAGGCGCACACCCAGAATATTGTTATCTTTGGGTTTGATGGTTTCGTCTATTATAGAATCCAAGATGTCTGTGTCCAGGAATGCCAAAGTTGAGGCACTAGCACAAATGATACCACAACAGGCTGGGTAAATAGGCGCCGTTGGCATGCAAGCCACACTGGGTTCGCAGCATGCGATGGGTTTCAAACAATGATTGGAGGTGAGCAAACTTAAAAGGTAGAGCCTAGGACTTACCAGCGTGCTCCTAGTACTAGTTGTGATCTGTGATGGCGATGGTTGCAATGATTTTATTGACTCCTTCGCCCAGTCCCTTCTTTTCTGTGCGGCTAATGTACTTGCCTTCTGGTAATGCTTGCATGTTGAATGATGTCAGCTAAGTCCACGAAAGTCTGTATCCTTCTCCCAAGAGCAACGCAATGTGCTGCAGGACACCATTGAGAGAATTAAGATGATTGCCAACAGAACACAAGGTGACTGGGATAAATGCATTCCTGGAGTGACTAGTATGCTACCATGACTTGGCAATGTGAGAGACAGTAGTCAGACTGGATTTTACTCAAGTCCACCTTGACAACAAATATTTTGCTGATTCATGAGTAGTATATCCTTATTTGATATTTCTGGATTCACTCAACAAATCAACAGTTCAAAATTTCGAATCTTTCATGCAATGGATAAAGAATATATATTGAATATTACAAGATAAGCTGGCGCTCTGTAATGAATTATGTTTCCTTGATGAATGTTGCGCTAACACTGGGATCATCAATAAGAATCAATACAACAAAGTCTGCAATCAATAAGGTGAGTGAATGATGAGTTGCTAAAAAGAAAAGAAAAAACATATGAGTGTTGCTATGCCTGCAAAACCCACTTCAGCTTGTAATGTGGCAAGATGTTGTTTGCCTGCTCCACTTTCTGTGCCCACTCATCTTCCTCATGTCTCAAGAGCGTCAAGAGTTGGGTATACTGGCAAACTCGAGACTGTGCTGTGGCATAGCATGCATGAACAGTATTGATAGTATACTCGGTGAACAGCTTGTCCTGGTCATCTTCATTTGACTCGATGTCATCAAGTGCCATCTTGTATACCCCTCTCAGTGGTTGTGGTTGAGTGAACTAGGGAAATACTCGTACACACCAAATATGCCATGTAGCTCTCGGTTATGTCCAGCCGTTTGTCAACTTTGAAGAGCAATCTGGCTCTGCAGGCATGTTGGAGTTGTTGCATCCATGAAGAAAGCATGTAAGATGTCTGGGTGTGACAGGAATTGCAGATGAAGTTAACATTTCCAGTAGAAGATATAACCTGCTAACGGTTGAAAGTCAACATGGAGTAAATGAGTCATCCATGCCCTTATGGAAATATTTAAATTGGAGTAATGTGGTGCTGGAAAAAGGCTGAGCATCGCCAGCAGCAACCTTGTTCTACATGCAAGAAGCCAGGATATCCAGAGAAATTTACCATTAGCTAAGGTAAATTCTGTAAAGGGGATTCATCAAAGATTCACTGGAAAAATAAAGGAATCCAATATCACATGATACACAGTTAGTGTAGGGGGCAGTTAATGGAATTGCCCTCATGGCAATTGGCAGAATGGCAGAAGTTGGCAAAAGTATTCTCCGCATTTTTGACTGTTTTTAACTGCATTTCTACTACAGCAAATATAATTTTGACTGCTACAGTGAGGCTACACCTTCTGATGTCAAAAGGGCATCAATATTCCACCCCAATGCACTCCCTGAGCCTTGATTGAGTACATTGATCTCTTCAATGAAGCTGGTTGGTGTGATACCTTGTTTAACCCTCTCTAGCTCACTCCAGTTGACGATGCCACTGTCCAGAATGTCTGGCACATGACCTTCAATCAAAATACCACCTGCCTCATCATTTTCTCGCAGTTGGCCAGCTTCTCATGCCTCATGCTCAAACCTTTCAAACTCCTCTCTCAACTCCTCATTGGTAATCAATTCTGGACCCATGAGATAGTCCTGGTCATCAGAGTCTGCCACAAGGGGAGGAATCCATGCAAATGATCTTTGCAACTCATCAGCAAGAGCAACATCGAGTCCATGTCAGGGTGGGTATGCATATGTGTGTGTTTTCGATGAACAGGCTTCCCCACTTTGGAGTCCATCTGGTACAGGAAGTATGCATAGCTTGCACAAAGTTTACTGAGTGATTCGAAAGTGTGGACTGATAAATTGCATTGTTTGACAGACTGAACTCCACCGAGACCCAAGAAGTAGCATTCAATATTGGCCGCATGAGGTATGATCAAATGGATGATTATTGCAAGTGCCTTCAGTGGACATTGCTCTGCACTGACAGGAAGTGTCTCCCACCAGTCAAGCACATCAGCCTGCCCCCCAGCGAATATCCCAGAGCACTTGTAGTACTCTTTCAGGTCCCTGACAAGCAACTTGGCAACCATCTAAGGCAGCCTCGACCATAAACTTGAATGAATGGCCATTTGCAACTTGTGAAATGGTGAGTTTTCAGCATATCAGATGTAAGAAAAGTGCGAGGCCATGAATTTTTGTATTCATGGCAAAAAAATGTCAGTTAAAGACCGTTTTGACATGGAGCCAGAAGTTGGAGTTGTCACTGTCTTTGAGTGGTAACTGGGAGATAGTCTTGGCAACATGGATGAGCCCTAGCATGCACAAAGCAAGGGAAGATTCACAAGACTCCTTGTCTCCAATTAAGTTGACAATCAGTTTTGCAACCTTAATGCCTTGGTCAATAGCTGCCCAAAAGTCAGGGTCACGCAAGACTATGACAATGACATCAGCTGCGACAGGCGAAAGACCTCCGATTTTCTTCTGCACATCTTCCTGCAAACAAATGTGAGAAAGTGATTTTCTGTATTTTACATCAGCTTGTCATTCAAAATACACATCATCAATACATACCTATGATCTCGGACACTCATCGACTGAAGAACAAGTGCATACCAACAAGATTCACAGTTTTTCTTCAATCTATGCTTGACATTATCAATCTTTGCTTGCTCTTTCAGCTGGCCACCCCAGTAGTGTGATCCATTGAAAAAGGTAATGACATGTGTGGCCTTTGTTATGTTTGGCTTCATAAAAGGGTGGGCACATATTTCACCTATGTGTCATATCCCACAATCCAGACCCACATTCCATCATATTCCCACGCCTTCCAAGCCTACATCCGGACCCCACATCATATCCAGCTCATTCCAAGATCCCCTTCTGCTGTGCTCCACACCTCAGCAGGATCGACTACGCTCTGGATTTACCCCTGAGCTCCGGACCATCAGATCCTCTCTGCTAGCCTGATCCATACAACCCTATCCTGTCCACCCTATGCGCACTCCATCCAGCAAGACATCCAGACTTCACCTCATCTCGGATTCCAGACTATATCCACCTCCTCATATCCTGGTCCTGTATCCACCTTGTCTTCCAGATCCCCAGATCTCCGGACCTCTGGATGTTAACTCTGGACGTATTCCTGCCCTCTGTCCGATAACCTGCGCCTATCTCCATTTAGATATCTCTGCCTTTCTGGCTTTTGGTTACCTCTTGTTCCATCCTGCTTATTGATCCTTGTACAAGTCTTCATCTCCAAGTTCATTTAGTTATGTTCCATCTTACTTACTAATGTGTTTCCACATGCTTGTACATAGCCCTTCTCCTTTGCTTACTGATCCCCTTAGATATTCTCCAGTATATAACCCCTGTACATACTCCTGTAGTTTCCTCAGTTTGAATATCATCTTAGACTTTGCTCTACTTGCCCAATCCTCTCTTGGACTTTGGTCCACCTAAGTCTGTCCTATCCATTAGGCCTAGGGATTGATTCCCTAGGCTGGAGCTTTGCCTTTCCAGCACTTACCCTCTTTCTGGACTTTGGTCCAATCCCTGTCTCTCTGACTCTACCTTAGGGTAGTCCACCTCTGTCTGTTTCTATATTGGACTTTGTCCGATGTAGCCCCTATTCCTTCCAGGACCTCTGGATGTCCTGTCCTTTGGATGTCCCACCCTCTGTACCTTTGGACATTCTGTCCTCCTAACCCTTGGACATCCTATCCTCCTGTCCTTCTTTCCTTCTTGTCCTCCTAACCCCTTGGGACAATCCTATCCTCCTGTCCTTCCCGTCATCCTGTCCTCCTGTCTCCTGTCCTCCTGTCTCCGGTCCTTTGTCCTCCTGTCTCCTGTCCTCCTGTTCCTCCTGTCTCTGGACCTCCTACCCCTCCATCCTTGTTTCCTGTAGACGTATCCCTTTTGCCGGGGAACTCTCCTGAGCATTTCCTACATTCATCCGGAAACTCTCCATGCTCCTTCAGAGTCCTCTAGCACTCCACCAGAGTAGTCAGCCTCTGGAGTCCTCCAGACTTCGTCGGACCATCACTTGTGAACCTCATCTGAAATGAAGGACACATACTCAGGTAAGGGGCACAGCGTACGAGCTGAGGCCAAGCCCTTTGAGTCAGTCACTCTCTCCCTTGAGCAAAATGGTTCTTAACACTATGATGGTATTAAGGCTGTGAAGAAAACAGGGTAATGTCTAGTGATCAAATAAGCTCATACATATGATAAGGCAAGAGCATTGAACTTGAACTTACAATGACCCAGTAGAACTTCGCTTGAAATTTCCATTGGAGAGATTGCATCACAGGTTGGATTGTCTGTCATTGCAGCAATGATGTTATGTCCATCACCAATCTCCATTCATTCTAAGGCTTTCACAGAGACTTTGAGTAACTTGTCTGCAGAACCTCAATGTCCTGTCATGTCTTTGAGACTGAGCATGACAAGGGTGCTAGTTCACTTCAGCAACCATAGAGCCATATAAACTCCATTGAATCTTATCCTCCCAGCCATTGAGCAGATAGGTGAGGCATTTACAGTCTTTAAGACATGGCAATATCCTCAATTTGGACATGAGTGACCTCACTGTCTATGATTGAATGTGAGAGCACATAACATGAAGGTGCTTGATAGGAGGGGCATATTTCATCAAGAAAGTGCTAGAAGAACCAATTCTCAACAACTGAGAATGGTATGTTGGCGTGAATAAGAACCTGTGTCCACACAATCAAAATGTGAGTGGGCCAGTGGTTACATGTTACAAATTAATTATTTACCAAAGCAGCTTGAAATGTGCTTGATTGGTTTGCTCAGGTGTGACAGGGAGGTCTACATACCCAAGAAGATTCTTTCATTTTCGCAATTTCACGCTAGTCTGACCCTGAGACTCAGAAAGACTGGAAGAAGCTTCTGTTTCCTACAATAGATGGAGATAGAAGGTCTTGATTGCCTTTCTTTGTAGTGAGATAGCCACAAACATCTGTGTGGGTGTGATCAGGGGCTTTGTGGCATGTTTTTTTGGTCAATTAAGTGTTTGAGGTGGCTGTCATCACAGCCCTCAATGGATGCTGAGCAGTAGTTACATTTGAAAAAGTAGCGATTCAAGTTGTTTTTGACTTTTTCCATGGGAACAAAGTGGTTGGACACAATTTTTTGGACAGGACAGCCCTTAGGCTTTTGAGACATTGTAATCACCAACTTGCACACTGAGATACATTCAAATGTATGTCAAATTCTTATTGTTTGTTTGTAGGTACAAACATAGTTCTGCTGAGTTCTGCCAACTGCCCTTGACCTACTGCTGGCAATTGCCACTGGCAGAAATATTACATTCTGCCAACAACATTATACACAGTTGGAATTCTGCATATTGTAAGATGCACCTAACTTACTAGATATCCATTTAGAGTTATTGCATTTTTGGGAAAACTTTATCTATAACTCTATGACACATCCACATAAAAATATAATTTGTTGATGAATGGATAGCCTGACATTGAAAGTACAAGCCCCACTAATTCATTAATGTGTTGAGTCCAGTGGAGACTTACCATGCAAAAAAGTGTGGTTTTCCCTAGAGTTTGTGCATTTGGTCACATCATGTCACCCATCTGCCACAATGCTGATTCACATTCTGCACTGTTTGAAATATCATGATGAGAGGCAGGGAGTGGACAAGGAACAGAGCTAGAACAGACTCAGATTACATAGACCATGTACCTAGAATGAATCAATTCTATGTAGCTCATTAGCCTCATATACTATGAAGTTGGCATATGGACTTACATCTCAGTCAGATAGAACAGGCTGAGATGCTTGAACAATGAAGTTGTTATTTTATCATATGGTTACTTCAGTCACCCCTCTCAAGGTACCTCTTAGGTACATATATTCTGGCTTACAATCTCACCTAAGAGGCATGATCTTAGACAGTATTCCCATGCAATGTAGGTTGTAACCCAGGCCAATTCAATACTTTCCCCAAGAAGCCTGGGCCTGCTGGGCCAATGTATTTACTCTGTCCCATGACCCATCTGGGGTATCCTAAATCCTGTATTATATTAATACACAGGGGGTGTCAGGGGTCACTTCTTATGAAAAATTGCCCACACATTCAGACACTTAGAGTATAATGTTTGTCTTCATAGGGTCCTTGACCTATGAATGGAGGAGGCAGGAAGGAATTTGTGGTAGGAGGAGGGGTTGTCTTTGATGATGAAGGAAGAATGTAAGTTGGGTAAGGTCCTTGATCCATGAAATCCTTGACCATGCCCTTGCTCCAGATACTAACATATCTTGCACTTTATCTGGTTAATTTCACACAATTGGAACATGCCTTGCACTACAATACTCCAGGTTTTATTGGAGTAAGTGTTATCACATATGACTTTGGATGCAAGCATGAAAGCAGAAACAAAAGACAGTGACTGGTCAATGTGGGATAGCCCACTGCCAGTTTATATGGTCACTGGGCTGGCCCGGCACTCTCCTATGCATGATGTGGGATAGCCTACTGCTGGTTTATATGGTGAGTGGGCTGGCTCAGCACTCTCCTATGCATGATGCAGGCTAGCCCACCACTGGTTTATATGGTCACTGGGCTGATGAGATAGCTCATGTCTGGGATGCCCCACCATCTTTATATTCTAAGATGGGATAGCCCATGATATATTTGCATTTTAAATGTATTGTCTTATAGCAATCACTTGAAAATTTTGGATATTGTTACAAAAGGCTATATATCATATGAATCCAAGTCAAGATCCATATATGTCCCAGCCAATGCAGCTTCCTCCAATTCATCTATCAATTCATCATTCTCCCTCTCATCATCAGACTCCCAGTCATTCTCAGAATCATACACAGCAGGTGTGCCATCAAGACAGCTTGGTTGATAATACATATTAGCAGCCTCAGCAAGGTCATTCAGGGTGGATCTGAAGGACAAAAATTCTTAAAAGATTCAATTGTGCGGTGTCCAGTCTCTTACCATGCCTTTGTCATCAGAGTTCAATAAGTCAATGATGCGAAGTTTCAACTGGGCCTGCTGCCACACGTTATTCCCAAACCCAGCATCTGGAGTTGTCCCACCTCTTACAACTTTCCTCATCTCAGAAATGAAATCTACAGGGGATTCTAGAAACTGCCTGAAATGTTTAATAGTGAGTAAAGGTAGTGCATCAGAACAAACACACCCTGTTTCTCAAGTCAGACCATCCCAAGCAGGTCTTGCTCCCCGCATTGTTCACAACCATCACTGATCACATTGTAAGTTAGTGGCATTGAGAATTAGAGACAGACACTTGCAGAGTTCTTCACGCAGCCCTTGATACATTTTGAGGCTAAGATGGAGAGCTCTCAAGAAGCTGGCAGTTATCAACTACCTGCAATCCACTTCACACATAGTGAATGGGTTGTCAGGTATCCCAACCAATACATACCCCACATAAAGATATCTTGCCAACCTGATTAGGTGGCCCCATGGTGATGTCAGCAATATGAGTTTAAGTGACCTTTTCTGGCTGTTGTCAAGGGGATTTCCCCTGAGCATCTCCCTCCAATGGAGTTCCTCATGGGGAACTTCTACCTCATCAATGGGCTGATGATAGGTGAAATTTGTAGCACTCATGAGGCTATTGTCATCCAAAACAGGTGTGAACATGTTGTCCAACGTAGATGTGACAGTGAGATCAATTGTTGGGTCATGGTCAAAATCTAAGGACGGAGGGAGCAACATTTCAGGGAATGTGATCGACTGGTGAGAGAATGGATTCAAGGTATTCCAAGGTACCTCTACAGGAAAGTTAATAGGGATGGGAGTGGGAGACGGGAAACCATTTGGGAATGCTGCGGGATTGAACAGGATCCCCTTTAGCTGTTTGAGCTATGTATGTGGCACAATGTGATGGGTCTGATGATGCTGATAGCACAGAGAAAGGCACTCACCACCCAGATAGGATGGAGGGTACCTTCAAGGTCGGCCCCACAAAATGGTGCACAAATATCTTTAAGAAATCCAGAACTATCAGGCTAGCATGTTCATTCCATCAGGTGTGACATTGGTGGCATCATGTAAAGCTCTCTCACCTCTATCTCATATAGAGAATACTTTGCGCTGTTGTGTTCAAAGGTTAAAAACCCAATCTGACACACAATGTTGCTGTTAAGAACCATGCTCAAAGGAGAGAGAGACTGACTCAGAGGGGCTTGGCCTCAGCTTGTATGCTGTGCCCCTTACCCAAGTATGTGCCCTTCATTTCAGAGGAAGTCCGATGATGGTCTGACAAAGTCTGGAGGACTTCCGGAGGCTAGCTACTCTGGTGGAGAGTGCTAGAGGACTTCTGGAGGAGTGCAGGAGAGTTCCGGAGGAATGCAGGAAGTGCTCAGGAGAGTTCCCACTGCAAGGTAGTACTTCTACAGGAAATGGGATGGAAGGGTAGGATGTCCAGAGGACAGGAGGACAGGAGGACAGGATGTCTGGAGGTATGGAGGACAGGAGGACTGAAGGTACAGAGGGCAGAACGTCTGAAGGACAGGATGCCCAGAGGTGCACAGGACAGGAGGTCCAGAGGTCCAGAAGGAATAGGGGCTACATCGGACTTTGTCCGATGTAGAAGCAAATAGAGGTAGACTACCCTTAGGTAGAGTCGGAGAGATAGGAAGTGGACCAAAGTCTGGAGAGAGGGTAAGTGCCAGAAAGGCAAGACTCCAGTCTAGGGAAGCAATCCCTAGACTTGGGACAGAGACATAGGGGACAAATCCGAAGGTCTAGAATTCTGGCCTAGGGAATCCTTCCCTAGGCCTTACAGAAAAGGACAAGACTCAGATGGACTGAAGTCTGGAAGATGATTGGGCAGATCTAAGGTGATGAACAGGATCTAAGATGATATTCAGACTAAGGAAACTACAGGAGTATCTACAGGGGTTATATACTGGAGGGTATCTGAGGGGATCAGTAAGCAACAGAGTAAGGCTATGTATGAGCATGTGGAAACACATTAGTAAGTAAGACAGAACATAACTAAATGAACTTAGAGATGAAGACTCATACAAGGATCAATCAGCAAGACAGAAACAGAGATAACCAAGCACCGGAAAGGCAGAGATGCCTAAATGGGGATAGGCGCAGGATCTCAGATAGAGGGTGGGAATGGTCTGGAGATCTGGGGATCTAGAAGGTAGGGTGGAAACAGGACTGAGATATGTGAGGTGGTGGATGTAGTTCAGAATCTGAGAGGAGGTAAAGTCCGGATGTCTTGCTGGATGGAATGTGCATAGGGTGGACAGGATAGGGGATCCAGGAATAAGTCGGATATGGGGTCCGAAAATAGGTCCGGAAGGCATGGGAATATGATGGGATCTATGTCTGGCATATGGGATATGACAGTTGCAGGATGAGTGAGAGTATAATATTCCTCAGGCCACTATAAATGAACACAATGAGATCAAATGATTAACTTTGAAAATTCTGACCTCACATATATTGGCGCAAGCTGATAGTTGTGGGCTGCATACCCTATGAATGCGAATCAACTGGTGAGGCCATGGAAAGGTTGAAATTTGCAAGTCAATAAGAGTGAGGTGTGATCAGTGATAGCAAACCTCATTGTTCTGTGGGAAGGTCAGTGATGGGGATGATGGTTTGCAATGCAAACTATGCTTACTGTGAGGGGAAGAAGTCTGAGAACCTGGCTGTGTGTTGATTCACTGTGCACATAGACATAAATTGGACTGATATCAACTGGAATGGTTGACAGTTGCATTTTGCTGTGTATGAAAAAACTAAGATGAAGGAAACAACAGTAAACTAGACACTTAAGTATCATGTATTTGTCTTCCTGGATCTGTCACTTTTGACCCATTCAATGGCATGCCACAGTGCGCCAGGCCTTGGCAATGGCATGTCAGGGTTCAGCCAGAGTATGCCAGGCATTTGCAATGAGGTGAAGAAACATGTGGCAAAAAATGAGGGGTGTGGCCAAAAAGAGCGACGGTGAATCACAACATGCCAGGAGAAAGGGATGGCAAATTACAACACGCCAGAAAGAAGGGATGGTGAATTATGACACACCAGGAAGAAGAATGGAAAGTTACAACTGAGGAAGCGAGCATGAGTTATGGCACACAAGGGACCAGCGATGGTGAACAAAATTAATTTTCATAGTCATAAGCATGGTCAATAGGAAACATATCGTCCAGTGCCAGTGAGAGTGACTCTGTGCTGGCATTCCCCTGATCAAAAAAATAGAGTTCCTTGGTGCCAATATAACTGTCTTCATCATCCTCTTCATTATCAGGAGGTTGATGCCTTTCTCCACGGTCTAAATATCCATCTGCCATCTGCACTGTCAGTTGTGTAGTGAGGTGATGTGTTCCTAAGTAAGAGTCTGGTTCATGAGTATATACATGCCCCACCCTGAGGCCATAATGAAAGCACATAATGGTGTCGCGATCGACAAAGCTAGTGTGACAGTATTAGTGACATTTGTCATGATGGAATTTAAGTTAGTCTACCTGTTGGTGTAGTACTCATGCCAATCGAGTTTGTTACCTGCAAGAGGGGAAATACTGCATTCACCCAGATTGTGCTGGCCTCAAGCAAAGGCGGGTATGATGTGACACACCCTGAGTATGACTCTGGGGTCCATGAAGCCAAATGCATTCTGGTTTGCCAGAGGCTGGAAATGAATGCAACCCAAAGTGTGCATGTCCCATGCATGACTTTGCACAGATTCATACCATCTAACCAAAAGAAATTCTATACAGTGAGATTCATACATGTTTGCTGTGTGCACAACATTAACATGGTGTATGCTGATGACTTTGGCATAGCTGTAGTCACCTCCATGCTCATCATCACTGCAGTTGTTGTTGAGCAACATGATGTTGCAGTGAGGAGTCCTTGAATTGATCACATCTTGAGCCCATCGGACATCATAGGTGGTATAGTTGAATCTGGCGAGGTTGTGGTGATAAATGTGGTTGTGCTTGAAGAGAATGGAGTTGTGCTGTTTGGAAGGAGTTTCCAGTTTGAGGCAATGTAGAATATGTTCTTTCAATCAAGGGAGGAAATCCTGATGACATCTCAGAATAATTAATCAAGTCATGAAAATTGTTTACCTTAATAGCAGGATCCCCTGCATGCTTGCGGAGGTACTGACCAAACTCATTGTACATCTTCTTGCTTTTGCCAATGTGATGGTGTACTTGGGGATTGCTTGCCATTTCAGGTGTGTCTGCATGATGGACTTGCTGCCATTGCCATTGCTTGATGCAGCACAAGCATGCCTCATGGTGCTCAATCTGAGTCAGTTGGTAAACAAATGATCTCCAATCAGTGCAATGGTATCTGCCTTTCGGTGTACAGTGCTCCAACTCTCCCTGGAATTTTTATAGTTGGAATGAGTGGACAACAGACGACAACTTACTGACTCAGTGCTGTATGAATCTGTTGTGCCAAAATGATGAATGGAGGCGACATAATCCCCCAGCACATGAAACTTATAAGTGCTGAAGTTGAACGACTTCTTCCTCCACAGTTGCTTTGGTTCAGGTACATCTTGCAATTGCTCTGGACTTGCTTTTGCTTTCCCTTTAGTGTTGGTACCTTTGCAACCTCTCCCTGGGTCATTTACCTTGGGATTCTCTCCCCAATTGGCCACTTCCTTTGCCTGCTGGCAGGATTGCGCACCAACTTCACGATCAAACTCCTGCATCTGGTATGACAGGCACACTTTATCCTTGAACAAACAAAACTGTGCACCAAGCTTGGTCGTCTGTTAGTCGAGAATATCCAAAGTCAGGTCAGAATGCATGCAAAGATTTGCAAGTCCATGCCAGTGTGACATCATGAACAAGAGATTAATAAAAATCTTGTTGTGGTGATCATCGGCGAGAAGGCCATCAAAAACCAGGATAGAACACTGGGACAATATTAATCACGAAGTTGTATGAGAATAATTCTGAAAACATACCTGTAGAAGATCTTCGAAGTTTCATGCAGCCATGTTTGACATTTTGGAGGTATTGGAAGAGAATCTTCTAATGGTCACTGGACCAAATAGGGGGACCTGTTGATACCTGTCAAAGTCAAGTGTTAGCCTGCCAAGTCATCATCAAATAGATTTTTGGTACCTCCTGTCAAGTTCATGCACCAGATCCCTGTTCAAGGAAGTAAGAATTCTAAGTAAGTGAACTAGAAGCATACACCAGACTCCAAGCTCAAACTCATGCAGAAGATCAACTACAAGCACAACAAACATGTTGAATCAAAATGGATGCAGGTGGTCCAACAACACATTCTGGTCAAGGATTAGTGAACACAGGGAAGAGACTTAAGAGCATGCTCATGGAGGTTGGTACCCACAATTCAGGCTTGAGAAGTGACTCAACCACTGTGCTGTCTACACCATAGTGCTTCTCATAGATGAGGCTGCGTGTGGTGGCAACGAGTTGACTCCTTGAGTGATCAGAACATGCAAGAGTAGCACGTTGTTGCCTATCATAAACCATGCCCAGTTGGTGAAGCTTATTTGTTGGTATGAGACATCATGAGCAAGGGCAACCTCCCAGTTGCCGGATAGTGGCAATGAGAACCCTGACTTAGGTGAGTTTTGAAGTTCTTGTGACAAATATTCACAACTCACTTTTCAGGATAGTCTGCAGAATATGTAAATATCTGGGGGTAAAACTTTTGCTTGACACCATCACAACACAGAATCACAATCCTGTGTTCATAAACCTCTAAAAACTCATTATCAAGTAAAACTTCCCATTGTGCTTGGAACATTTCATGATGACAATGTGTTGTGCATTCATGCTCAACTCCCTTGCCTTCAGTGTAAGTCCCCACAAAATCTTTGAATGAATTGGGAAGCTGTGAAGACCGTGAGTCTTGTTGAAGATGAAGAGTAATTCGTAGTGATCATCATACCTTTTGAAAGTAAGCTACATGATTACCCAGATTACAGGATGGTCTACATTGCCTGTACTTCAATTCATTTCTGAAATACATGTATACTGGCCACAGCCTCACATTACCAAATGTAGTAAGCTGTGTAGCATCTGACCAGAACATGAGTGCAGTGACCACATGGGGAAGGTCACATCCTGCCTCTCCAGGTAATTCCTGAAGCTTGCAGTGGGCATCTATGAAAGCTGGTGATGTATACAATTTGCCTTGAATGTTGACTTCATGTGGAAGATGGGGGGGGCTCCATTGCAGATGATAAGGCTCATAATGAAAATGTTCATCATTGTGGGCATTTGCAAGCTTTTCCTGAATCACAGACACAAGAGACCAATGGTAAAGGTCTGCTGCAACATAAGGTTGAATGCCTGGTGTCTTAATAACCGAGGGTCTTATATAAATGCGTGTAAAATGTAATGACACCACAATTACACTAGGATAAGACTTCTTGCCAGTCCTTGATTAACACGGTCTACGACTTTTCTTCTTTCATGGTAGATAACGTGTGAGTTCTTGGGAGGCTTGCTAAACCAATCTATGTGATTAACTTAGCCAGAGCTTTTGTGTTATATCCCAACTTAGAAACTTGTCTAGGATAAACCGTCTAGACACTGGAACGTGGTTCCTTGTTAAGATAATTCTCTGTAGAGACTACAGTCTCAAATATGAATATGTTGACCAAAGACTGGTTGGTCAAATAGGCACAAAGTGGTGAGAAACTGGTCTCACAAATGAACAGATTGACCAAAGCTCATGTTGGTCAATATCAGAAACTAGGTGAGAAGCTGGTCTCAAATAAACTAAGTTTCTATTGTAAGAAACTTATGTAATCTCAAGGGAATGTCTTTTCCCTGCACTTGGTACTTCAAAGGGGCTTTCTTTGTAAGCAACAATCTTCACAGTGAGTAGCTCAAACTGAGATTCAAATGATTGCAAGTGGGAGATCCTATTTTTTGGGGGGAGAATGGGCCCTCCTTATATACATTTTGTGTGGGAATATTATGTAAGTAAAAAAGCGGAGCAATGACATCAGAAGTGGAGCAGAATATTCCAGAAAGTGGAGCAGAACATTCCAGAATATTCCATAGGTGGAGTAATGACATCAGAGGTGAGTCATTGTGGAGCAGAACATTCCAGAACAAATGACATCATACCCTGTAGGTACAATTTTGTGAAGTATCTGATGGGTCAGAGCATCCCAATAGAAAAATAAATCAAGGAAATACTAGAGAAAACAACTCAGAAATAATAATACAATAACAAGACACAAAACACAGGCTTTTTAGATAGGTTTTTGTTAGGCTTTGAACTTTTCTCTATGGTTTTCTCTAGCCAAAGTGAATAAGCCAAAGGCAAGGCAATACCTTAACCTTCTTGCTTCACAATATCAACTAGGTCATTGTGTGATTCCCATCTCACAAATGACTTTTCTTCAAGATATAATAAATTCATGAATCACAGAGGGGAAACTGAACTATATGACCAAGGTTTGAAACCAAGGTATGGGTTGACTAGCCTGATGCCTAAGCTCACAGACTTTGTCTTTTAGGGGGGCTACCTAGTAGTCATGTCCATGCATGATTCCCAAATCATGCAGGACACCGGCTGAACTGATGTTCAAGAAAAAGGGATGTCAATGGTCACCTGAGTTTTGTGCCAACCAGCATCCTCATCTTCCCATTCATCTCCCTTGTCCTCAATGCTCGCACCTAATTGTGAGTTGATCTTTTCCCACTGTGTATGCTGCACATCATCAGGACCATATTCAGAACATCCCACAATATCGAGCAATTCCTTGAAGCTCTGATGCAATTTCTGTATGCTGCCATTCCAGTACCAATGACCAAGTTTAAAGGAGGATTCATTGGGAACAGATGAAATGAATTGTCATCAGACTTGACAGGGCTATCATCCAGAGAAACAGTGGGAATATAACTGATATCTTGAAGCATGATGGCCTCTTCCGGGTCATGACATGGGGGTGTTGAAGAGAGGAACTGGCATACTAGGCTGAAAATATTCCTTGCTGTGCAGAAAGGAGCTTGCACTGAGGAGCAAGCTCTGGCAGGCAAGGAATTTGTGGGTGGGATAGATACCAGTTGTCATGCAGTATAGCTTGGAACACTTGGGGGAGGCTCTGGGAGGACATCTTCATACTGTCTAAAGTGGATTGGCATAGGGACATCAACACGGCAGCTTCTATGCTGTGCCAGTGACAAACTATCATCTACTTCCACAGACGAAGTTTCCATATTGAAATTGGATGGTGAGATGTGTGCATTGGCTTGCAATGAAGAACCCAACACCTCCTCGGGGAGGTGCATGGCTGATAGAGGTGGGAAAACCTCTTTGACTAGGTCAGAAGATGAGGGGGCTTGCAGACAGTGGACCTGCATCCTCAAAGACTCCACGCTAGCACTCACACACTGTCTGCCAATGTTGGTATCCAATTGGGACTGTTTTACATTGCCCAATAGGTCTTTTGCTTTCAAGAGAGCAGAGAACAATCACTTCTTGTCTCTTGTGCACGAGTGTTGGTGCTTGGTATAAGCACTCACTTGAGTGAACTTGCATGTACAAGTGCATCTGAAAATCATTTCAGATGACCAACTACAGATCTGTTGATAAGTTGAGCATATAGGGTTGAGCCAGCAGTCAAGGATCAGATCAAAGGACTTGGAACCCACTATTTTCATTCAATTCAAATCTTTGCTGAGATTGTCAGTGCAATTACCTGACACTGCCTCCACAGTGCTAAATCCCCTGGTGGCCTGACAGGGGGCTGGTGGACCCTGATGGTGGCCAAGCTGGGCCAGCCATGATCTGGATGGCTGGATATGGTAAGTAATGTGACATGAATTGTAAAGTGAAATATCCACACATATATATTATAACTGCTCAGGACATTTTCTATCCTAAAAATGTCCACACCATCTTCTGCATGTTCTGAATCCTCAATGCTCAATTCCAGCAAAAAGTTCGAAGTTGATCCTCAGGTCATGAAGATACTGGTGAGAATTCTCACTTGCCATCATGGCATACTGCATTACCACACCCGAACGGGGGAACTGGCAATGTTTCAATGGTAAATAACTTATTTCTATGAAGGGATTCATCACTCATGCGTACACTCTCTACAGGCCCACTGACCAACATGGGGAGAAAATACATCCTTCACTATTTGATGCTTACTGCAAGGCACATGTATTTCAGTACCCTTGTTGCCTTTGTGCAAGGGGTGACAGATATGTGGAGGCAACAATATTTCAGCACCTTAGAGGAGTGTATTGAGGGGAGTATGTGGCTGAATGCATGACTGGCAGTTGCGGTTACATGTGTAAGTGGATTTGCATATCAAGGGTGAATATGCTAAATTGGAAATTAGTGAATGTTGAGAAATATTATGGGAAAACCTACATGACTGCTGTGTATTATCCTTGGAGAGATACTGAGGAGAGGTATGTATTCAAAGTTACACACGTCCTCTCATGCTCATAACTTCTGGAGATCGTCAACTGCCCCAAACACTTCCATCATATTGCTAGAAACCAATGACTCTGCCATGTGGCTATTGCACAAAATGGCGTCACCAACTTTGACATGTTCGTGCTGCAGGTTGTGATGTGTCATAACATTGAAACACAGATATGACAGTAGGTTGGAGGAGGTTAAGCCATAGCAATAAACTGACTTGAGGTGATCATAGCCCCAGGATGGATATCTTTTATTCAAAGAATCTGATGGTTGCATCAGACATTGATCAGATTGAGGCAATCACGGAGCACAAATCACTCACCATTATTCTGCTGCAAGATTTCCTACTTTTAGTTGCAATTGGTACTTTTCCATAGCATAAGTAAACTTCTTCAAGTTACTAGACAAAGGGCATGATGATGCTCATTAATGAATAAATGATCAAGTACATAGTGCCATCGAGAATTTATGTAAGTACTAATAGATTTCATATTTTTTGTAATAATTGTGTAACATAAATTGTTGTACATGCGGATGCTGGCAATGGGGAAGAGGGACATGTTGAAAATGGGGTTTCCTTTATAGTGAATGACTTGCAAAATGAAACTCAGTCAGCAGCACCCAGAATTCCCTAATTTGACTTAAATGCCACAACATCATTGACTGTCCAAATTTATCACCAAACAATGTCATAATTGCAAATAAATACAACTCATCTCACAATATTTGTGGTACATCATTGATGATACATACTACATACAGGGACATAAAGATATGTGCACATGATAACCACTGCAATGGCTTATGCAGTAGATGATCAAGTGAAATATATAATACGGACTGTTTCCATTTGTGTCTCTTTACTCCTCCTTGAGCCATTACTATACCTGAGTGTAGCAAGCAAAATCTGGACCAAAATAAAAACAATGCAGTTACCACAAGTCATTGATGTCAGAGCAAGAGTTTATTGATTCAACATCAATGCACTCCATGTACCAACACACTTCCTCTGGTAGATGCTGCAGGAGAGTTGGGCATGGGGATGAAGATAAAGATGAATCTGTAAAGGCATCAGTATTTGAAGACACCATTGTAACCGGGTCATGCTTACCGCTGTCAGAGTAGGTGGATGCAAGGGAATTTTCAAGGGCTAGTGTGTAAACTTCAGCCTCAGCTTTGGTGTGCTGCATCTTAGATTGCAGGAAAGTGAGCTCCGATTGAGCATTGCAATGATGAATGTATCCTCCAACATCAAGATACAAGGCCATTAGTCCCACCTAGGTAGATAATTCCACTTTGCATGCCTTGTCTAAGGCATGTTGGATGCATGTGGTGACCCATGTACTCTGCAGGTTGAACAAGGGGCCATTGGACTTCAAGGAGCGTAAGAATGACAAAGGAGATAAACAACAGCACTGACATTCACAGTAACAAATGTTCATTGTTCCAGGTGTGCAAGGGCAAACTTACCAGCCAAAGGAGAGCCACATTTGAGCAATGCAATTTCTGTGGGAGGGATGGAGTCAGTATGTTGCCTCCTTAACCAAGTTTCACATTTGTCTCGGACAACTGCTGAATAGGCCACAACAGGTTCAACAATGTGTCTCATAGTTGCTGAGAAATAGGTAGTGTTGTGCGCAACTGGCACTGCAATAGGACATGTCGCTAAGAGTAATCATGTCAGGTCATGTTATTCAGATGTTGAAGTTAGAGTCTCTCATGCATAGCCCAGCATTGCTCCATATGATTGATGGCCTGGCTGCAAAGAGATACTTCCAGCTGACATCAATCCCTCTTCTCTTCCATGAAATCTTGCTTGATGCTCCAGCAGTTTGTATGATCCCCAGTAGCGCTTCGCAGCAATTCCTCTCTTTGCACTTCTAACATATGTCCCCCAACTATTTGCCAAATATCACCAAGATATACTCGATGTTAAGAACCATGTTGCTCAAGGGAGAGAGAGACTGACTCAGAGGGGCTTGGCCTCAGCTTGTATGCTATGCCCCTTACCCAAGTATGTGCCCTTCATTTCGTATGAGGTCCAATGATGGTCTAACAAAGTCCGGAGGACTTCCGGAGGCTGGCTACTCTGCTGGAGAGTGCTAGAGGACTTCCGGAGGAGCGTGGGAGAGTTCCGGAGGAACACAGGAAGTGCTCAGGAGAGTTCCCACTGCAAGGTAATACTTCTACAGGAAACAGGATGGAAGGATAGGATGTCTGAAGGTCCAGAGGACAGGAGGACAGGAGGACAGGAGGACAGGAGGACAGGAGGACAGGAGGACAGAAGGACAGGAGGATAGGATGTCCAAGGGTTAGGAGGACAGAAGGACAGAAGGACAGGAGGATAGGATGTCCAAGGGTTAGGAGGACAGAATGTCCAAAGGTACAGAGGGTGGGACATCCAAAGGACAGGACATCCAGAGGTCCGGAAGGAATAGGGGCTACATCGGACAAAGTCCAATATAGAAACAGACAGAGGTGGACTACCCTAAGGTAGAGTCAGAGAGACAGGGATTGGACCAAAGTCCAGAAAGAGGGTAAGTGCCGGAAAGGCAAAGCTCCAGCCTAGGGAATCAATCCCTAGGCCTAATGGATAGGACAGACTTAGGTGGACCAAAGTCCAAGAGAGGATTGGGCAAGTAGAGCAAAGTCTAAGATGATATTCAAACTGAGGAAACTACAGGAGTATGTACAGGGGTTATATACTGGAGAATATCTAAGGGGATCAGTAAGCAAAGGAGAAGGGCTATGTACAAGCATGTGGAAACACATTAGTAAGTAAGATGGAACATAACTAAATGAACTTGGAGATGAAGACTTGTACAAGGATCAATAAGCAGGATGGAACAAGAGGTAACCAAAAGCCAGAAAGGCAGAGATATCTAAATGGAGATAGGCGCAGGTTATCGGACAGAGGGCAGGAATACGTCCAGAGTTAACATCCAGAGGTCCAGAGATCTGGGGATCTAGAAGACAAGGTGGATACAGGACCAGGATATGAGGAGGTGGATATAGTCTGGAATCCGAGATGAGGTGAAGTCTGGATGTCTTGCTGGATGGAGTGCACATAGGGTGGACAGGATAGGGTTGTATGGATTAGGCTAGCAGAGAGGATCTGATGGTCCGGAGCTCAGGGGTAAATCCAGAGCGTAGTCGATCCTGCTGAGGTGTGGAGCACAGCAGAAGGGGATCTTGGAATGAGCTGGATATGATGTGGGGTCTGGATGTAGGCTCGGAAGGCGTGGGAATATGATGGAATGTGGGTCTGGATTGTGGGATATGACACTCAACCTTTGAGCAAGAAGTGTAGGAGATATAATTCAGTCCGAAGCTGAATAAAAAAAACTGTCAGGATGTGCCATCAGATGCTGTATAAATTATAGACTGGCCTTCTCTGTTGGTATGAGCCTTATGAAGAAATCCAGCCATTTAGTGTGGGTTAGTATGTTTGAGAGTTCAAACATGCCAATCTGAGTAGCTGAGGAGTCAAATGGCAGAAGACAGGAGGGGGTCAACATCATCGTAAGTTGGAACTTGTTGGGTAAATTAGTGTGTTGTGGGCAACCTCAAGCAAGTTTGTATAGAATTCCCAACAGTGGATGCTGGAAGAATTTTAATAAGTCAATTTGACAGCTGGCCATCAAAACTTCCGGCTGGTCATCAAAATTAATATTTGGGACATAGTAGTACATAGCCCTGAACCACCAGGATGTAGGTACGTTCTCTGTGAGAATTGATACTAGATAATTATGAGTAGTGGGGTCCCCTTTTCCTAGTTAGGAAAAGGACAGAGTATATGGATAGTGACTAATAAGTAGGATATGCAAGATCAAAACATACATGCTAGCACCAAGTACAGAATGTCACCATCACTCATATTAAGTGTGTACAGGAAAGGGACTAAATCATAAGATTAAATGTCTGTTTGACAGTGATGGCTCTTTGCTGCAAAACTGGGTGTTCTAATCAGTAATCTCCCAAAGTTTCCCAAAAATGCGCCTTGCTGCTGCATCTGGTTTGGGACCATCTCTAATGTAGGTGGTGTGAATTGCTCGGTGAGCCCGGCAAAACATCACTGTCTTTGAATCAGACAGTTAAGCCACTGAACATCACAAGACATACCTTGGGTCTGATGAAGGTTGGCCCTCACTGATTGAATTCTTCAAAGGATCTGGGTAAGTCCTAAAATAGAATGCTGTATTGCAGCCTATCATGCTGCATGACCATTGACTCACATGAACACCTATCTTAAAGACCGTGGGGCATCCAAATCATATAACTATAATAAGCTCATAAGTAAATTTAAAGACACAAAAACAGGAGAAACTAATGGCCTTCTGTTATTTGAAAGTTGGAAGAAGAACTTCAGTGGAAAGTACATGTGTGCTGATATAGTGAATGACTATATTGAAACTCAGCCGGAATTCAGTGCCAGCGCGTTCACTTACTAATCAGGCATTGCTGGCTGGGTCTGAATGTATAGTCATTCAGTATATCAACATGTCCTCTGTCATAATATCTTCCCTGATTCCCATCCTAAGTTTTGTTGCAAGTACAATGTAGTATTATATATTTAGTATGAATGTAAATCAGCTAGTCTACCCAAGATTTTGAATGCGTCACCATACCCCAATTGCCATACCCCATAGAATAGTTTTATATTTGTAATTATCATAGTACTATTGCGGGAAATATGTCAATTTATTTCAACAGTCTTGCTGAGCGCTGATACACCATTGATTCACAATGCCCACAATTCGCACCACCATATCTGTCCAACAATGCATGGAAGACAATGCTCATGTACTGTTGGTCCACAATATTTGTGCTGTGGTTCATCCACACCAGTAAGTATTAGCTAATTGTTAAGGTCGCATGCTCAAGGGGGTCAGATCACAAGGGCTTGGCCTCAGCTCATACGCTGTGCCCCTTTCCCAAGTATGTGCCCTTAATTTCTGGGGGCTAGAACAGTCGTCTGGAGTTTCTGGGATTTGACTAGGGCAGATAATGGACATCCGGATCTGAAATGTGAGATAAATCTGACGGACATCTGGATGTTACCTGGGCAAGCGGATAAGACTAATCCGGATGAAGTCCGGACTAGAAACTAACAGAGGATGGACTACCCTTAAGGTAGAGTCGGAAATGTAGTCTAGGATGCAATCCTAAGACTCGGAATATGACAAGAGACTTATCTTGAGTCCAGAGGACACAGGAATGAGCAGGAACTAAGATGATATTCGAACTGGAGTATTTCCAAGAGTTACAGGAGGTTTATATACTGTAGGTAACATATAGGAATCAGTCAGCAAACATAAAGGCTATGTACAAAGCATATGCAGAGTCTATTAGTAAGTAGGATGGATCACAAATAATGAACACCGGAAATGAAATGTATGTAACGGATCAATAATCAAAAGGAAAACATGGTTAACCAGAGTCCAGAGACAGGGGCAGTCTAAATGGAGTTGGGTGCTGATATAGGGTTTGGATTCCGGAAGGGAGATAAAGATAGATCAGATCATTTGAGATCCGGATCTCGGATCTGGATATCCGGAGAAGTGGATTTAGAGTTGAGAGTCCAGAATGGCATATGACACTAATCCACAATAGTGATTCACTACAAATACTGACCTTGCACATGAAGAGGTCTTCTTTCTCCTACCATTACCTCGATACAACACAAGTTGATAGATATTATATTAGAGAATGTACTCTAAGTCCATCAAAACAATTGAACATAGTATGTGAGGCTCAAGTTTGCTGTAGCTGTAAAGTTAACATATACACCAGACAGAATCATGTCCAAACACACCAGATTCAATGATGATGAACCTGCCCCAAAGAGGCTCAGGATTGATGAAGGTAACTCATGACACAATATTGTCAATACTGTCATTCATGAGCACAATACAGGGAGGAACCTGACAGTACTGGCATTGTGTGATACACATGCATGGGAGATTCTGAAGCAGTTCCTCACCAGTGACATGACGATGGCACAAATGGATGACGCACTGATTGTGTACCTCAGTGATCAATACTCTGCAGATGATTGGGTGGAGCCCTGACATGCCTTGTTCTCCAGTGAAAGTAACAATGATGAGTCCTTGGCCAACCTTTGCCTACTCATGGCCAGGTACATACCCACCAAGGCCCCCCTTCCTGCATCAAAAGATTCTTCCATATCAGTGTCTGCATCAAGCTCACATGGACAATGATTGCAGGGACAACCCAAAGTAAGTAAAATAGCATGGCTAATGATTTTGTGTACTAAAACAAGAAACATAGTCTACCCACAATCCATATATTCTCATCAAGGCTTCTGAAGATGGGGAAGGGGATGAGGTTGGGCAGTCTGAGCAGTTGCAAAAGGTCACACACTTGCCAGAAACATCAGTGAAAGATAAGTTGGCGAAAAAATTCGATAACTTGGCCAATAGGATTGAAGAGAATTCTACCAACTCATCACAAGGTTGCCATGCTCTCACTTCCAGAGCTGCCTTGATCTCCAGCATGATCCCATTGGTCTCACATAAAATTTCAGCACCTGAGACCAGGATGTATTTACTTCATATTCAAAGTATGTCCTATTATGCAGTATTCAATATATCACTCATCACATCGCAGGAACTGTGACTGAATTCATCGCTGAACACCTTCGGGGCCAGAGATTTTCCATTACCATATCAGCTTGGATAGCAGGCCAACTCTACATGGTTGCAGATAGCCCCAAAACCATTGCTGAATCACTTCCTACCTCACATTGTTTTGCCTTGAAACAATGTCTTTGCATCACAGAGGCAGAATGTGAAGCTGTCGAAGGTTCACTGTCCCAACTTCCTAGCCCTGTGTGGGTGAGGATCAGGCATGGCCAGTACAGGGCTCCATAGGCAGAGTTGAATCCCAGACCTTAAATTCTATCGAGGTCCTAATCCATCCACTGTGCTTTCCCTATCCAATACCTTGGGGATCTCAAGCACTGCTTGATCAATCACACCTTCCAGCTAACAAGTCAGTTTGTGACATCATTCATGATAACAAAGTCATAGGATGGACTTACAAAAACAAAAGTTACTACATGGGCCTCCTACTGAAGACCTTCCAATGCGATAATTTAGAACTTATTGCCTCCCCTCACATTGATAACATTCGACTTCATATAGAATCTGGATGGGACAAGCCCTTCCTGAAGAAGGCTGTGGTGGCGTTTTCAATGCAATTTTTGCACGCGGGCAATTGGGCCAGAGTCATCAAAGACTCACTTCATGGAGAGCTCAGTAGGGTCGACTAACCACACATTTGGTTCTGTGGGCTTGGAGTTTACATTTGATGGATGGCCAAAAGAAACAGAAGTTCGGCTCCAAGACATAGAGTGTGTTTTTCAGGTCAGGCGACACCATTAGAGTTGTAGCTGGTCCATACTTGGGTTTAGAAGGGCATGCCATTCAAATGTGTGAGGACATATTTCACATTTGTCAAGACATTTCCAATGAAGAGGTAAATAAGGCGCAATCATATAATTGTGCAAAACTGTCTAACACTTAGTGCATAGGTGGAAGTTTCCAAGTACTACTTAGATTAGTGTACCTTGAAACACATGATTCACTCACAGCTGCCAATGCAACAACATCTCAAGCCCCCCTCTGACTTCAACTCCAATGAAATTGGGGACTACATAGAAGTTCTGGATGGTGAGCACATGGGGAAATGCAGTGTCATGAACTGGTATTATAAGGGAGCAACCAATCTGTGGTTCTGGGATATCTTAGATGACAAGAGAGAGTGCAGTGATGGACTGTGGAGCATTTCAGTTCCTGTAGCAATGGTTCAGCAGACAAACCTTGCCCAGACAATCCAGTACACAAAGGACAGGGGTTATGACATCAGGCTTGGAGATGTCATGATTGTACTCTGTGGACTGGAGTATCAGATGAAAGGGGTCATGCACAATGTCAACTTTCCAAACACCTGTTTGACCATACTATCTGATGGTGATCAATCACTTGTAAGCACTATTCACCTCGACTCAAACATCTCTGATGTGTAAACAGGTCAAAGTTCCAATCAGATTTGTGACCAAGATATGCAATGCCTTCTTGGATTCTTTCAAGAAGGGTATCAGCCGTGAAGTTTTTGTTATCAGGGGTGACCGAAAGGGCTGCCGAGCCACGCTCTACAGTCTCTCCCTTGAGACATGTACCATTGCTGTGCATGGGCAGCAGGCACACCACACTCAAGCTTTACAACATTGTCACCAGGTTAGTGGCACGCACATGTTCATTTTATTCTAAAGTTAACAACTCTTTTAAGGTATGGAATGAGATTAAATGGTGTGATGCTCAAAGGTCCAGACTTGATTTCATTCTGTGAAATGAGGAAAAGATCATACTTGACCCCTCCACCTCAATCTACTACTCCACCCATTGAAAAAGAAAAAGTTCCCTTGAACTCATTGGTCTCCCTCACATGTCCCAGGCCATCCATTGCGTGGTCCACTTGGCCTGCAAGCTCTAAGGCTATTGATATGACACACAACCCTACATTGAGTGCCACTCCCAGTACATCGACATCTGACCCATGGACTGTTGATGCCCAGGACAACACTAGTGCCAAAGCAGAGAACCTACCAGACAGTGGTAAGTCCTCAATGGAGGTATCATAGTGTATGCTTATTTAATTTCAGGTCTGCTACCTTGGTTGATGAGCAAGGAGTTTTCTTCAAAGTTATCAACACATCAGGCACTGTTGAAGGTGTCACCAAGATTCCTCAGGGGCAAGTTATACAAGCGATTTGTATCAACAGCTTGCTCTGACCCCTTCTGCAGTGAGAATGGACCCACACCTGAGGGTTGTGTCACCACATTCTGCACATCCAACAGTGTGGGTGCTGCACTTGAACACCATCACATCCCTGCCAGCAACCTGAGCCTGGCTCCTCCACATAGGAAACAGCAACTGTGCCTTGTTCTGGACAGGGATCATCATGGCCTTATTGGAACTGTCATTAAATGTTCCACTGCAAAAAAAATCATTGATATTATGATCAGTGCTATGGTTACCTTAACTCTGGGTTTTGATCAGGTGTGTCTAGTGGAACCTGCAAAACACATGATATGATATATATACCTATGTACATGTACGAACATGATATACTTAGCACCCCAATCTAATTTTTACAATTGTCTCCTGTCTCACCAACACTGTAAACAGGAGGACACAGTTCCAATCAGTTCATGCTCACTGGTGGATATTGTGGGCGGCCTTCAATGAAGTTCAGTTTAGGTAGTAGATGACCACTGTAGCAATAACTACTAGCTATTTACCAGACACTGCCATAGGCACACCACAACTATGAGGAATGACCATTTGGCATCAATATTACATTTTTTTTGCAACTTGTGAGGGCTAATTGGTTGACAACACAAAGAGCTATCATTGAGTTCCACTTAGGCAGTGGGTGACCTTTGCAGTCAAAAACTGCTCGCATCTGACAAGACACTGCCATGGACTCGTCATGACTATGAGTAATGACCATTTGGAGTCAGCATTGCACCAATTTTATAACTCATGATTGCCGCTTGGTTGGCTTTGCAAACAGCCATGACAAAGTCCATCTTAGGTAACAGATTACCACTGAGTCAGATATGCAGGATGTTCCCCAACAAGTTACCTATCATGCATCACAGTTATGAGACATATATTTCTTTGTCAAAATTAGGTCTGTGTTGTACCTTTTTGTCTTGTGATGCCATTGTGCCATGTTTATATATCCCTTTGTCTTTGGATATAATCTGGTAGATATTTGATCCAAACTTACCATTTATATCTACAAAAACCACGTTCTCGCTGATTACCTGATGTGAGGTGAGATATGGAAAAAAACGAAAATGGTGTGCATACATATGTTTCTTCACCACTTCTTCAATAATCACTTGGACTTCTTCTTCTTCTTTCTCCCGTGCTAGCTTCCTACATTTCTTTGCATGCAGCACCAGTCCACAAGCTCATGCTAGTATTCCACATATGTTACACTTCACATTGTCTGATGTCCATTGAAGAGGCATCAAAATGGATATTGATGGCATGAAAGGCAAGATGAGGACTTGCAGGGAATTTGTGAGCACTGAGAAAGAGGCTTGACAACAGATTCTATCTAGTATGAGTGATACACAATGTAGATGTTAGAGATATGTGTACCTTTGATGCAGATGGTAGTGAGGAATAGAGTATAATTGAAACTCAGGTCAGGATAGCCATCTCGATGACATTGTAATCAAATCATAATCACATCATGATGAAATCGTAATTGAATCATAATGGTGATAAATATTGCATTATGATATGGGAGCATTATAATGCCTGCTGGAAATTTCTGACAGATGAATTTGTCAAGCTAGATGATGCACAGGGCATCTGCTATAGATGTTGAGCGAAGCGATCCGATCTTATATGTACACATGCTACCTATCCCAGAGGATTAACCTCCAGGACTTCCATTTCCTCTTTTGTATGTCTTATTGCTTCTTCACCGTTGACACCACATGTCACTGTAGCTTCTTTCCATCTCACAGTCTTCTTGCCCATTGGTACTTAATATCCCACTTGCTCGTATTCCCACCTCAGTGTTGTCTACACACTCACTGAGGTACATTGACTATAGTCATTTGTATCTACTCTTGCTGACATGTATACTAGACTTTGTCATCTAGGTAAATATAATATAGCATTGTCTACACACTTACTGAGACTTTGTCATCTAGCTTTCATCAATAGATGGCGAAGGGACAGGTCCAATGCACAGGGCATATGCCATAGATGGTGAGGACGAGTCTGCTGAGGAGCAAGCTCGTCTAATTAGACTGGTGTAAATTACCTTGTGGAGCAAGGTCTATGAATGCGGCGTGATCTGTGGTGGTAAACATCACAAAATATACACATGATCATCGTGAACCATCTGACACCAGACACACCAAAATGAATTAGACTGCATTATTGCTGATTCTGCACAGAATTACATTATGGTGAATGAGATAATGGTACAAAGTATCTTCAAGAACGATCCTCCCAAACAATAATTACACTACTTTTTTAAAATCCATCCAGCAAACTCATTTCATCACTGGCCCTCACACATATGCCATGCTATGAATGGCCCAAGGTTCGATAACAGCACGAACAATTAACCTTGAGGTTGTTTCAACCACACTGATGCAAAAGCACACAGCATATGCGAGGATGGTATGTGCTCCAATATTCAGAGCATACAAGAGCACAAATGCGTCCAAATTGATTTATACCTGAAACCTGTCCAAGATATGAAAAAATGCATAGTGACAAAGACTACTCGCCTGAATATGAACCACGACTCCAATTGATCGTCTGACCTGCGATTCTACAAATGTAGCTGCTTGCTGTCATTTCTGTATGAAAGTCAACAGCCTGGCGCATTCCACAATTAGATATGAGCAAATGACTAACTCAGATTATGTCATCACAACAGGTGTCATGGACTTCATTCACAGTGGACAATACGACGAACGAATGACATAACCATTATCAAAAATGTGGCAAAAGAGAACACAGAAAGTCCATAAGTTAATTGTCAGACAAACAGCCCAAGCACCAATTTCTTAACTGACCACTCAAGGAATTTTGAGAGCAGCATCTCTCAACCATTCTGCTAACAGAAGTGTATCTGCATACACCACTGTAGTATCTAAGTCGTGTGCCATTTTCTGAGTGATTCTTCAGTAATAAATTAGGGTAAAAGACGCCAACATATAACTAACTGATGTACAATTAAACTCTGCTGGATCTGCACATAACACTTGATCTGCAAGGATGGTAGGAGAGTCTGTATAAATCATTCGAGACCCACTAGACTCAAAGGCTTCTTGGACAGTGGCTGCAGTCTGAATGAAGATATGAGGAGTGCCACGAGATTGGTGTTCAACTGATGAGACACTCATCAACAATAAATAATGCACATAATGAATTAAACATACTAAATATAAAAGCACATTTGGCGTTGGAAGTCTTCAGCAATTCAAACACGCTAAGCTGCATCATAGACCCCTTCAACACCCTTTGGAAGATCTTTGTATAGAAGATGAAAGAATGCGAGAACTGGTAGAAGACACCGAGAGATGTTTTAATGAAGGTGAATATGGACCCATATGAAAGTTTACAGCCTTTTGTATCATGCTCAGAATGTTGTGCATCTGAATGGCGAGTAATCAAAGATATTTGGCCCTGTTGATATTGTGGGCAAGTCAAATTAAGCGAAAGAGCTCCACAAGGTAAAAAGTCGGCAACACCGACCCCTAGTAAAGTTAAACTCATCATAATATTCGGACGCTTTGACAATGACTAATAAGGAAGTGTCACATGTGACATTTGAGGAGTTTTACTGATGTGTGCTCTAGCCAGTATCCTCTATGCCATCGCGTTTCTGTTGTACTCTCATGCCCCAATGCACAACAGATTTTATCCAGCAGTCATCGGTCACTCATCAACTTGTTAATTAACTTGTGAGTCAATTTCTTTGCAGTGTGTTCTTGCTTCACTGACAATTCCCATCATTTAAACCAGATTTAAATGCAAAAGGTGGTCACCACTACTACACCCACATACAATTTGAACTTTGCACATGAATCAGGTTCAGGATCCATTCCAGCTTGAGCACAATCAACAGGTGCATCTGGTCGGTCCCAAAGTCCCCTTGAACATCACAACTTGAACCCAGACTTCACAGCCGAGGTAAGCCATGTACTATCTCTCTCTAGATAGCCTTCTTATGTATTCTCATAGACTTGGAATGTTTCACCTGCATGAGACTCACTACCATCTCTTTCATCCTACATCCCATCCTCCCCCAATATCTCTTATCATCAAATTTCACCATCCCATCCTCACCTGTCGTCCCCACGGATCTACCTTCTTCGCACCTATTCAATTGGGCATGGTCCTACTACTGGTCTTGCAAATGTTGCTCTTGTATGTGTCCAGTTTCAGATGTAATTTCTCTTTCCTGACTTTGCGATTAAGTATACTATTGTAAGTTAAGCGAGGTCTAAATCATTGATCCCAAGGTATTGCATCTGCAAGGTATCGTTGTATTGTAAGTTGAGCAAGGCCTCAATTATTGATCCTTCCTTCCCCAGGCATGGTGGCTGCAAGGCATTGTTGGGCGAGCAGACACTACCATCACAAAGGCGTCAATTTCAGGAATGAAATACCTTACTTTTCCAGACATTATACAGCTGTGGTGGCCATTCCTGATGGCCCCTCCCAGATTTCTAATGCTTTTGCACAGCCATTATCACTGTACCTGGCACTCACTTACCATCTCAGGCCTTGCCTGGCAAATCTCGTATTCATCTTGGTGCCTGGGTCCAAACCTGATACTCCCACTCTATCGAACACATTGACAAGCAACCTTGGTGAGTCTATTGCGTATTTGTGATCATTCAATCAAGTGCTCAAAGTAGTCACTTTTGTTCTTTTGATAGAGCCCTTGTCTGGCAGTCAATTAGCCTGTCGATTTGCATAGGTGCTCCATATTGTGGCTGAGACAAGGGTATAAATGAGATAGTGAGATAAGGAAGGTGGATGCTGGTATGAATACTGATAGGATGTAGTTGACTGGCCGCTGTACCGTTCACTGAAATAATGTGATACAAGAAAAGTGTCGCTATGTGCCAATACAAGCAAACACATGGTGAGGAATGAACTAGACTGACAAACTTACCATATCCTTTGAGGAACGTTGGAATGCTTTATCCATGCCCACAGCCAGCGCTCGATAACATTATCACATGATCATTAATTTTGGGTTGCGGTATTACAGGGTATTACTAAAGTTGACTGATATGCACTCTAAATATGTATTATGATCACTGGTTCAGAAGTGCTACATGAAGATCTCACTGCCAGAAACCATGCTCAAGCTCTCTGGAATTGGTATGTCATCAGAGTGAGGCTGTCGAGACATGGCGGCAGAGCACTTACTGTCAAAGACACATAGGGGTTTATCTTTCAGAGGTGTATGAGTAGTGGTACTAATACCTACTAGTAATAGCAAACACCAACTTGAACTTTGGTCGAGTGTGGCTAAGCCTCGAGGTTCAGTTAGGTACCACTGCTATGACTAACAATATATTCATTTTCGATGCTCTCAGAAGCACACGAGCCTCTTAAACTTTACTTAGAACCCTCAGGCTAATCAGACCAGTATGACCAGTGACACCTCCGAGTCAGATCATCAGATGGAAAAAGATGATATGTTATATTTTCTTAACACCATCATTCGCTAACTTACATGCACTAGATCTCACAGTGGTACCTCAGGCTCTGGAGGCAAAATTTCATACCTTCAATCCCATGATGGAAGATATATATGGCAGCACACAACTGCCAGCAGTAAAAAAACGTTGATACATCAAGTGAAACAAATATGTTCTGTTATCCATGGGTCTTGTGGGGTACCATGTGTCATCTGACAGTCCAGTGGGAGACCCATCACATCCCAGCATGAACCCTGCCAGTGACCTTGACATGCAGAGTCACCCTATGCCGTTGAAATCAACCAGCATACCAATTCCATCACAAACACCATCATCATCTACCAGTATCATGGCAATGTCCCTGTTGACCCCACTGGCAAGTCTGGCATTGCCAGCCAGCACTCCCCCATCAACTCCACCACCCTCAGAACCACCTAGGCTCTCATCATCCCTGAGACCTGACATTACATCACCTCTGTCCACTGATTCCAAGTCAGCGGTGCCTGGACAATTGCCAGTGGTTGAAAGCGAAGGTTTCGCTGAGTTGCTGGGGCCAGTGCCCAGAATGGGCAGTCCTGGATTGGCTAATGAATCACATTGTCATGACTTGGAGGACTCGGAGTACAACAAACTATTGGATGAGATTATACAATGGGTATAGGCAAGTCTCTAGGAGTACTAGTACACACTGACTCAGTAACTACTAGGCTCATTGTACAATTAAACAAACTTTTCCTGCTTATCCGCATTGGGACAATCCAAATTTGGTCAGTCAGTGATATCTATCGCTGACATAACATTAACTCAGCAACTTTAGGGTAACTCAACACTCAGGTCTTTACCACATACCTCTCTCAATTGTTGCAGTGTTAGGACTGGGAGGACCAGAAAAAAGACTAATGAGGTGAGCAGTCGCCCCCTTACCTCTAATTTACTTGATCTTGATAGTCTCGGGCTCACAACTCCTACCGGTAGTAGTGCCCACATCCATCGGCATAAGGAATTTACTCTTTCGCCATCACTTTCATAGTCTGTAAAGGTGATTAATAGTATTTTGAATGTTTAATGAAGCTTATGTTATGTATCAGAGAAATATGATGCTGCTTCTGCTGAATCTGCCAGTTCCTGTCCTCAAGGCTTCAGCCAAACGTAGACGGCAACTGGTTCCACTCAAAAGAGAATAGCTGTGAGCTCCTCAGCTACCTCCTTGGTACATGCCTAAAATGCACTCTGATCACTCTGCTGATGAGATTTGGTAGACTCTGACGGTCTGTGCCTTTATCCCTCCCTGAAAACCAGTTGTGGGACATTATTGACGAGTTCATCTATCAGGTCTAACCATCCGCTCTTTTGTGCTTGCATCCTGCATTAAAAACTGACGACAAGCTGACCTTGGTTCAGAAGGCAGTGCCCAAGCTTAGAGTTCATATTCCATGCTTGATGTGTTGTATTCACTTATCCAATAGAGCTGCAAAAATGAATGGCTCGAAGCATGTGCAGGTGGGAAAATGACGAGTAAATCAAGTATGTCAGTTCACTTGGAATTCTGCTTGAACTAACTGATTCTTCCACTAGCTGGTGAATATGGAACAAAGCCTTTGTATCGCATGCTTGGATATTTCACGCTTGCCTTGAAGGTGATGCAACTCATGTTTTCACTGGCATTCTTAATTGGGTGATGCGCGTGCAGCAATAACACACTCGCAGTCACAGGTGAGGGTTCTCATGTGTTTATGTTTCTCATTGTTCTTTGTCAGATCGGATATATACTCTGCTGGCACTTTGCCATGCGCTTGCGCTGACCAGGCTTGATGAATATTGTGCACGATATGGTGACCAAATTGGGCATATGGGCCAAGGGTATGTGTCTGACACTACTACCCAAGTGCGGTCACTCAATGTTGTTTTCAATACCTTTAGCGAGGAATGTCTGTCAACATTTGAAGAACTGTTCTTGTATGAGTGCACCTTGTTCTGACCCTCATGCATCAGCCAAATGGTCTCACTTTGCAGCAAATGCAGTCCTTCAAGATGGCGCTTGCACAGAATGCGGAGGGACACCCAGCATAAGTTCCATACCCAGGGCACCTCATTCAGAATGGCACACACTTCAATGTGCAGCTGGCAGGTGGCGCCAATCTTAACATCAAACTTCCTCAGGGATGGCAGTGGCCAGGCATAGTGTCACCTCATCAGCAGCCTGCACAGCTTCAAGAAGGGACACTGAGCCCTCATGTTACGCCAGGTAATCTACCTACGTGCACACCATCTGTCAATGGTGTGTGAACTGCCAATCGTGCTGGGAGCATCAATGTTCCTATCCCAAACTTGCCTGTGCCAACTTCCCACCATATGATGACCCTGCTGCACTTGCTTTGATGCTCATCCCACCAACACTGACCTCATCCTTGCAGAATCCTGGCTAGTCCTTGGTAGTCCAACACAGCGACACCTCCAGTCCTTGTCATCTCATTTCATGTCGCTTACACCAGTCTCAAGCCTCAAGAGTCTCCTAAAGCCCTACATGAGCCTTGATGCACAGGAGCTTACTAGCTTTCTGGATACATCAAGTGCCAGTATGGGCGAAGAGGAGGTATTGAGTTAGATGCTGGTCATGAAAAACACTAGATGATGTGCTGGACGTATGAATACTGGTGGTACTGCTGCGAATGGCAAGAAAAATGCTGAAGGATCAAGACTTTGCCCACATCCATCCTGCCTGTTCCCTCTTGCTCTTGTCCTTGTTCTTGTCCTTGTTCTTGTTCTCATCCTCATTTCTGCTCCCGCCCTCCCTCTTCCATGTCTTTCATGTTCTTGTTCGTGTCTATTATATCACTACGGTACTTGAGATATATCTCATGTTGCATAAGACTCCAGTGATGGTGAACTCAATTAAGACCATTTCTTATTAGCTAAGCTGAAGAGCCACTGCACATATGATGATTGTTGGAGTTTTCTTGAAATTATTTGAAAGAGTTTTTGGCAATCACCATCATGTCAACAACTAGTATAGTTTTCTCTATGTGTCTTCTCCCTGATACTGCTGGTATTCAATCAACTCCTAAGAAAAAATCTCTTGAGCCCAAAAACAGATGCAGTTCAGCTTCAGATGAAGCTGAGTATCCAGTAGGTTAACTCGGACTTGGAGGACACCTTCAAGCTTACACCACAACCTCACATCGAAACATCACACACTCTGCCCAGCACAAAGCCGAACAATCCAATCGCAATTCCTACTAGGAGTGCATCCATTTTATCAGGTGGCACAAGCTTGCTCCATCGTTTCACTCACTGGGCAGACCAGAACAATATCAAGCTCTCGACCTCAGGTAAATGTTTGAACTATACCCATCACATAATCCAATACCGACTCTTCAACTTCCAGCTTGATGTGTGTACAAAAAAGTCGTTCAGTTCCTTGAGAACTCTAAATCAGACTTTACGGTGAGCGCCCATTGTCAATCATGATGGACCTGAGACTCATTTGAACATCGTTGATCAGGAGATTTTTGGTGTTGGACCAGCAGAATACACAGTAATAGAACAATTTTGTGAAGATTTTGGGTTGAAACCCAGGTTCGTGCTTGAGTTGGATTGCAGACTTGGATACTCATGATGACCATTGTCTGCATGACAGATTGTCATATATCCACTCACAGCACACCATACTCCTAGAAATGCCATTGGGGCTCCATGAAACTCCAATGGCCACCATCCAATCCGCATTCCACAATTTCTTTCGTGATATCCCCTACCCGAAGAGACAGCTGATCAACGTCAATTTGTTGACCAACATATCACAAGATGGCGCTATTCCTGACTTGAGGATATCCATTCAGAATGTATGGGACTGGCAACTTACCCTCATCATACCTGCCATCGGCAAAAGCACGTTTTCACAGCACCTCACCCCTTTATACATCAAGTTGAAGGCAGCTGTTGCAGCGAACCCAGCACTTTTGATGATCATCATGGTGGTGGTCCAAGAGCTGTGTCTGTACTTCAGTCCCAAGCGGCATTCAACTGCATACAATGTATTGCTCAATGAGCCCAAATGCAGTTGGGATGACTTCCATCTTGCAGCCGATGGAGGAGACCCAGCCCTTGACCGACCAATAATTGTAGAAGGGCACACGTGGGCCTCACTGAAATCTGTGCACCTCAAGGTGTGGCTCTGAGGGGCCCAAGATATTGATATTGATAGCGTTGATCCCAATTTAGTGGCTGATGGGGTAATGTTCCTTCTTCTCCCAGTTTGCACGCAATTCACTTTATCATAAGTCTGTTTTTCCCGCAGACAATAATATGACCACAGTGCTGTCAATGATTAATAGGGGAGCTGAAGCCATCAGGGATCACCTCATTGAGCTTTGCTGAAACATGGTGCCTGATATGGACCTTGCCCCCCTCAAGGATCCTAGTATCAGGTTCCAGTTGGAGATAGACAATTTCATCGACAGTCTTTTGGGGGGTATGACCAAAACTGCCTATGATCATTACCAGAAGTGGCATAATAGCACACTGCAACCCAGAAAACTGAAGCACACCATCCACTGCGCTGGAATTCATGAGGATGCACCAGCATTCAATACTCGTGCTCAGAAAAGGCAGTACTGATATCCCCTATTTACCAGTACTTCCAGATTATGTCACTCTGAAGATCAAGAATTACCCATACTCATCCAATTCCTTAGTCTAGTTGTCCTTCACCTATATCATGTTTTTAACACTGATATGGGATTAATTCCTTGCAAAACTGAAAGGCTCAGGCATAATGTGACTCACAGGATTTTAATCTAATACCTCCACAATTCTAGTGAATAAGTGTGTATTGCATATCAGAAGCTTAGTTGTCTGACTTAAGTCCCCCATTCCCGAGTGGCAAATCAACTTGGGTTCGAAGCGGGGCATTTATCTGGTATGTAGAATTCCCAAATTAATGACACATCGGGGGTTTGGACCTCTTGCAAAATTTCAATCAAAAGTAGATCTGGACCAGCCTGGAACGTTCTGGAGCACTCTAGATTGCATTTCGAATGTAAACTGGTCACCAGAATGGGTTTAATTACACACCTTCCATGACACCACATCCGATGGTGGCAAAGATCCATTACAGGATACTACTAGAGATGAGGTCAGCAGCTACACTGTTTTCACCATAGCCTTGGGCAACTGAGTCTTTCCTATCAATCAAATTAGGCAGCTCCACAAGATAAAAAATGCCTCGGCAAAACACAGAAAGCTGAAGACTGTTACTTGCAGCATTTCCAGATGTGGTCTGCACCAAGTTGCTCAGCCACTCTGACTACTCACTTACATGCAAATACAGGGATCGTGCTGCACACATCTGGAGACCATATGATCCATCATTCATTAAGCCTGTCCCTCCAGTGTGAAGACCTGTACAACTACTTCTATCTCGATGTCCAATATGAAAAGAAAGAACATGCATATTATGCCCAGTGACTAATACTGTAGGTTGACCACTTTGTTAAGCACTCCCTGAACTAGTTGTGAGCCACTTCAGTAGAATATTGATCGATTTCCTTTGGTGAGATTGTGATATTATGTTTGCCTGGTCAATCTTAGCTTCACCTAGACAGCTACACCATCAGGGATGATTTCTTTGAACAAAATCCGGAGGATCGTTAGTGACATCATGTTTGACGAGAAAGCATGGGACCACTCACTTATAGACAATGACTTCAATGTAAGCAGTAGCTCTTTGCACACTGACTAGCTGTTACTGATAGTTAATTAGAGCCTGATCAAGGGACTTGTCGATTTTACTAACAATCCCAACACATCGCAGCACCTTATGTCAGACATTATTACAGGGGAAGGTGGGGGTTTGGTAGGTTTTCCTGTACAACTCAATGTTTTAGCCTGATGTTATTCTTGTAAAATCGCGGTACTTCATCAGCCTCCTGGAACTGGAAAGATGCTTATGGCTGAAGCTGTCACTGAACACCTTGAGAGGCCTTTGTACATCGTTGGCTTTCCAGAATTGTTGACAGTGCCTTCACAACTGGAGTCTGAGCTGTCAGAGATACTGAATGTATGTGCAATTATGTATCAATTACTATGATTATCATTAAAATATTCTACCAGTTAGCTACCATATGGGGTGCCACAGTTCTATTCGACGGAGGTGATGTGTCGTACCGGCTGGACATTGAGTGCAATGCCCAGGGGGAAAGGCACGACTTGCCAGTGGTCTGAGTGGATCTTCATCACTTATCTTGTCAGGCAATCCTAGCCTGACTCAGAGCTTATGAAGATCCATCATCGATTCTTTTCTGTCATATCCTCATTGAGACAATCCTTATTGGGAATCGCTCAATCATTTAGTGAGGCAGTATATAATGGTTTAGGTGGGTTTTCTGACCTGCCACTTCTTCCTTACTATTCTCTTCACCATTGCTCTTTATTTTCGCTCTTTTATTTTCTCTCACTCGCTCTTTGTTCTTCACTTTACTTCACACTTCACCTTGCCCTCACTTCTGCCATGTCTGAGCCAGAACCTGACCATCACATTCAGACACACTCCCTGGCACTTCCAGACCACTCTGGGCAGTGCCTACCTCTGTGGAGGCAAGGGCCAAGCATCGCATTGCTGCATTGGAAGAGGAACTGCAAATGATGCAGCAAGAGAGAGGAACCAAGCAGAGGTTCGTCTCATGTCATATTACTCACTCCATCCCTCTGGTTCATTGGGTCCCCCAGAAAGACAACCTACTATGTTTCTCAAGGCAGGGCAATTCACCACATGGTTGTTCTCTATACTAGCTTGGAAGACTTGATTGCTGAAAATGATCGCAGGTATGAGGAGTGTCCTGTGGACAACACTACAGAGTACATTGTCTTTTTGGTTCAATACCATATCTAACTTTATTCTTCAGAGAAGATTGCTTGCAACATGGCTACATCACACTCGCGCAGGTTGTGCCTTGGCTACACCAGAAACTTTCAGAACTTGACATCAATGACTCCGAAGATATGCTAAAAAAGGTGCGTGCCCTCAACTCTAATGTCCGTCATACTGTATTCTAGTACTTTTTCAGCTCAAAAAAGGAGCTGATGCAGCCATGGTGATGATACGTCCACTCTTAAGGACCTCATCACTGCCTGGGTCAATTAAGATTTCCACCTGTCCTGTCTACTTAAAGCCGATGACAAGCACTCATGCAGCTTCATGCATGACATCTGTGGGAAGTTACTTTGTCCTGCTGAATGGACTGGAGTGACACTTGGTAAGCATCAACCTCTGTTGGATTGTGTATGAAGCTGATGCTTGAGAAGCGTGAAGGCCGGTATTCATGACCAAACATCTGAGTACATTGTATCGGAAAATTCCTGGCCACTCTTCCTGTACAAGAACTACTCAGCCAACAGCAGCAACCTCGAGGTAGGTCTATTCAAGTCCAAGATTCTAGTTCAGGTCAGTAGCCTGTATTACTGGTCATGAAATTTTCTCATTTTATGATGCTAGGCTTTCAAGGCTACATTTATGTCTCCGTTGTCTGCAAGAGAAGCTGATGGAGATGGAGATGGAGATGGAGCCGACATCCTGGAGAATAATAGGCGTGCCAAGCGCACATTAAACCAGGCTAAGGTTAAAATGTGCATGGCCTCAATCATCAATATGAGGAAGGTTACCCCTCGCTCTATTGCATATGTTGTCTGTCAAGTGAGTACAAGCAATTACCCATTACTGATATCTGACATATAATCTTTCGCAGGTTCGTTTCGCTCTATCTGGTGTCACATCTTGGTGCACCGTGGACAGTGACTTTGACTATGAAATATTCTGGAACAACATCAGTGGACTTCTTTGAGGATGTCCCTGGCCCTGTCGCACAATGTAGGGTGGCCCAACTTCTGGAGTGGTGGACTAGGTAACAACTTATTATGCTTTGTGTATCAGATTTCTAACCTTACCATTTAGGAAGATTTTTGGAAGAAATCATTGTGAGGACCTGATGCCAGAGGTTGTGTCTAAGATGTCTGTCACCGCACTAGCTGACCAGAGAAAGGCAATGGAGGATGCCGCATTTGACTTGGATTAAAACAAACTTTCTTGCATTTTCCCTGCCATCCAGATCTACATTCACTATAATTGTTTTCATGTAATTAAATACATTGCAATCATGTTTATTGGAGATTTTGTGAGCAGGGATTGATGATAATACAGCTGGCGAAAACTACTATGACATTTGTTATACCTTCCAATCTGCAAAGTTATTCGGATACATTGCATGCAAATGACCATATTCATGACTGTGACAAGTAAAATTATATTGCTTGTGTGTGGCATTACTCATGGAAAGTTGTCCTAGTAGAATACCATAGATAGAGGAAGTCACTAGCAGTCTGTGACTGACAAGTATTGAGTGACAGTGCCAAACATGAGAGGCGCGTGGGGCAGGTGAAAAAACCATGGCTGACATCGGTATATCAGAATATATTCGAGCGGATAGAGGAGTTAATAAAGAGAAAACCCATGATGCTAACACCCTGTCCTAGTGACAAAAATCTGTAACTCTTTCAAGATCACACTATTTGAGCGAGGTCCGAATAACTTGCTGAATCAAACACTGAGCATACCTTGCCATCTCCTCACCAACTCCATCATCCTGCCATTCAGTCTCCAAGTGATAATTAATTACTGTATGTCCAATTTTTCGTATCTAGATTGGCAGTGAAACAGAGGAATAATTATTGTGGTCATTGTTTGCCTCGGTTGAGGCTGATCAGAATTTACCTAATTGCTCTGCAAAGGACATTTCAAAACAGTACACCTTCATCTCGGCTGCTACAAGACTTCCCCTCGCAGACCATTTTCTCTGTTGTGAATAGAACTGCAACTTATTTGGTAGCCTTGGACCATGTGTTTAACATGGCCACATATTGACACAGGATGCAATGCACTTCATTGTTGCTCAGCCAGTACAGCATCTTACATGAATTGCCAAAGGTGAGCAAAAGAATGATTATATTCATCTTAGGTATCGTCTTCAGGGACTGTTCTATCAGCAGACATGGATTTCAGTGTGCCAAATCATACCACATTTCCATCGTTCACACAAATACACCTCTTGTGTTACAGTTCACAATTCTTTTTTTGATGAAGGCCATTTAACTTTCGATCTTTTTAGTGGAGGATTGAGTGGAACGGCACTATCTTGTTTCATGCAATGGTGTAGACAACAAGTTCATGAAGTTTCACCACACCAAGGCCGTGAAAGTGGGACATTACAAGCATGGCATGACCTGAACTTCCGATTTCATATGTTATCTCTACTCTTCTAAACAGTGCCGGATGTGCACCATTGACAAAATGCTTCAATGATGGATTTGACGTGGACAAGTTGCAGGACATTGTGTGAAGCATATCATTGACACCTCAGTCAGGGCAGGTAATTGTCTGCCACATTGAAGTCAAGAGCCCTGCGTTCTACCAAGTGAACATATGGTCAAACATCAACCTTGCACCCTCTTGTTATACAGCCAAATATGAACAGCAGCGATTTGCAACCAGTATGGAATGTCCCAGCTTCCGCACAAGTAATGTTATTTTATTGACTGTCGAGCGACAGACAGACCTCACACTAGTGCTAGGTGACAACATTCACGCTTGTCCAGACAATTATGAGCCCAAATTTCACCTGGTTGGCTGGATTTACATCTTTCCCTTGCAGGATATTCCAAGTAGAAGACAGTACATCAAAGATAGTACAGATTGGTAGACTGCTCTTGAAATTCATTGTTACTATGTACAGTGGCTCAAAAAACTGTCCACATGTTTTTGTATTTTTTACTATTTACAATATTGTGTGAGAATACATAAAGACCTCAGTGACATGCTAATACCATATTGTAGTGCTGCTTCAGGGCTTTGGATTGAGCACCACATCGTGAGAATCAGAGGAGATATGGTGGAGATACAAGGCTCACAAAATCATGACTCATGCGGACAGTTTTTTGAGTGCATATTAAAACTATATAAATCATCATTTATGACACCATAACAATCATGCCACCATTAAATAAATTATAAAGTGGTGTCATTATGTCATTTTAAAACCATATCTAACTATCCAAACCAAAAATTTCCATATGTCATGGTTATATTTACCATGAAAGCCACCTCCCCTGCTCAAAGGGATAATATCCTCTCTCTTTCCTATTCTGGCCTCTCTGCTTGTCAAATTTCCTCTAGAACTGGAGTATCCAAGTCCACTGTGGCCAAGTTCATCAAAGAAAGTCACACAGACAAGGAAAACTTCTGTGAAGGGTGTCCATCCAAGCTCACCTCTACTGATAGGAGGGCTATTATTCAACATATCACTACAGGAAAGGCTGATAATGCTGTCCAGGTCACCTATTACATCAATTCCACCATCACATTCCCTGTCTCTTCACACACTGTGAGAAACATTCTCAAGACAGCTCATCTCAGGTCAGTAACAAGGAAGAAAAGGCTCTCCTCTCTATCACACATATGCAGAGATGACTAACCTTTGCCTTAGCCCATCAGAATTGGATTACATGGACTGGAAGCATGTTATATGATCATATAAGACCACAATAAATAGGATTGGGTCAGATGGCAAGGTATATATGTGAAAAAAGAAGGGTGCTAGTCCTCTCTGCATATATGTGATAGAGAGGAGAGCCTTTTCTTCCTTGTTACTGACCTGAGATGAGCTGTCTTGAGAATGTTTCTCACAGTGTGTGAAGAGACAGGGAATGTGATGGTGGAATTGATGTAATAGGTGACCTGGACAGCATTATCAGCCTTTCCTGTAGTGATATGTTGAATAATAGCCCTCCTATCAGTAGAGGTGAGCTTGGATGGACACCCTTCACAGAAGTTTTCCTTGTCTGTGTGACTTTCTTTGATGAACTTGGCCACAGTGGACTTGGATACTCCAGTTCTAGAGGAAATTTGACAAGCAGAGAGGCCAGAATAGGAAAGAGAGAGGATATTATCCCTTTGAGCAGGGGAGGTGGCTTTCATGGTAAATATAACCATGACATATGGAAATTTTTGGTTTGGATAGTTAGATATGGTTTTAAAATGACATAATGACACCACTTTATAATTTATTTAATGGTGGCATGATTGTTATGGTGTCATAAATGATGATTTATAGTTTTAATATGCACTCAAAAAACTGTCCATATGAGTCACCATTTTGTGAGCCTTGTATCTCCACCATATCTCCACCGATTCCCACGGTGTAGGGCTCAAATGAAAGCCCTGAAGCCATACTACAATGTGGTATAAGCATGTCCTTGAGGCATTTGTTCATTCTCACACAATATCATAGATAGTGAAAAATGTCAAAACATGTGGACAGTTTTTTGAGCCACTGTAAAGTCAAATATTTCCATGTAAACCCCCATTCCACATTTGTGGGGATTATGGTGATTCTTAACTATACATAGTCTACTATGAGATTTTAATATGTTTATCGGTTCACTGATGTAGGAAGGGAAATACTGGTAATGGCAAGGTGAAATAACCGGAAGAATATAAACAACTATCAAGATATGACCTTCATACGTACTTAATCTTTTCATTTTACATACACAATCACCCATCCTACCATGCGTCATACACGTTTCCCATTGGTTCTCCATCCCAATCAAACATATTAATTCCTCCCCTCGTCGGATGATCTCCCTCAGTCTTTCAACCCAAGACTGAGGTGAGCTTTCTTATTAAACATCTCTACTCTACTCTAACTAACTACTATCCCTACCAAGTCTGTCCTTAGGTATGATTTATGCTGAGTCTTTCAACCCAAGACTGAGTCTGTCCTTAGTTTCCCTAGTCCGAGTCTCGTTACCTTCTGACAACAACGACCAGCAAGCGACAAGTACCTATAGGAATGAGACCTCGAGCTTTATAATCTGCTACTGTTCAGAGTTCGGGCCATAGATATCTATGAGAGCAGTTGAAAAAATAGTGCGAAAGTGTTCAAATATCCCATTATAGTCCGCCATTCACGTGCACAGTTAGGAAGAATATTGCGGCGGAGGGTCCTGTGCTTCTTGAGCATCAAGACTTCGTTTCCTGTGGTCGAGTTCAAGTTGCTTCTGATGTCGAGTCATATCTGTGTGAAGCGCAGAAAGCCGGCGCTCGGGCTGGATGTTGCTCGAGCTACCAGCCGGAGGTGTAGCAAAAGTGCCCACCATCGCAGCACTCGCAGGAATCAAAGCACCATGGGGTATCGAATGTGTTGGAGAAGAAGCCGTGGATGTGTATGACGCAGACCGGGCGGGTGCCGAGAATGGGTCGTAGGGGTTTGGGAGAATAGGCACATTTTGATTGGCTATTCGCAGAGGATCTGATGCCTGCGACAATGTGCTGTGACGATTCCAAGTAGATGTGGGGTGTGAACTTAGATGCGAATCGTCGCTCAATAAGGGAGCGGCGCTTGAGATAGCTAAGAGGGATGGAGAATGCGAACTATCAGGTGAATTGGGATATGCAGCATCCAGTTGGGGTGGAGGTGGAAGGTCTCTCTCCCTCGATCTAACAGAGTCGGGGGGACGGTATTGACTCACTTCTGAGGGCAGAAGGGCAGGTCCATAACCGACGCTCTCCCGAGCCCTACGAGATCGCTTCCTTAAGTAACACACTAGTATTGCGCAGAATATCAAGAGAAACACTGAAATCACAGAGTCAATAATTTTCGGGTAAGGTTCTGACAATGTCAGCTCACTTATCCCAAATGCTAGACCAGCTCGTGCTCCAGTGCTAAGCCCTTGACTGGTAGTTGAAGACCCGTTCTGGGATGAGCTGGAGGAACTGGTGTAACTCGAGCTAAAGCTGGTTAGCGTGCCCGATGTAGTAGTTGTGGAGCTCGAGCTCGAGCTAGACTGAGATGTAGATGTAGATGTAAAGGTGGAGGTGGAGGTTATACTGCTGGAGGTCGTACTGGTGGAAGTCGTGCTAGTAGTGGTGTACGATGTAGTGGGTGAACCATTGTTATCACCATTATCACCATGATCCCCGTCATCACCATGATCCCCATTGTCGCGAGGGGACATAAATCTAATCCGACGATGAGGAGAAAATCCGCTGGTAGGATCATATGAACTTACGCTGGTTCTCGCAGGTATACAGCGCCGCCCGCAACCTCAAGGGACTGCAAAACGAGAACAAAGGCCAAGGCTGGAAGCGAGTGAGACATGCTTACGGCCAGATTTTCTGTGGAGCTTTGCCAGGGAAAGCAAAGGGAAGGGAGCAACGAACGCGGTGAAATAGAACGGTTAGAGGGTCGTGCCCGTGAGTGCCGAGTACTGCGGGTAGCATTATTGTGAGATGCAGAAGGGTCTACTTGGTTAACACTAATTCCACTCAAACGCCACCCTATGATGCTGGCTGTTCCCCCAGACGCACTTTGAACACCCGCAAGCTGCGGTCCTAGTGGGAATCAGAAGAACTAACTGCGGCAGCTGCTGCTGCTGTGCTGTAGCTACATAGACCATACTGCTGCCAAACCAAATGTCAGTTGAAATGAACTTGGGTCGCGAAATCTAAAATTAGCAAGACGCGAATTAAGATCACGTGACTTACACGTCGAAGCGCGTCGCGTTGAAATGAGTGATCAGCGGAGCTTGAAATTCGGAACCCGCTATAATGCGAATTGTCCACAGTAGGTCAAAACTTGAACTAGTCCATTCGCCAGTCTCTTGTCAACGTCCATCTAGTACTTAGGCAACGTTCAGTCTTCTCTAATCATCCTCGCTTGCAACACAGGCCGTGTTACTTTTAATCTCCAATCATGCAAACACGGTCATCTCAAGGTTCAGTCCTTGGAAAGCGTGCTCATCACGTCGACCAAAAGGCTGTCTCATCAACAACGACAAGCGACATTGCAACGTTGTCGCAGCACATGCTCACCCCAGAACAGAGCCCTAAATCGAAACGCGCCCGTATCTCGCTCTCCAGTGTTCAAGGAGATTCAAACAAGGAAAATGTACCTCCATTCCGTATTGACACACGGAATGACGTAGTAGTCGACACACCGCGTTCCATACACACATTAGTGATATCTACTCCCCCACCAACACCCCCAGTTTTGCTACTTCCCGTATACACACGTGCTCGAGGACTCCTTCGTTCGACCAGCACAAGTGTATCTCCTATAGCTGGCCGAGAGGACGAGCGGCAGCGCATTCTGGAATTCATCACCTCGTCGTGGTGCGATAGCGCACACACATCATTGTACATCTCCGGCACACCTGGAACCGGAAAGACCGCGCTTGTCAACTCGGTCCTGCGTTCGTTCGAGGGGTCCGAAGGGACGTCCGATCTGAGAGTTGTCTCTATTAATTGCATGGCCTTGAATGGGCTGGATGCCCTATGGGATCGTCTTTATGAAGAGTTGTGTCGCACAAGGGCTCCCAAGAGTGTCGCCAAGCCCTGCAAAGCCAAGGGCAAGGAAGCGGTCGAGAAAGCACTCTCTACTTTAAATCATAAGTGGTATGTACTATCACCGCTATTCATTTCGTTATCTGACCTCTTGTCCTAGCATTGTTGTGCTTGACGAGCTCGACCACATTGCGTCTTCAAATCAAACACTTTCATCAATTTTCTCCATGTCTCAACAGCATTCGTCTACCTTCCGCATCATCGGAATTGCAAATACACACACCCTCACAGCGTCCTTGGCGCAGTTGTCTACTCGTGAAGCTTCCAGCACCCTGACCCTTCACTTCGGCGCGTACTCTTCCCAGCAACTTCTTCAAGTATTGCAAGCACGTCTCTCACCTCTCTACGACAATCTGGAATGTCCAGAAGCAACGGAACAAGCCAAAAAGTTCCTTCCTGCTTCAACATTAACTCTCCTCACAAAAAAAATTGCCTCCCAAACTGGCGACGTTCGAGCCTTGTTTGAGGTACTTCGGGGGGCAATAGACTTGGCTGTCACGGGTTCGAAGGTCCCAGATGCAGATGCAAATCCTCTCACCACTCTACCTCTCATCGTCAAACCGGATCACATCCTTGCAGCCCTCAAGGCGTATCTACCTTCCACTGGCGGTGGTCGCACCTCTTCCTTGACACTATCCTCTACCAGTAATGAGACCGTGTCTAAGGTTCGTAATCTTGGCCTGCAAGTCAGACTGGCTCTCCTATGCATACTTCTTGCATCAAAGCGGAGAGAGACCACCTTGTCTCTCTCTGCATCCACCACTTCAACGCCTACCAAGTCCCCTGTGAAGCGCGCAGGCTCTGCCGTTTCTCAAAGGACTGCTGGGCTTGACGTTGCACAACTTCATGCATACTACTCAGCTGTGCTCACGCGTGCAGATAACGACACCTTCACTCCAGTTTCTAGAAGCGAGTTTTCGGACCTGATAGGGATGCTAGAGACCATAGGACTCGTGGCGTCGAGGTCTGCCCACATGACAACTGCCTCTCCATCGAAGACTGGTCGTCGTGCACTCAGTCGAGCTGTATCGTTCGGTGGAGCAGCGAAGGGAGCAGCAGCAGGCCAAGACATTAAGCTTGCGGAGACCATTCGCGCGGATGAAATCCTGCGTGGCCTGGGTGTGGCTGATGGCTCTGCTGCCAGTGATGTGCGTGAAGAAGAAGTCAGGGCTATATGGGCCAGGGAATGTGGACGCATCGCACGAGAGTCGAAAACGAAGTCAGCGTCAGGTATGGGCGGTGATAAACCCTTCGATGAAGCATTTGAAGATTAGATGCGACTTCACACCTCCACCTCCAAACAAATTCTCTTCGTTACCACAGTGCTACGATGTAGCCATTCAGATAAATTTTGCGTTATTTGTTTCTCATTACTAGCGTCTGTCTTTTTTATGGTCATGTCTTATACGATACGGGAGCTCATACTACACATTATCTCATGTAATATTAGATAAATCACTGCATGCTGCATTATACCGCAATCATTTTATGAATGCAAGTTCTTCCACCATTCGTTGATATCAAGGCGTAATATAAGGTGGCGCAACGCCTCCACCCCACCAGGGGCGTGGCGAACATCGCTTTGTTCCTGTAATGCAAGCAAGAGTTCCTGGCGTTGTGATGATTTCAAACCCTTCTCCAACAGGACTTCTAAGACTTTAATCTGCAACCAAAGGATCCAGAATCAACCTACTAGCTTCATAAATGTAAAGCAGTCAACTACATACCAGGGTCGACATTTTCTCGCGAAATGCAGCAAAGAGTACATCAAGAGCTGATGACGCCTGGTATTCTTGCAACCGCCCGTCGTTGAGGTCACCGATCATAACGCAGAGCTCTAGGATAAGTTCTAAGCCCCCACGAAAAAGGTCACCAGCTGCTCGTTGGGACGAGCGCATCAAACAAGCACTGAGAATGTTGTTCAAGACAGCGGAGTGAGCCTCAGCGACCGAAAAGACATCAGTAAACTCGGAGCTTGTTCCCAAGCGACACGCAGTGACTCGAGCCAGGAATGCGTCAAAGTTGCCCCCAATTGCCACATCGAATATATACGCGGAGAGGGTGGCCACGAACGAGTGCGCCACGAAACGGAAGTGAGTGAGGAGTTTCCTGGATTGGTTGAGGGTTGGGAAAAGTACATTCCGATGCGTCATGCGGAAAGCCGCTCGAATGGCAGATTCCACTACACAGTTTTGTTGAGCATATAAGGAAGTACGAGACAACCGTAGCTCACCTCTGACCAGGCGTAAAAGGAACGAGAAAATCCTTTGGTATTTGGATATAGTGCCCGGTGTAATAATCACGTCCAAAGGATGAGGAACTTTGTAGTCAAGATACAGAAAGTCTAATGCTCTGGTCGGGAAATTTATGAAGTATGTTCGATCTGCAGTAAAAACGACGTTACTTACTCGATGTCTAAGTGCGCATGATGACTCAGTGTGCACGTACAATGCATAAGGAAAACATAACTTACAAAGTGGGTTGAGCCATCGTTCGCGTCCCGTATCGCTGGCGAGGTCTCTGATGGCGAACCCAAGACGCACTTCAGCTTCTTCTGCTATGCGCCTTGATCCGAGTTCATGCTCTTGCTGGCTATCATCAGGGCCAAATGAACGTATGTCCTGAGAGTCCACGATGACTGTTCTCAAAAAAAAGCTAAGGTCGGAACCCCCAGGAGGCCACGTCCCTCGCTCTGTCAAGAACGGGGCTAAGCCAACGGCCCAGCGACTGGTGCCATGTTGAGTCACTCCAGCTACAGACTTACTCCTCTGGCGCGACAGTGTGAATGATTTTCCGCCTCCGGCGACAACCTCGCGGTCATCGGTGTCAGAGAACAAAGCTGCTGTGAGTCGTGATTTGAACGATGGGGAAGTCAGGAGCATATGTGAACGAAGTAGAACCAGATGGTCATGTACGTAAAGGAACGAGTTCTCGTCCAGGAATATCGATAATAGTGCACTAGAAAGGGAGGCGGCGTGCGAGATGAGCGGAGAGAAGACCAGATTAGTCAGGAGACTCAGGTTCGGAGTGATTGAGGGGAGGACGGGTGGGAAGGACAGGATGAAGTTTTCCAATGCAGCGTGCATTGAGTGCTCATTGAATGTATTCCCTCCGTTTGAGCCAGGCTCCAGGTCGAAAATCCGGAAACCGACGAGGTCGGACTGATAGCCGCACCCATGAAGATTGCTATCAGCCGAAGCTAGATCAGAGGGACTGTTGGGGCCAATAGTTGGCGCAATATCACCGGCCTCGCCAAGAGACCCCGTTCTCCATAAGTCTTGAATGTCTGTGGTTGACCAGACCCACGTGATGAACGGCCGTCGCACCGGGGGATTCAGTACAGGATGACTAGGTTGTGCGGCAGTGAGCAATTTGAGGGATTTTTGAGCGGCTGGCAATGCTTCCGCCAACTCGCGTGGTATAAAAGACGGCAATTTATCACCTTCAGAAAAGAGAACTTCATCATCCTCAGGCGACGCCTGATCAAAATCTTCGATGTCCAGCGGACCAATTGCAGTCCGCTGAGGCTGATTTGTCGCTGCCCGCTGGCTGTTGCTGTCAGTGTAAGCAACTGAGCGACACAATGTCTGTAAGTAGTTTTTCGAAGACATTGTGAGGAGATAAGCGAACACAGCAACCAAAGTCCGGGAAGACGATTTGCGAAAATGGGTATCGAGATACTTGTATATACGAGAAAGTAGAGCCACTGGCTTCATCGTAAATCGCGGATACTGCGAGGGAGACAGTCCAAGGCCCTGATAGAGCATGTCAGAGGTAAATGAGAAAACGTCAGCGAACATACCCTTTGGCAAAGTGACGCTAGAGAGACGACAATTTCTTCCGAATCCCCATAATATAGCCATGTTCCAGATAGGGTCTTCGAAGAGACGGGGATGCAGAAGTTAGAGAGAGGCCCACGAGAAAGCTGGTCACGTAGATAGACGAGCACCACAGAGAGCGCATGCGAGAAAGCATGGACCGTTGCACTTTCCTCTTTGCGCCTGCACTTTCATTTAGACAGCGTGATTTCATGGATGGGCATCATGGAACTCACCGCGTTTGTAAAACACTTAGGAATACCTCCAAGCGTCGCATCAAAGTACCAATATCTAAAAATCGCTTCAGGAGACTACGTCATCACATCAATAGACAAACATGTTGAACTGAAGTTATTTGCTCACCTGCTGCTCATCGTCTCATCTTTGCCACTGATAATCAGCTTGTTTGGCAAATTTTCTGCGCCCCCGAATGACAAGAACGTCTCTGAAACCGGATCCCACGTGTGCAGAAAAGACGAAGTTCCGAGAACTGTCATTCTCAACGACTCAAGCAGCTCAAGTTCATTCACACGGACTACACTTGCTCGCAGGTCAAACGGCAAAGGTTGCATACTAAATGTTTGGTTTGTTATGTCATTAACATCGCGAAAAAATGAATCTGACTGGTATTGTGCTGAAGCTGATACATCGGAAGACTGTTCGGTTAAGAAGGGAGTGTTGTATGAACGGTTAGGGTGTGATTGTCGCAGAACGTCCCAAGAGACAACTTGATCCTACATTTTATTATTGAGTCTTCACACCACGACACAGGGAGTTCTCACTGAATGTTGATCACCACTGGCCACTGATTTTGCCCATAGCACCTCTGGTGACAACGAGGGAAGTACAGGAGAATCTCGGGCGCGCGTAATATTTCTTGAGTCAAAACTATGCGCATCGCGTTTCACTAGAGTTGTGATCTTCTCCCTCTCGATTGCAAGCACTATGGGGTCTTGAGGTTTGTCGACCATTCGAGGGACAAAGAACTGAGATGTTATGTGTGGCAGGACGCCCAGTCCAGAATCCATGCCATGTTCGTACTGATTCCAGGCATCACCAAACAGTGACATTCCAAAACACGCGATGAAAATTGGTTGTCAGATGTTAGTTTATGATATGCATACTAGTAATGCTCATTGGATAGCGTAGCTATTGTTTGGTGTTAGTTGGCAACTCCTTCCCTTTCTAACACGACCAAACATGGGACAGTCCACTCACTGGCAAGTTGTTTGTGTCGATTGAGTGAGCGAGTGCTTGCCCATCGTCGCGTCCACAGATTCCACAGACCGGTGGAACATGTTTCAATGGTATTTCAAATGGAGCAACTAGGTGATGTAGCTCCTTGGACGCCTGGTTTGTTCGGCTAATGAACCATTGTCCATACTTTCACCACTCGAGGAACAGTCCACCATTTCCATGACAAGAGATGAATCCTCAGTGCAATGAGGCCCCAGGTTTATAAAGTCTCGAAACCTCAGTACTGCAAGTAATCATCCGTCGATTTCACCCAGCTCTCAGTGATACATAATCTCTTCTACATACGCTACTGCAACTAGCTATGCCTTCCACTCGTCTTGAATCTGTCTCGAACAAGGAGAACATCAACCCGATTGGATGCCAAGGGAGGAAGTCGTACAAAAAAACCAAGGCGCTCCTGCTCGCGGTGATGCCCATATCTGCGGAAGTAAAGGAGAGTCAGTCTGCAAGTACTGAGCTACGGATTAGTCCCCTGGTAGAACAACGTGCTGTATGTGATCAACATTCTCTGGGTAGCATCACATACAGCATCTTCGCGGGGTTGGATGACTCTCTATTCCCACAAAGTGCTGACAGCCGCGCCAAGGAATTGACGGAAAGCCCGTTAGCTGAAGTGACAGATGCATTTACTTGTATGTGCTCCTGCTTTTCATGGGGTCATCTTGACGCGTCTTGATCTTCACAATGCTCATTTGAGTCTTGCCCACAGGATGATCCCTACGCGCCGACATTGATATTTTATATCTTCGATTATTGTTATTGCTATATTATGTTTTACGGTCCGTGTATCAAGTCAATAGGTAGGTAGTGTAGACATCTAGTAATAGTACGCGGTCATGTGATTGTCACGTGCCACCCAATTATACTTTCAACCGCAACGTGCCTTATACAAGTTTACAGTCAGTATGTCATTGTCAATATCGCTGGCGCAGTTGGTAGCTCGTCTGCTATCTGGCCCCCCTCCGAGTGTAATGACAACGGAAGAAACGAGTGTGGTTTGGCAGCTAGATATTTCCGTGTACTGCATATACCAGTTCTTTCGGAAGTTGCAACGCGACAATTTAATTGGATCGACTGAAATAAAAACCAGTAAGCTACACGAGAGCTGTAGGCTTAGCTACATTGCATGGTGAATCGATGGACTGGTGGTCGCACGCACGCGTTGTTTATTTGTGCTCCTACCATCAAGTTGGACATCGTTATTATCTTTTCCCACCATTTTCTCATCCTGCCTCTCGTTCATATTACCTGCGTGACGTGGTGCTATTTGGCTCAGTCTTGATTGGCTCCTCAGCACTCAATCATGCCTACAACTAACCGCCGTCCACTAAGTACACGCACCCTGCCACTTCAAGTTCCTCCTACCATGTCTCCTTTCAAACAAGGAGTCCGTTCGGCCTCCCTGTTGCTCAAACGTCCTCGATCACCGGACCCTGCAGCAGATGAATCCGTCAAACGGGTGAGACCTGCTCCAACAGAAGCCACCCACGGCGAGGACCGCAAGGATAAGGAACGAAGACGCCTAGAGCGGGAGGCTCAGAAGGCCGAGTTTCGTTTCAAGTACACTCGCGCATTTCCTGGATGGGTCTTCTATTTCGACTTGGATTTATCGGATCCTGAGAGTGCTGCCCTGCGGGATTCATTAGCAGCGCGGGTGGTACACCTCAAATCGGTATGGCCGATTCTCCGTGATCATTGCGCAAGCGTCTGACACTCCAACGTGCTTCTAGCAAGTAGATGACTTTTTCTCCAGCGAGATTACGCATCTTATCACTAATCAACCCATTACTCCGATCGACCCTACTGCAAATAAGGAGAATCGATTGCAAGGTCTCTCCGCACGAGCTAACTCACTGAAAAGCCCAATTAAGCTCCGTGGACGGTGCATTGAGCCATTCCGTTGTTGTAGACCACGCTAACATCGTAAATTCACAGTACTACCGAGGATGCCACCTCGCAGAGCTTCAACCTTGTGGAGAAGGCCAAGGCCTTTAATATGAAGATATGGAGTCCTGCGAAACTTGACAACATCCTGGAACGATGTGATGTCCCAGCCTTTGCATTTTCCCCTACGAAACCTCTCGCACAAGCAACTGCTCTTGCCCCTGCTTCCAACAAACGGTCACTATCTAGCTTACTTCAAACCGAACGCCTTCATGGTACCACCACAGAACGTGACCCCACTCAAAAGCGACATGATTATCGATATTTTTCAAAACAGAGTTATTTCGTGCTTATAGAAGACGTGCGGCAGGAGTTGGCGACGATTCACGCTCTAGAGTATCCCATACAACGAGGGCACGACGGGAAAGAGCAACCCGCGTATCCCGTCCTATACTGTGACCCCAGGTCCCGGGGGCCTTTTATAAAATTTGATGAAAGGGAACGGAGGCGTTGGGAAAAGGCACAAAGGGCGGACAGGGATAATGAGAACGAACGCGCGGAGAAGGTGGCTAAGGCGCTGAAGCGCAAAAGGCAGGCAGAGGTTCAGATGCTCTCGCGCAAAGCTGGCGACCTCCGTCGCTCAGTGTCGATGAATAATTTACATCGCCAGGCAACTATTGAAGAATACGTTGACCTCGATGCTGACTACGGAGATGGGGATACAAGAGAGTCAGCGACTGCCTCAGGCTACCTTGCTTCGACAGGTGTTGGGTCATATGTTGCAGCATCCGGCAATAGCGTTGGTATTACATCCACAAGAGGTACAACATCCAATGCGGGCGGTATTTCTAGGACGCTGGAACTACCTGCTTCTCTTCGGTCTAGGATTCAACAACAAGTCGTAACATCTCGAAAAGCCCCGAATGCAACCCACACTCTTGGCCGAAAAGCAGGAGGCATGGGCCCGCCCCTTACGATTCCGGATCGCCCACTGCTCAGGAAAAGTAGGAGTACAAACACCCTTCGATTGCCAAAGCGCGACGAAGGGAGCAAACCTGGTTACTGTGAGAGTTGCCGCGTTAAGTTCGATGATTTCGACACGGTAGGATCGCATTTAATCTTGTATATGAGTATCTCAACGCTCGCTCCTTTAGCACACACAGGAACGGAGGCATCGTAAGTTTGCCATGGATGATGCAAACTACATCCAGCTTGATTCGGTTCTCAATCGCGTTCGACGCCGGACCCGCCAAGAGGCCGAGGAAGAAGAGCGCATGTGGTCCGAATGCAGTTATGACGGCATGTCGCGAAGTTCCGAGGTACCTGAGACGTTAGGGTCCTCACAACCAACTCAAGACGATGACGAGTCTATGTGGGACGAGGAAGATGCTGAGGGAGAAGTGGATCTGGATTTGTGAATAGCAGTGGATCGATAGTCTTTGGTCCTGTCCAAGATCTTCTCGAATTCTTTGCATTTGGCTTTACTTCATTGATTTGTGTCACACTACACACAGCACTTGTAGCATTACTCTAGCATCTTCACTTGTCAATGCTCGATAACGAGACGAGCAAAGAATTAGAAAGTCTCAAAGGAAAGGAAAAAGTCATGATTCTCAGACGATCGTAACGGTCAATAACGTAACAATACCATCTTGAGCGATGTCTGACATTGACCCTGATGTCAGACGAGCAACTACTTGGCCGATCAAGCTCACCATGGTTAATACCATCAGCGCCAGGCGCGAGGAGACCAGTGGTGTTTTTGGCAGTAGTGTGGTATTTGACCCCATTATACCATGTTTCACCAACCGCTGCTGACACCAGCTGGTTGCTGAATCTATATTAGACTATGACCCGTTCGTTACGATCACGGAGTTACTTACCGGCCAATATCGTACCCATCTGGCACGATATCATGATTCTCTGATATGGGCTAAGGGTGGCGTTCAGCTGTGTAACAAAACCTTGCCAAATTACGCACCTCCTCTCGAGACACGCTGGCATATTAAGTACTAAGCTACTAGTAGAACAATAAACAACTTAAGGATGCTTACGCTAGAAAGAGAGCGCCACTGTCCGCCACAGTGCCGTTCTGTACAAAAATACTGGGCGAATATTATCACCACCCTAGATCACTAGTCAATAAATTTACCGAAAGTGATTTCCTCCGATGAGGCTCTCGAGACACGTTCCGCCTATAGCATAGTCCTGGCGAAGTTCAATGGTTTGATTGACCCATCCGTTTCCATCTCCCAAGTCGGCGGGCATATAACCACCTAAGTGAATGCCAAAACATTCTTCAGAACTATCACAAGCAAATAAGTAAGACACAATTCACAAATATTCCTATGCTTACAATCCAATAGCACGGGCAAAATTGATAGCTCCGTCAAGTGTGAGGACATCGAGAGAGCTAAGTCCAGAGATGATGACCTAATTTTTTTGGGTAAGTCAGGCTGTACATGAGACGAGGGCGTCATAGTGATGAAAGAGAAATACATTCATAGGTTCGCCGTATCCATCGCCAGCATCGATGAGCATCGATCCGCCTCCAGCAGTTGGGTTATAATAAGCAACACCATCCCGCCTGTCCACTGTAGTGGATGATGACACTAGATTGAATGTTAGACATGGCATCACAAAACCAAGTAAAGCATTCATAAGATGCATCTCGTTGATGAAGGATGAATAGCGTCGATTCTTATGCGTGGATCAAAGGAGGGGGATATAATCTAGCATAACATACCTCATCAATTTTATACGTACCAGCTCTGAGTTTCCACCTTCGACTCCAAGGTGGAAATGGCATGCTAGGAAGTAGCACACAAGGCAACAAATGTAGCCGGTTCTGCAATTATGCCAAACCACAGTGCTGGAGGCGCGATTATAAGACAACCGTTTTATTTGTACACAAATGCTTTGGGCACACACGTGCATTTATTTCAATAGATTCAAAATCAGATCTAGCTGAATCTAATGTGTTTCGATACCTATCACATGATGATCACCTCACCAGGTCGACCGAGGTTCGATAAACAAATGGGCCGCGGCTTGGATGCCGCAGGATGCACCATGCGGCCAACAAGTTCGTGGTGAGGAGATCGAGAGCCTGCAGGGCTGAATTCGGTCCACACACTTGTGCTGAAGAAGGGCATTTATTCAAACTTTGGAGCTGATGTCGAGTATCTGATAAGATGTAGAATCCACGAATGAACATTTCTCTAATGAGCACAAAATCATTTTTTGAGACGAGGATGTTGATAGGCGCATAAAAAACCCGATAATTCAACATATTGCCAACTCAACATCAATTGAGGCAATCACTGGCATGCGATTAACTTGAAGACGATCTGGACAATCGACACCAAGCCAGGTAAGAGACTGAACATCATCAAAGCGCTCTGTGATATGCGTACGCAAAGCTCACATAAGAGGACTTCAAAGAAGCGGTCCGTGTCAAGGAATGAACGTTTGAAGCTTGTTTTGGAACGTTTGAATTTCTCTTACTTCTGTACTTCTCATTAACTAATACAGATTCTATATATGGAAATATGTAGAGTTTAAAAGCTCGGTTAAGTCCGGTTTTTTGCTTAATTTGATGCAACTGGACCCGAATTGGTCCTTAATTAGTGCTACTATAGTTGGACTCAAACCGGACCAACAGAAACCGGTCTTCACTGATTAGAAGGGTCTTGCAGTCAGTCTTGGGAGTGCAACTAGTTCAAAAACCAGTAAAACCAGTTTGAACCGAGTTTTCAATATGTAAATCTACATGTTGCCAACATGATGTGTATATAGTGAAGCACTACTGATACCCACCAAGCCCACTACTCATCCATACTTACCAAGCCCACTACCATCATGTATTGAAAATCTTCTCATCCTAAAAAACCATCTGAAAAGGCTGTAGCAATGGCTTTGTCACATTCTTGTAACAATACACAGTCTCGCCCACCAAAGTCCAAGGTGTCCCCAAAGCATGTGGGAAAGTGAAAGAAGGCACCTAGTAGTGAAGACAAATCACCATCTGAGTCAGATAATAGTATCATCAAAGAAATGCACCATACCTCAAAAAAGAAGGCAGTGACTAAGTGTGCATGGCACCAGAGCCAGGTAGCCATTGAGGTTATTGAAGATAGTGGACCTGAAGAAGAGACACTAGAGATAGTTGATACTGAAGCTACAGTAGCACTGAATTTGAAGAGATAGCTAATCCAAGTGGTAAAGAGCAGGATGAGAGAGATGAGGTTGGTCTCTTATTACCCTGAAATAAAACATTAGCTCAGTTGCAAAAACAGGACCAGTGATGATGGTCTCAAAGATAGACATAGTGCAGCTCTGCCTGAAGTGCTGAAACCCAAGAACAGATCTGCTGATGACTTACTCACAGTATTTTCAGAGAGGTGCTGTTATGATCAAGCTAAGTCTGTGACACACAAACAAAGCAAGTGAGTAGCATTGAATTTGGATTGGGGCTTGTGCCAAGCCTGCTGCTACCAGCAAGCATTCATAGGTACAAGTTTACAGCAATCAATCTAGCTGTGAGGGCTATGATTGATTATCAACAATTAGGATGGCGAGTCATCAATTGTTCTCTTCTCAAGGCTAAGGACATTGGCAGTGACAAGCTCCAATGAAGATACTTGATAAAGAGGAGAGCTTGCTTGGGGCTCAAAGGATAAGACAGTATGAACCAAGTAGATTCAAGTTAAAGAATACAAGTGCTACCCAAGAGGTATATATACTGTAGGAAGGGATCAGGGCAGGTCTGCCATGTTAGTGGTAAGGGTAGAGGGTGAACAAGTCATGATGAGTCAGAATACCAAGATAAGTAAGAGGTACCAGTTGAATGGTAAGGGTATGGGGTGCATGAGTCATGATGAGTTGCAATGAGTTGGAATACTGAAGTAAGTAAAGGATACTGGTTGGGTGGCAAGGGCATAGGGTTGGTGAGTCATTGGACGAGCTGATGAAGTGGTACAACCATCAAGAGTGATTGGTAGAATCAAAGAGAAATGAAAGGCACAAATCAGAAAAAGGAAATAGGGGTGATTGCCCAAAGTGGAAGGTCCAGTGAGGTGCAAAAGGTGAGGAAAATGAATAGGGGCTAAATGAAGTGGATGTTCTTGTAACAGGTGCACTGTGAAGTTTGTCAATCCAGACGGCAAAGTAGAGCAGAAGAGAGGTCACTGGTGCAATATATGCAAGTAAGTAATAGCATTCAAGAAGATTTTTAAATACTTACCTCAGATAAGAGTAAATTCAAGATTTGTTGCAGAACATAGAAAACGGAAGACTTTTCATGTTGGGAGTAATTTGAGCTGCTGTCAACAAATTTGCAGCCATTATGAGGTGTACCAGAAGAAATGTGCCAAGATGGGACTATGTGAGCATCATCATGCAGTTCTGTGTGCATTGGTGCAAGAACAGCAACAGGCAAAGCAACAGAGAAAAGTGGTCAGAAGAACCTCACAAAGATATTCCAAAAGAAACTAGAGTTGTCCAATTTCTCAAGAGATGATGTGCTCTGTACAATTGCAGAGTTTGTTGTCTGTGATGATCAGGTAAGAATAGTAGATTGCTGATTAGACACAGTGCTGATTCCAAACAAAGTCACTGGATGTAGCAAACAAAGCCACATTTCAAAACTGTCTAGTTGCAATGCATCCTTCTGCAACCAAGACTGATATTCTACCAATGCATGATATTATGGTCTTCTTCATTCATAACTCCTTCCTTGATTTCTTCTCTCAAATCAAGTCTGAAATTCAAGTAAGCCACATCTATAAAGTAGGATGCGACAGGTGGGAATTGTCTTGCTAGCTTGTGTGGCTTTCACTTAGGAACACTTAGTTTGGTTAACTTGGCTAATTTCTTTTAGAAATTTCGCATGGTTTTGTCATGTGTTTTTGAGTGCCAACTTAATACCGTTGCCTGTTTGTATTGGTCACAGGTTTTCAAGCTCTGACTCAATACTGTTGCCTGTTTGAGTGCAGCACATATCAATAAATAATTGATGAAAAATTGAATGAGAGCACAGGGGAATGGGGGAATGGGCCAAAGGTGTGAGCGGAGTGGGAATGGGGGAACAGACCAAAAGTGCTCGCTCCGCTCACACCTTTGGCCCATTCCCCCATTCCCCTGTGCTCTCATTCAATTTTTCATCAATTATTTATTGCACATGCTAGGATGCAGCCGAGGCCAGGAAGCCAAAAAGGAGCGCGAAGCACTCTGTTTGCTTCCTGTGCCGAAGGCACAACGGGTGTGAAGCTAGTTTATTTTAATGAGCTACACTAACTCTGTCTGCCTCATAGTCTTCAAATACTGGTCACATCTCAACAACAATGGACCTATGGTCCATTGATCAGACAAAGGCCACCTTCTTTGGTCTCACTACACACTGGATACTTGCCAATAAGGAGACCAGTAGATGGATACTCCAATCACAGGTGGTTGCATTCAAAGGTATATCAGGTGCTCATAGTGGAGAAAACTTAGGACACTACTTTATTGGGCTGTGTGAATGTGCAGGGATTGTGTCTGGTCAGTCATTGAAGGTATGCAAGTTCTAACTCATGCATATATATGTTGACTTAATTGCTGTGCAGCTTTTTGTGTCACTGCAGACTGTTAAGGTCACATGCTCAAGGGGGGGTTGGGTCACAAGGGCTTGGCCTCAGCTTGTATGCTGTGCCCCTTTCCTGAGTATGTGCCCTTAATTTCCAGGGCTAGAACAGTCGTCCGGAGTTTCCAGGTTTTGACCAGGGCAGACAACAGACATCCAGATCTGAAATGTGAGATAGGTGGACATCTGGATATTGTTTGGACAAGTGTATAAGGCTAATCCGGATGAAGTCCAGACTAGAAACTGACAGGAGATAGACTACCCTAAGGTAGAGCTGGGAATATAGTCTAGGATACAATTCTAAGACTCAGATTATGACAAGAGACTTAACTCAAGTCTGGAGGACACAGGAATGAGCAGGAACTAAGATGATATTCAGACTGAGGACTCTACTGGAGTTGTACAGGGGTTATACATATACTAGAGGATATCCAAGAGAATCAGTAAGCAAAGGAGTAAGGCTATGTACAAGTATGTGGAAACACATTAGTAAGTGAGACAGGACATAAGTAAATGAACTCGGAGGTGAATCTAGTACAAGGATCAATCAGCAAGATGGAAACAGAGATAACTGAGAACCAGGAAGGCAGAGATGCCTAAATGGGGATAGGCACAGGATCTTGGACAGAGGGTGGGAATAGATCCGGAGATAGTAACAGTCAATATCCAGAGGTCTGGGGATCCAGAAGGCAAAGTGGAAACAGGACTAAGATATGTGAGGCTGTGGATGTGGTCCAGAATCTGAGAGGAGGTAAAGTCCAGATGTCTTGCTGGACAGAATGTGCATAGGGTGGACAGGATAGGGGTGTATGGATCAGGCTAGTAGTGAAGATCCAGAGGTCCAGAGCTCAGGGGTAATTCCATAGCAGAGCTAAACCTGCTTAGATATGGAGCACACAGCAGAAGGGGATCTGGGAATGAGTTGGAGGTGGGGTCTGGAAATAGGCTTGGGAGGCATGGGAATGTTATGGGATCTAGGTCTGGCATATGGGATATGACGCTTACCAATCTAACAGCAAACATCAAAAATAGTATAATAGTACTCTAAATGACATCTTAAACATGATTGTACAAGCCAATTTTTCATAACAGTAAATTTGACTTTTGGGGGGCAAAATTTTGGTGCACCCCCAAAGAAATTGCTAAAAATCATGAAAAAATCAGAAATGACTCCTTTCATCAAGTTAACATTGAAGCAATGCTCAGAAAGTTATGTGAGTGGAATGAAATAGCACCAAAAAATCTTTTGTACCTGTCATATCCACATATCCAGATCTCAGATCCAATCCACATCTTATCTCCATCCAACATCCCCTCATCCAATCTGTCCACTTGTCCAGTCTGGTCCACAACTCATCTGAATCCACAACCAGCACTCATCTCCTTTTGGTAACCCCCTGACTCCAGTACTTTGGTTATCTGTATATCTGCCCTGCTCACTGATCTGTTACCTATGTTTCATTTCCATTTCATTATTAGTGATCTGTTCCTACTTACCAATAGACTATTCATATGCTTCATACATAGCCTCAGACCCTGCTGATTGATCATTCCATTAGATACCTATAGTATATAACCTCCTGTAAATCTCTGTAACACCTCAGTTTGAGTATCAACTTAGTTCTGCTCATTCCTGTCCTCTGGACCTGAGTATCTCTACTCTTGTCACCCTCCAAGACTTAGGATTGATTCCTATAGTCTATCCATATCTGCCTCTGTCTACAACAGTCCACTACCATGAGTTTCTAGTCTGGACTTGTCTGGATTAGCCTTAGGATACTTGTCCTGCATCCAGAAGTCATCCAGATCTGCTACACTACTTGTCTGACCCTCCAGATGCATTAGTCTTGTCTTCCTGAAATAAGGGGCAATACCTGGGTAAGAAGCACAGTGCATGAGCTGAGGCCGAAGCCCTTAGGATCCATTTAGCCTTGAGTACAACCTTAACAGTATATTTGAACTCCCACCTTACTGAGTATACTTACACTTTCTATGGCTCCAACCAAAACTGCAAACACTCTCCAAGTGGCCAGATTAGTATCCACCTGCCATGATTCTACTCCTATCGTCAAAACCTTCAATAGCTTCTTGCAGTGTCGTGTTAGCCAGCTTGCTACTGCCGGAAGCATCTCAGAGCTTCTGAGTCGTCAACATCCAGAGACCCCTACACAGACTCCAGCCCTAGCCCCTCTGGGCAAAGGAGATCCGGATGACAATGACAACAATGACAATGATCATGATACCCCTGGCAGAAACCTGCCAGATGGTAACAGTGGAAATCCAGATGATGATCCGGATGATGAAGACAATGATGATAGAGATGATGGCCTGGGTCCACAGGATCATGTTATGGTACTCCTATCCAGAGCTATCAACAATCTTGCCCAAAACAATTGTCGCACCACCCTCTCTGAAGATCCCAAAGTCAAAGTCCATGAGCTGGATGTCTTTGATGGCACTGAGCCCCAGAAAATTTGTGCATTCTTTGTCCAGTGCAAGCTCAACTTCCAGAGCAAACCCAATGCTTTCCATACCAGAAGGTCTAAAGTCAATTTTGCCCAATCCTATCTCAAAGGAATGGCACTTGAATGGTTTGAACCTGACCTCCTTTCTGATGAACATATCAATTGTCTGGACTGGATGGATGACTATTCCAAGTTTATGCTTGAGCTCCAGACCAATTTTGGACCTCATGACCCCTCTGGAGATGCAGACATGCAGCTTGAACAATTCAATATGCATGATGGACAGTGTATTGACAAGTATGTTGTAGAATTCCAATGACTTGCCTCTCAGGTCCACAGATGGGGTGATGGAGCCCTATGCCAACAATTCTATAATGGACTTCCTGCTTGTATCAAGGATGAAATCAGTCGCATGGGAAAACCTGCCACACTCTTGGAATACAAAACCCTTGCACAGACCATTGATGCCTGCTATTGGGAGTATAAGGGGGAGATCTCCCATGAAACCAAATACTCTGCACGCACTCCTCGTGCCAAGCCTTCTGAATGGACCAATGCCAATGTGTCTGGATCCAGAAGCACTTCCTCTGGAAATAACAAATCTGGAAAGATGACTTCATCCACCCCCTCCGCTTCTAAAGCTCTGGACTTTAGCAACAAGTTGGGTAAGGACAGAAAGCTTACATCTGAAGAGCATCAGAGAAGGCTGGACAGGAAGCTCTGTCTGTTCTGTGGTGGACCTGGGCATACTGCTTGGGACTGCACAAAGTCGACTTCACGCGCTACCAAAGGTCACGCAGCTACAGTCGATCCAGAAACCAAACCAGATGCCTTGGATGAGGCAAAAAATAATCTGCGACCCTCCTGACTCTGCATGGGATGAGGGTCATGTTGACTCAACCTGTGCAATGGAGCTACAACTCAATGCTATTTCCCTGTCTGATCTGAACTCTCTCTGTCCATATGTTTCCATCCCTATGTATTCCAATATTTCTGACTTTCCAGCTCTTGTAGATTGTGGTTCCTCCCATTGCTTCATAGAATCCAACCTCATCTGTAAATATAATCTACCTACCTATGCAATTCCTCTGATTCCACTCCATTTGTTTGATGGTACTTGTAATGCAACCATTTCCAAAGATATAGATCTGCCCATCTGTTTCTCATCCGGTGTAGTCACCTCCGATACATTCTATGTAACTCCTTTGGATTCATCCTGTCTTATTGTCCTTGGATATAGCTGGCTTACCCAACACAATCCATTGATTGACTGGGTTTTGCACAGCATCAAGTTCCAGACCTCATCTCATGGAATGCCATTGACCCCTTCGATATCGCCTCCGCCACCTCCAGTGGAAACTACCCCTCCGACTACTCCAGACACCTCTGCTGATACCTCTGAGCCTAACATTTCTCTAATCAATGCAGTTGCCTTTTGCTGGGCCTGCAAGTTAGAAGGTTCCAAGCAGTTCAGTATCTTCCTACATCCTTCCGGTGCCAAGATCTGTTCCATATCCACTTCATCCAATGCTCCAGATCTATCTGTAATCCCTCTGGAGTATCATGAATATGCAGATGTCTTTGACAAGGGAAAAGCCAGCCAACTTCCTCCTCATCAGCCTTATGACCTAAAGATCGACTTAGAGGAAGGTACTGCTCCACCCCTAGACACCATATATTCCCTTTCCCCGGTTGAGCTTGAAGCTCTCCAGAAGTTCCTGGATGAAAATATCTCATCTGGACTCCTCCACTCCTCCTCCTCTCCACATGGAGCCCCTGTCCTGTTTGTCAAAAAGAAGGATGGCTCCCTGTGTCTTTGTGTGGATTTCCGCGGCCTGAACAAGATCACCAAGAAAGACCACTATCCATTGCCCCTCATTGCTGACCTCTTAGACTCTCTGAGCCACACCAAAGTTTATACTAAGATTGACCTCTGGTCTGCTTACCATCTTGTCCAGATCTCTTCTGGAGACAAGTGGAAGACAGTGTTCCAGATGTGCTATGGCTCCTATGAGTGGTTAGTTATGCCCAAAGGTCTCACCAATGCTCCAATGGCTTTCCAGCACTTTGTCAATAGCATCTTCGTTGATATGCTTGACATATGTGTTGTGGTGTATCTGGACAACATCCTCATCTATTCCCATGACCTTGCATCCCATAAGCAACATGTCCAAGAAG